AAGCCTCCGCTACAATGATTCTCGGTTCTGTCTACAATGGTCGCAGTCTTAGAATCGTAGAGTCATGGATTTGGTCGTATCGATGTATAACTGAAACCGATTTTCTGTTTTTGAGGTATTTTCCCACGATATATTCGACATGTAATGACACACGACATATAACACTATTCTCTGATTGGTCTGTCGCGGCAATAAATCGCAGTCGTGGTCGTTGGAATAGGAATTGAACCTATTCGAGCGACTATAACGACTACGACTGCTTTGCGACTGCTCAAACGACCATCGATACAACTGTACGACCATTGTAGACAGAACCGAGAATCATTGTAGCGGAGGCTTTAATTCAGTCAGACACATAAGAATTAACCAATCATAGTCGACTATGCTTACGACTACGACTTTACGACTTCTATGTGGACGTGGCTTGTAGCTTGAAGCAAGGTTGTGGATCAACACTTATTTCTTGCGCGAGTCACGTAAATCGGTCGAATTTGCTTATTATTATTACTTGTATTCCCAAAACAGAATGTAAAGGTATAATTAACAGCCGCGACTTAACAGTGCTAATTGAGCGTAATTTCATTTCTGCTGCGACAATCCGCGTAAAGCGACGCTGGCTGTGGAGTTTAATGGGTAAAAGAAAACAACGAGGAGCAAAGGGTGAGAATCAACGCCGCGAGTCAACTTTATTAACTTAATCAACATCGTACTAACAATGCAATTCGTTTCGGCTCTGCTTCGAGCCGTCCTCAGCGACGCGATAAAAAACGGATTCCCCTCCGCGCACGTTTCCTCCTTATATAATTGTTATACTATCTTTGTAAGCGAGAATTCGCACTCGCTCGTGAAAAGTCTCCCCTGGAGGGAGGCGCGAGACGAAGATAGCGAACGTAAATAAAAGTGTACGCATTAGTGCGAGAATCGCGTTTCGTCATCGCGCGCCGTTATGTTAGACTCGTGCGATCGCTCGTGTCTAACAGCCGCCGTCCGCTGTTACGCGACTCGCCCCATTAGATGGGTTTCGCGAATTCACGTGTGTGCGAATGCGTGCGCACACGATCGCGCGCGTTGCGTTCTCGTCTGGGCACCGAACAATCGCGCGTTACGTTCCGCCCGGGTCTACGCTCACGGGACATGCCGTAACTGGTCGGTGACACGAAAGGCAGTCGTACACATGTTCGCCCGACGACAATTATGACAGCGACGACGCCCAGGGGACACGAAGGGGGAGGCCGTGACGTCTCTGAGAAAAACCGCGTCTTTCCGGGCGCGTCACGCGCTCCAGAACAAACTCTCATCGCGGTCGCATAATCCCGCAATTAATTGCCGGAGTGAAAATCCGAGAGCGCCAATTATTACGTAACGATACGCGCGCCGGATTGAAATTTGCGTGGCTTCGCTCCGCTCTCTCGCATGAACGAAAAGGAGTGTCGGCGCGGGCGGGGGGGGGGAGGGGAAGAGGGAGCGACAGGGGAGCACACCACGTGCGCTAATAACGCGTGGTTCCCCGCGGAAAACGCCCCGCGGCGGTTCTGGTCGGACGATCAGGCTCGTCTTTGGAGCATCGCTCTAATCGGTCTAAACGTTACGGCACTTCCGGTCGCCGTCGGGCGCGAGCCGCCTGATTCGCGACGTGAATCATACGCGCGCACGCGTCACGTTGCGACGGCAGACGTGAGGCAAACCGTATGTTCGACACGTGCGTAGCCTCTGATTCATGTACTTTACTCGATCGCGAGGCACGGTTTCCGGTCGTAAGCGCACGCGATTGAAATTTCGCCCGGGTGAAACGGCTTCGCGGAACCCGCGGCCCGTTGAAAAAGCGCTCATCGACGAAAACCGCCGCCTTCCGCGCGACGTCGACCGTCCTCTCGTTCGCACTCGATAGGAAATTTCTCACCGTCGCGATATCGCGTTGCGAGCCGCCGGGGACGGATTGTGCGGCAGGCATTTTTCGCGCGTTATCGTCGAATCGATAAAATGCGCAGATCGATAGCGCTGCCGCATCTTGTTCGAACTGATGGACAGCCCTTGCCTGCTTGAGCCTTAGGGTCAGAGCACAAAGCAATGTAAGTGTTGGTCCGCAACTTTGCTTTAACCAGAAAATGAAAAACTGGGCTTCAGAAGGGAACAAAGAGCGAAAGCCTTACTTAAATTGATAATTAATTAAAAAATATTCTTTAAGTAGGCGTCCCCTTTGGAAGCACACACTGTAGAGGATTTATCGCGAAAAATATTACCTCAGCCACCAGAATTCGAAGCTGGATCTCCTCTATCCGACGGGTGTCTTGTGATAAGAAAAATGATTAAATGTCGCTTGAGGAGAATGCAAGAAGAACCAGAACTGTGAAGAACTGCACGAAATTTGAAACATGAGCTCTTTTACAAACGGTGTCAGCGTGTGAACTTTTTTTTCGATTTCTCACCGGCTAGTCTGTCAGAACATTTGCAACAAGGTTCAAGGTTTTTTTAATTCAACGGCAAAAGTTTTACCGCGTACGAATTCTCTACGTGTATTTTACGCAGCTCGACATACGACGATAAAAGAAGTTTATTTATTTCGCCGCTGAGCGTTCGTCGTCGTAATTAAATAGATTTCGATCAACTGCACGTTTTGATATTGATTCACTACCGCGGCCTCATCGCGATGCAAAGTGCAAGGAAAGCGCGCAATCACAGCTTTCAAATCTTCCAAGGTGCTTTCAGTACGACACTTTTCACGTATAGAACACAAATTGTCTTCAGAGAGTTCCGAGCACTCTTAATAATCTTTGCGTTGATAATTGCTGTACGCATCGAGTCTTTCATTAGGGGGAAAAATCTATAAAAAAAAATGTTTTTAAACGAAGTAAATAGTTTAACTTAAAATTATTTTTTTTACTGAGGTAAATATTTATTCTATTTAAATAAAAGTATAAAATTTCAAGTAAATTTGTGTATTATATTAAGCAAATTAATTTAAATCATTAAATTTTCTACATTCGACTAAAGATTTCACGAGATAGGGAATATTATTTATTAAATGAAATCATTGTTTTTGTCAAATAAGAAATCCAATTTTCTTCGCTGTTTAATAAATACTTAAAGAAATGCATGTTTAAATTCGAGTTTTAATTTATTATTTTTTTAATTTAAGTTAATAAGCTATTAGGAGCCACCTAATGAATAATTTTCTTGAGTAAAGTAATATGTTTTTCGAATAAGATAATTTTTTTATCGGTGTAGAAGTTAACGCTTTAAGTTTTACGCACTTGTTAACATATCTGTTTCTCTTTGCAATCTCCCTAAGTAAAATCCTGTATCCTCGTACACCGTGCTGACTTACACATCGCGTTTTATTCTACATTATTACCCAGCTACTGATGTTAAAAATTTTATATCGCTTGTCGTTTCTCTCTTACAAGCGTCTTGAAAAAAATTCGATGGTCACCAACGGCCCAGCATTGACGAACGCGTTAAAGCTACACGGCGCAGAGCTCGAGAGCGGAAACTCGACGCGCGCGAGCTTATTTAACATCGAATCAAGATCAAGAGCATGTTGACGCCGTGCGACAAGTGGCCTCGCTGTTGATTCACTGCGGACGGTGCAGAGTATAAAGTACGCGCAATATCCAGCGACAATGGATTGCCCGTTCGAGCGATTGAAAGTCCTCGCGAGTTCCGCTGAAATGCGCGACGTAAAACGCATCCTGCGTCCTGCAGCGATATAGCGTGCAATCGCGTGCCGGAGATTCGCACGCTGCAATCGCGCGTGCCCCGCGTGTTGCGACACACGCGCTAATGTCGACGTTTTACTTTCAGATCCGTAGGCGACGGGCCGACCGTCCTGCTTTTCGGACGCTGAACGAACGCGCCGCGCGAAACGCGAGGGATTTAATCGACGGCTGAACGATCACGGCGATGGGACGGCCGCGATAGCGATGTTTCGGTCACGAACTTCAAAGTCGTATCGATCAGCTGGAATGGGGTCCGCAGTCCACTGGCTGATCGCGGCCGCCGCGATAATCTCGACGGGAGCAGCCCTCGAGGGACCGAACATATGCACCAGGCAGGAAAAGTACGTAAAGCGCTCTCGGCGGCCAATTAACAATTTGTCGTGCGCCTAGAATTTGCGACGCGCCTAAAGCTGGGTGTATACACCTACGAAACGAACACTGAACGAACCGCGAACGCGGACGTTTGTTAAGTTATCATTCGGCAGATGTATACGCCGCAGCAAATTGCGAGCAGAACGGCTCGATTCGCGTTCGGCTCGATTCCCTCATGAGGCGGTACACCAAAGGCAAAGGGAACGAACGCGAATCCCCACACGTTCGCATTCGGTGTTTATTCGTAGATGCATACCCAGCTTAAGGTTTCACCATCTCCGATTAAGGGCCGGTTTCGCCAAACGTCGCTTAACAATCTTGGTTTAGTTCACGTTTGTCTCCTTCTAAAGGCCCGCGTCCACGACGCTAGAACTCGGTCCAGGTCCTAGTTTCGAGAAATGTGCGGCCAATCAACTTGCAGCTATTCCGTAAAAGCACATTTCTCGGAGCTAGAACCTGGACCAAGTTCTAGCATCGTGGACACAGGTCTTAAAGTAACGGTTGGAAAGAGACAAAGAACGTAGTAAACTAAGCTTAAAGTTAAGCGACGTTGGTGGAACCGGATCTAAGGGCCAGTTTTGCAAACGTCGGTCGACTCCCTATCTTTTTCTGTCTTATTAACCGAAAGGTCTGGTCCATAAGAGTCCTCGAAACGCCGTGTTGTCCCACGAGTACATTTTCAGGATAAATTTCAAAAGAAAATTCTCTCCGCGCAGAGAATTGGCCAATCACTTGGTTGACACTTACTCGGCCGATTAAATTACTCGGAGATGACGAAACCGACTCCACGTTCGCAAACGTTATTGTCGACGGGATTCATTTACGAGAGCGAGTGTCGTTTGCAGGTACACGATAACAGTGAAAGTGTCCGAGCAGAAACCGTACACCGTGCGGGAGAACACGTGGTGCTTCAGCTTCCCGCCGAGATGCTCCAAGTACAAAGTCGTCTACAGGACGGTCTACAAGGAACAGGTCGGTTATTGAATAATCGCGCGTCTGACCAAGTACTTTCTAATTTTACGGGAAAGGTCCGATCTGAATCTGCGTCTCCCGCTCGCCGTCGCTCGGCGCGACGGCGAGCCCGGAGAAGAAAGGAGACCGCGGAGAAACTGATTATCGGTGAAACGGTCCGTTATTGCGCCGTGTTGTTTTTCTCTTTTCGTAGGAATTGACGAAACAAAGGCCCGTGGAAGAATGCTGCAAGGGCTACGCGCAGACCACGAACGGCGATCGTTGCATTCCGGTCTGCTCCCAGGACTGCCGCCACGGTACCTGCATCGCGCCCGACGTCTGCAAATGCGAGTCGGGATACGGCGGCCCGTTATGCGACTTCAGTGAGTGCTGCCTCCTTTTTCTATACGCATAACGGCAGGACACGCATTCCAGCGATATCTGTGGCGAGCACACTTTTATTGCACGTACGCTTCGTTTACGACGCGACGATTCGACACGCATAACAACCTGTTGCCATAACACGTAGAGATAACAGAGAGATCGAGCGTATGCGATAACGAGAATGTCGTTGAAGCATAATTTGACAGTAACAACAGCTCGCGTTCGCGAGAGATAATCGAGAATACGTAGTCGTGAATTTTTAACAAAAGTTAAAAGTGTCTTTGGACGAACGTTTAACGTAAATGCACTTTTTATCGTTCGAAAGGGGTTTCCTGGAATGCTCGCGTCCGAGATTACTTTTAAAAACTCGACGAAAGAAATACGCGGTGACTTCCGGCGGCAACGAGGACAAAAAGTTCGTTTAAGCGAGGTAGTCTATTTTTAACTCTGTGTATGAACAGGGTGCCCGGTGGGTAAATGGGGCAGAGATTGCGAGATGGATTGCAAGTGCCAGAACGGTGCCACGTGCGACCCATTCGACGGCAAGTGCATGTGCACCAGGGGCTGGACCGGAGTGTACTGCGATCAGAAGTGTCTCCCGAACCGCTACGGGCAAGACTGCGCCGAGGAATGCCGTTGCAGGAACGGCGGGAGCTGCCATCATATCTCCGGCGAGTGCTACTGCGCCTCTGGTTACACCGGACCGCTGTGAGTGTTCCAAATCTCATCGACGGGGTGTCTTGTTCACGTTATCGCTCGGAAATGTTTCTCCACGGCTGTTTATATAACTTCGGTCATTTTCGCAAGAGAATCCCCCCCCCCCGAAAGCTTTTGTCCTAATAATAATGATAGCTACACGGAGAGAACTTCCCTTTAAAATTTATCTTAAAAATATTGTTATCATGCGACAACACGACATTTCTAAGAATTTTCTGGGAGCTTTTTGAAATTTTACCATACATTTTACTAGTAATTATACTTAGTATACTATCCCAAACACACATACGTCCAAAAGACGACTTAACGGTCTCGTTAAAGATATCTCTTAGACACGCGTGCTGTACGGGATTTTACTAGTAAAATGTAAAACTTTCCAAACACTCTCATAAAGTTATTGAAAATGCCATGTTATTCTACAATTACATGACTTTCAGGATAAATTTTAAGAAAAAATTCTCTCCGTGTAGCCAGAGAGGTGTTAACGAGGCTCTTTTCGACTGACGATCGTCACTCTAATAATCGCTGTTGTGTTTGCGCAGGTGCGACGATTTGTGTCCGATGGGCAAGCATGGCAAGGAATGCAAGTCGGAGTGCCGTTGTCAGAACGGCGGTTCCTGCAACCCTATGACCGGCGAATGCTACTGCACATCCGGCTGGACGGTACGCGAGATTCTGCACAATCGAATATCCCGTGACACGCGCGTGAACTTAACACTTACAAACGCAATATTTATCACGCAGGGTTCGGTCTGCGCGAATCGGTGCCCGGAGGGTCTCTGGGGCAACAACTGCTCTCAGCCCTGCGACTGTTATAACAAAGCCGGCTGCGATCACATTACGGGCGAGTGTCGGTGCAAGCCGGGCTTCTACGGCGACAAAGTACGTGAACGCCGATTGTTCCAATTAACGTTAGTGCAACTTTTAAGTCGAAATAATTAATAACTTGTCTGTTCAACGCGACAAACAGTGCCTGAAGATCTGTTCCGAGGGCACATTTGGACTGGACTGCGCTAACAATTGCATCTGTGAAAATGGTGCCACGTGCAATCCCACTAACGGCACCTGTGTGTGCAGTCCGGGTTGGATTGGCAAAACGTGCAGCGAACGAGCCTGCGAGAACGGTTTTTACGGTTCCGAGTGTGCGAAGGTGAGTCGCGATTTTTTCTTGGGAAGCTGCTCTGGAAGACTTTCACGATGTCTCCCCCACTGTTGTAAATTAATCCTCGCAGGTTTGCGAGTGCGAGGAGAGGAACACGGAGCTGTGTCATCCGTGGACCGGGCAGTGCTCCTGCAAAATGGGATGGGACGGCGAGACCTGCGCCCGGCCGTGTCCCTTCTACACATTTGGCAAGGGCTGTGAGAATCGCTGCAACTGCAAGAACAACGCGCAGTGCTCGCCCGTCGACGGCACCTGCATCTGCGCGGCCGGATATCGCGGGAAGGACTGCGGCGAGCTCTGCCCCGCGAACACGTTCGGGGAGGACTGCGCGCAGAAGTGCGCCTGCAAGAACGGAGCCAGCTGCTCGCCCGAGAATGGACGCTGCAACTGCACGGCTGGTAAGCGTAATTTTGCGCAACTCGGGCAATCACGCTCGACGGCTTGTAATTATAAACCCGTTTAGAGGAGACCTTTTAGATGCGCCTACATTCTGAAGAGAAAATTCATCATCGGAGAAATAGTTGGCACAACCTTATGAAACTTTTACGTTTAGCTGTTTGGTCATTTTTAACTGTCCTGTAAAATTACTTCATGATTATCTACTCCGCTCTCATAATTTTTTTTGCATGGTATCAGACTTCCTTTAATACGTTTCGTACTCGTTTCCATTGCTCGTTTGTAGACTTAGTAGGCTCACTAGTTACTTATTGTTAGTAGAATTATTTATTAAAATCTCGCTATGTATTTCCGATGGAGAAGATATTTGACATCGGTAAGTACGACACACAGATTACACGTATCTCTCTGAAATTTTGCCAGGATGGGTCGGTGTCTTGTGCGACCGTCCGTGCGACGACAAGTCCTACGGCAAGGATTGCGAGGGCAAATGCAACTGCTTTAACAATGCGGCCTGCAACCCGCAAAATGGTAAGGCAATTGAGTAGCGACACCCTTCCGGTTCGAGTCCTCGCGACGAGGCGATGGTAAAATGTTTACGTCGATATCGTTAAACAAGAACGTGTACAGAGAAATTCGCGATCAGTTCCTATCTTTAAATTCTTTCTTAGCACATGCACCCATAGAACACGCGTTATCTTATCTAAACACACGCAGGCACGTGCACGTGTGCGGCTGGCTTCACCGGCACACTGTGTCAGGATCGTTGTACAAAGGGCTTCTTTGGCAACGGATGCAATCAGACCTGCAACTGTGTCGAGGGGAACTCCGTGGACTGCGACTCCGCTACCGGCTATTGCAACTGCAAACCGGAATGGCGAGGTTTGTTGAATTTACTCCCGCGTCCGGTTACCAAGTCAGAAACTTTGCACAACATCTTACGTAATTGTTGAATCAATAGAGAAATTATTGTTAAAAACGATCGTGAAGATTATTCATAAACGTAGCTGTATCGCATATATTACCAGTGTAACAATAGTGACATAAAGAGTATAAGAGAAGCAGTAGACGGGCGATTGGGCGGCGTAGAAAAAGCTGCTCTTAGTGGTAGAGCTCAGCAAAGAGTCGTTTCTCGAGACGGGTTTTGCTTTAACGCCAAAACAGGAATACGATGCGAAACAAAGTGTCCGGAGGGTCTTTACGGCGAGGATTGTCACTCGCATTGCGAATGCATGAACAATAGTTCGTGTGATCCCACGACCGGAAGTTGCGTCTGCGCCAGGGGTTGGGAGGGCCCCGACTGCTCGCAGCCCTGCAAGGAAGGATGGTACGGGCTGGGATGCAGAGAGAAATGCCCGGAGAAAATGAACGGTAACGAAGATCCAATGTCCAAGACTTAGATGCATGACGTCGTTTAAGTGTAACCCTTTAAATTCGCATGATTGTTGTGCCGATTAATCGTATCTCGTAGGCAACGTGAGATGAGTGCATCGTCGCACCTTGCGGCAGAGCGTGTTGTGTTTAACATCTTAATCCTGAATGTAATATATTCTTACGGTTATCATGTGTTTCAACAATCTCCTATTTTTCCGATACACAAATCGGTCAAACCCCCTCACGGAACATATTTTTACGTAAGTTCGACCGTTCGTCGCGTATACTTCGGTAGATTACCATGAAAAGAAATAAAAGAGAAGAAATTAGATTAGCACTTTGATTGCCATGTCACACGTATCTGAGTGATGCGTAAATTTCTCGCCGTCCTTTTGCGAGTGACGGTCTTATCTGATTAAGAATAATTTCACTAAATATATGAGACATTAAAGGAGTAATATAAACTTTATCAAGAGAAGCAATAAAATGAAATATTAGATTTGTTAAGTTCAACACCGAGATTAGTTTGGTACTTAAAGTGTTGAGTTGTAAGATCAACTTCTCCCGCTTATGGTGGCATTGTAACATCCGGAGACGTAGATAATGAGCTTGGATGTGGGTTTTCTCTCATGTACTTTGCGGTACACAGCTAACAGAATTCGAAGCTAAGAAATAGTTTGACCGCTGCTTGCGCAAACGCTGACGCAAACAGTAGGCATAACACTCCACTTTGCTCTTTGTCACCAATCGCTTTTATTGCCAGGCACTTCACTGAGTTATTCGATTAATCATTGGCTTTGCCTTCGGTTAAAGCGAACATGGTGAAAGGGATTGCAGCGAAACGTGTCGTACACTGAAAAATTAACATAAGCGATAAAGTTTTGTCGTAGAAGTCTCTATGTTATTATGGTAAACAATTTTTTTAATTTATCAGCATCGCCGCTTTCTTCCTTAGGAAACATGACTTGCGATCACGTTACCGGCGAGTACGTCTGCCGTCCGGGATACCTGGGTCTCACCTGCGAGCATCCGTGTCCGCCCAATCGTTACGGGCTGAACTGCGCGAATCACTGTCACTGTAAAAACGGCGGGGAATGCCATCACGTAACAGGCAAGTCGAGAGCTCGCGAATCTTCCCGAGACGTAATTTCATTTGAATACATCCACTTGAATCTCTTTTATTACCGCGGTGTATTTTTCAATCAGGCGTATGCCAGTGCCGGCCTGGCTGGCAGGGCGAGTACTGTCAAACACCTTGCGCGGAGGGCACTTACGGTGTAAATTGTACGCAACATTGCAAGTGTCAGAACGGCGGTAAATGCAGATCCAACGATGGCCATTGTCGATGTCCGTCGGGATGGACCGGCACCAGGTGTACCGAAAGTAGGTTTAAAGAGCTGCAGACTTGAATCAGATAAGAACGACGAGTTAAGCTGTACATTGATAAATTAAATGCAACGCTTGCCGATTTCAGTTTGTCCCGAGGGATACTACGGTGATCACTGTATGGAGCCTTGCGAATGTAAAAATGACTTTTTCATGTGCCATCCTGCCGACGGTTGTATTTGCAGACATGGGTATACAGGTACGTAACATCGTTAAGGAAGTAATTCCGTACGAAGAATTAAAGTTTCTTCGTCGTCGTACGGTGATTTAAGGTGACTGAGAAATTTCTTTTAGGTGAGAATTGCGATGAACAACTATTTTCCCGTAATATCCAGGAGAAGGATGACGGAGGATATGGGCACATTGTCGGAGTCGTGTTCGCGACCATTGTTATAATTGGCGTTTTGTTAGCTGCGTGGTTCTACCATCGTCGTAGAGTGGCTGATCTGAAGAGCGAGATAGCCCAAGTGCAATACACGGCTGAGCCTGTATCACCGCCAGGTAAATGAAGCATTTCCTATTGCTGATCGAAAATTTGTTTATCGAAGACAGTCGTCGAAGTGCTTTAATTTTCGACCAGAGAAATCTAAAGTATTATTTTCTTCGTAGAACGAAACCAATTCGACAATCCAGTGTATGCGTATCAAGGTTCCTCCAAGTTCGACGATGGCACTACTACGTTACTGAATAACTTCCAATTCCGCAATAATTTCCATAAAAACATAAATACGGAGAAAGCTAAATTCGGTCTAGGTAGCTGTACCGACGACGAAGACGATTGCAAAGGTATGGCATGTTTATTAACGACAAAATAAAGAAAATTTTGTGTGCACGACTAATTTCGATGTTTTACTGCTTAGGAGCGTTCGGGCTGCAATACGACCTGAAGAACAGGGACGCCGATATGGGAAATCCGAACTTGAATGTGTATCACAGCATCGACGAGATGGACGGCAAGAAAGTCGAGCACGTCTACGACGAGATCAAGCAGAACAACGAGTCGGAATACGACGAGCTGAATCAGCCGCGGCCGGTTAGCTGGAACATAAAGCCGCATTCGAGTCTAACAACCAATGGCTTCCTGCCTAAATCGTGCGACAATCCGGGACCTAGCAAAGCGATAGACAAAGATCCAGAATTAGGTGAAACCTAAAAACTCCACGCAGGGTTCCTCGTTTTCAACTGCCCAGGTTTGAAGTAGAATGAGCTTTATTTACGTGCGGTCGGAAGACTCTGTCCCCTTTCTAGTAAGGAGCAAGTCTGTGGTATTACCTTTTGTCATTTAAGCAAATTTCTTAAGTAAGTCTTTACAACATAATTGCGGTTAATTATGAAACCAGTTTCGTAAAAATTGTATATTGGACGTTTTATATATATTTAAAATCTACTCGTGCGGTTTTATCGTGCCTTTGTCTGGTAAATACGACAGTATTACGATAAAAATATTTCGTATGCGGGACAAGAAAATTTTTAAACCAAAAAAATTTCTGGCATGCTTTTCTTGTAATATTTAGCTTTCACTTGAGATATTATCGATCTCTGTCATTTTCTCACTTGCTACGAATTATTGTGATGAGAAAATGAACGTTTCTGTATATATAAACATATTCTTTTTAAGTGTAGTTTTAATTAAATTATTATGTGCACTTGTCTCTCGATTTATGCGGAGTATTTGTCCCGCGTGGTTTTTCTTTACGCGTAAATAGTCCCCCCGATACAAAAAGAGAATATGTAAGAGAGGAACCTGCATATGTTAAAAAAATTTTTATTTTACATATTTGCACAAAAACAATAATAATGAAAGTAGAAAGGTAGATTTGTTATCACTTGTATGGGTAAATGTGCTCTCTACAAGTCAACCAAAAAAGTCAGACTGATGTAATAAGTATGTGCAATTAAGTAAGAACTTAATGGTATATAATAATTTCAATAAATACGATAAAAAGATATATTTTCGGACTGTATGAAATGATCGTGTATAAAAAGTACCGCGTAAATCGAGGGATGAGTGTATTTGATAGATGCATATGTTGCCGTGTATATGTTGCCAAAACGGCATAAGTAAGTAAGACGTAGTTAAGAAGGCAATGATAAACAGGTGATAAGAAATGAAATCACGAACTTTGTGAATACACAAAGATCTTACCGCGGAGGATCAATTGTATATCTAGATTTTTTATTCGTTGCATGGTTATATCAATATATCGCAATGATTATAAAGACATGTAAAAGAATCTAATAATTGTTGATTTTAATTTTTACAATTTAGTATATCTTAAAAAATAGATGGATCTGGCTTGTATGAACAAATGCAAGTTTATAAATGCAATAAATTATGTAATAAAATATGGGTAAAAATTACGCGATTGCTATGGCGTATTCTTACGACACGTATACAAAAGCAGGCGGTCTTAATTTTCATCATTTTACTACTCTACTTAGCTGTAACATGGCAATTGATTATCTATTGTAACCAGGAGATGTACATATAAATTTTAAATATTCGTTTTTTTTACATTTTCCTTTTCAAGGGATAATATCGTGCAAGACGTTACGGGGTGTATCGCTTATCTTGCAATTATCTTGTGATATAACTCTATCTATTTTGGCGTGTCCAAATGAAAAGCGTATTAGTATATAGCGGTAACGTATAACTGATATCTGGATGGATTAATTTGATCGTGTGTATTCGAAAAGACTTGCAGAATAAATACAAATAATAGAATAAATTTGCGAATAAGGTAAGACGGCGATCAGTGTGATAATACCGTGATGTGCATTGTTAACATGTCGACTAATAGGAAAGATATTTTAATAAAGTTGTCGCGACACTTCATTGCGGTCATACGTAGACAATCGTATAATGTAAAAACACTTATTCTACTACTCCTCTTCAAGCTACAAGGTACGTAAAGTTTGGCACGCTTCGTTGCGTGCGATATTGCCTTACATGCTTGACAATCCAAAGTCGACTATGTAATTCACGAATCGTATGGCGTGAAGGATTATGTGATCACGTATTTACTGTTACACCGTTCGCATTACACGGAGCACACAGCGTTTATTCTTAAGATTACTTGGTAAGAGTATTTCTTACTATTTAAAGGCGTTTAGGTAATCGCCGCCTGTTTTCACCATCGATGTTAGCGCCTTGTAAATACATTTCTGCGACGGACCGTAGCGTATGGTTTTTGTAATGATTTTTGTTAGCCCTCTCTCAGCCTCCGCGCCCGTATGACTTCCCAAATGGGCGGCACGATCCAGTAGCATCCGCCGAGGAACTGCAGCAACGCAACCACGCGAAGACACACGTTCTCGCCTGCGATTGTTAAATTTGATAAATCTTCGGGTCGTGAAATTTTTCTCTGTTACTGTCGTATCCGGCGCATCGCGCGTACCAAAGAAGCGCAATTTATAAATCTCTTGTAAAATTATAAGAAAAAGAAGGAAGAATAAATAAAAGTCGATGTTACGTACTGTCCTCGAAGCAGAAGGCCAACACCCCCAACCCGACGATGGTGGAGAACAGTCTGTGCGAGCGATGGGCGAATTGATTTCCCAGCACGTCGCACAGCGTCAAGTCTTGACAAACGAGCAGACTACCGATACCGATTCCACCGAGCAGCGACCACGTTAGAAACCAGTAATAGTCATACGTATAAGTTAAGCCTGTGGATGAGACAGCGATGAGAATCAAAATGACATACGCCTTGCGCATTTAACTAAACAATTCGGTATATTAGCTGAACTATGGATAATACTCGTACATCTAATTGTAAGAATGATCTTGCTTGTGGCTCATCCGAGTGAAAAAGTTTACACAGATCTAACCAGGGCTAACAAAAATTATCATACTAAAGTATGATTTTTAACTATCTTCTTCTGAGAAATGACACTCAAGTCCATAGACGGTCTCGATTTTTGCTCGTCTATCTATTCGGATGAGCCACAAGCAGAATCATCCTTAAATGTAGAAAGGGCATAGTAAATATCACGTAGGAATGAATTAACGTTACATTAATGAGTAATGCAATACTATTTAGGAGCCCCAAGGAAATACGAATCTGTACACGTCTCACGCACTTAACAGAGTAACACTGCCGAGCCAACAGGCGCCACCAAAATACATTCTTCTGTACTGAACGGTAGTGACGGTGATCCAGTAGCTAGCGACGCTGGGTACGAAAGAGCCGACCCCGGCGACCACCAGCAACGTCATCCAGTCGTCCGTGCGGTAAACCGGCTTCGCCCGCTGCAGGTACAAGGCAGGCACCAGGATCCAGAAGAAGAGCGAGCCGGCTCTCATCCCGATCCACGTCACCACAGCCGCCCAGAACCTGAAGTAGCGAGCCACGCGAAACTCCTGCTTCCACTTGCTGTCCGAACGCGCGGTCGGACTGACGAAGAGCTCGATGTCCTCGTCCGGCTCCTGGTACGCGTAGATGCTGTTCACCTCGCTGAACAAAGGCGCGACATTTCTGTCCTGCTTGTCGCCGTTATCGTAAGCGACGTTGTCCGCGCCGTTGTCTCGTCGATCTGGCTCCGACTCTCTGTCCGGTGATAGCCTGATGCCCAATTCATTATCCTCGTCGGCAAGAAGCAACCTGTTGACGAAGGCGCGATATTACGGCGTGGAAACACAAGATCGTGCATCATTAAAATGGTCTCTTCGATGTCCATTTCTACCAATGCAGATTAACTTTGATCTCGGTTTAACTTACATTTTTTTCTTTTTCTAGTTTCAGGCATTGGAAAAAGATGAAAATAAGTTAAACCGGGATGAAAGATAGTCTGCATTGGTGGAAATGGTTATGAGAGAAACTTCACGGGCGACTCTGTTTTAATTAGAGAGACGAGAGTTTACAAACGGGGTGAGAATGTCCCCCGCCGTCACCTGTAAGGAGACGCTCGCTGCGGAGCTGGAAAGCGCAGAGTCAGGGTGCCCACGGCAGTAGGAAGGAAAGCGATCGTCATCACCAAGAGGCCGGCCTTCAGACCGGTTTCCTCGAGCAGGAAATGCGTCAGCGCCGGAACGAGGATGAAGCCGACGGACATGGCGATGTTCTTGAGCGTCAGCGCCAACGGCAGCCTCACCCTGAAGTGCCTGCGCAGCACGGTCTCGCTCTCGACGATGACGAAACTCGCCCCTATGCCCATCACCGCGCCGGCACTCAAGCCGGCTAAGTACGCGCCCACCCCGCCGGTCGCCAGGTATCCGGAGGCTATGACACCTATGGTGAGGAGTGCCACGCCGATCAGGCCGACCAGTCGCGGTATCGACGCCAATTCCGTCACGGTCTTAGTCCACGGGTCTGAAGATCGTGGACGGAGATAGTGGGAGTCGTGATAAAGAGCCGATACATAGTGTCAATATAAGAGGGGCACCTGCTAAGCTCCAAAAAGCGACGAACAATAGAGGCGCCAGGGTGACCTCGTTCCACAGATCGAAGTAAAGCGTGCTGTTCGTGACCAAGTATCCCCGCACTATGCCGTACATCGACAGGACGCTGGGCACGGTGATCTGTACAGTTTTAACAGCGCGACATTTGTACCTCGCAAAACACTCGATCCGTCCGTCTTTTCTGATGCACCGGTGCAATATTTATTGCAGACGCGTTGTACAGGGCATTGTGAGATATAGGCGCAACAGTATCAGGGATTCTATTACTTACCTATCGAAACGATTACAGAGACTAACGCGACGTTGACATGGATCTATATCGTATAGCAAATAGTTAACGAAAAATCATTGTTCGATTCGTGTATTCCTCGTATCCGGCAAACCTACGTTGTAAATGTAACACCTGGAACAAAATTTTGTTAACGTAATTTACGCGTCAGCAAAAAAAAATGTCGATACCACTGAGCGTACATTTCCAAATACCCTGTATTGCGTCGAATACCGTCTTTCCAACTTCGTCATCCAGTTGCTTTAATTTTAATTGGTCGATATTAAAAAAACAGATTATACGAATACTTGATAATTTTAACAAAGACTCGGGCATTTAGGCGGCAACTGTAGGATCACGAGATCTGATTTCTGAACGAAACGAAGAACGACTCTACCATGAAAGATGCACGTGCGATGATCGAACCTGAATGAAGGCAACACCTAGGAGGACCAACCACGAGTATCCACCATCTGGAGCGGTGGGTCCGAGCTCCGGGAACGAACTGACGATGTCGTCGAGACGGAGTCGCCCGACGAGCGGCATTTTTCTCGTTGCGCTCGGCGCAAGGCTCGGGGGCGCGTAAACTTTACGATGCGAAAAGCGACGTTCGAGACGGCAGGAATTCGCTAAGGTGATTTCGCGACACTTTCTCGCTTTGAACAAACGGCAGTCATTAAGGCGGCTTAAAATATACTGTGCGCGGTATCTAATCTCGGCTAAGGTGCCTCGACGCTGCGATAGCCGTTGATAAGAAGGAAAAGCCGCACCGTTTTCGCACCTGCCAAACCTGCCACCTGCAGACCTCGGCGATTGAATTTATCATCCTTGACGGACGTTCGATTACGCGAGCGCGGCGCGGAGAGATCCGGCCTTGAGAAATCAATTTCAGAAATCGTTATAATAAATAACATTTATTTATAAACGGATTATTACATCGTAAAGTTAAATTGGATAACTAGGTAGCGTTAATCACAAATCGGTATCGCTCATTGACTGTACGCAATGCCTGAAAACGCGCCGACCATGAAACTTCATGCTCAATTTCGCACGCCGCTGCGAGCGTGCGAGTTATCGGGGAGCCATACAATTTGAAGCATAATTTTACGTAAAACGACGATACCGTTACGGTTAGAAGTATATTACAAAAGTTTCATGCGCGTCCAAGTTTCTCCCGGAACCTTTAGTCCGTGCCCGTTCGCCATTCGCTTCGAGACGTGCGAACGGGGTAAGCTGAGTTCTCGAGCTCGGCGTCTTCGCGAGACGCGAACGAACTCTATCTTAAGCGAAAACTTGTCGTTTGCCGGAATACAGCTTCCCTCCTCTTTCCTCGCTCACACGTCCTCGCGAGTATCACCGTTCGCTATCGAAGTGTACCGCACCCGCTTGCTGACCGAGTCGAGCACAGGCTCGATCTTCTTCTGAAGTTTCACCCTTTGTAGATAGACCAAAGCGCACACCAGAGCGATCAGCACTATCGAGAGGAAGCAAAGCACCACCGTCGTTCCCCGCTGGGTGGAAGCTAGTAGCTTCGGCGCGCAATTCTTCGTTTCGTGGAAGTCGTGCCGCAGGTTACCTAATAAAAGGAACAGAGCGTGAACAGCGGAATTGCCGAGGTGATAAGAAACCGCGTTTATCCGATCGACGAAGAATTACCCTCGTGGCACTGCAGGTTGGCCTTGTTTCGGATAAACACTTTCGTCTTCTTCATCCACTTGATGAACGGATTGAGCTTGCAGGAGCACTCGAAGGGATTGCCAGAAAAATCCACGGTCACGGTCCGCTCGTGCTTAGCGAGATTGTCCATGGTATGGAGATCGCGCTCGAGGACCCTCGTGAATTTGTTTCGCCGTAGGTCCAGGAAGCGCAGTCTGTGCAGGCACGACAGATTGAACTGCAGCGCGCTCAGGTCGTTATCGCCGAGATGAAGATCGAGGAGGCTCGGTAGATCGCAGAACACGTTGACGTCTTTGAACTCCGAGATCTCGTTCTGCTCGATATGCAGCTTTATCAGCTGCGTGAGGTTGCTGAGAAAAAGGAATGAGCGGAAACATCAATTAAAACCTGAGGGTAGATTAGAATAACTGCAGGATTAATTTGCCAGAAGAAACCTTCGACATTAGCGCGATAATTTGATATAAAAGGAACAAGAGAGTCAAGAGTGGAAAAGAAGACAGGTGAAATACCTGTTGACGAAGATGTCGTGGAGCGTCGACGCCAGGTTCCTCGGCGGACCGTCCTCGAAGGCGTCGGTCAGGTGCAGCTCCAGTAGGGAGATGAAATTGGAGAACACCCGCGGGTGGCTCCTCGCGGGATCCAACGAGAGCTCGTTGAAGTCGAGTATGAGACGCTCCACGTGCTGCACGTGGTGGTAAGCCTTGCCGCGTATCTCGCGTATCTTGTTGTTCGACATGTCGATCACCTTTAGATTAGGCAGGTTGTCCAGGGTGCCGAACACGTTCCAGGGCAGTTCCTCCAGCTCGTTCCCCGTGAAGATGAGCACCTGCACAGGCCGAAGCGCCGTCGCGTTAATTGCATCAATGACACAGGGTCCGCGGACTTTAGTCGCGATTGATTCTACGCACCTGCGTCTCGTTGGGCAAAGCCGCCAGCGGGGACGTGTCCTGGAATCCGGTACCCGTGCAATTCACCACGTATTGAAAGTGACCGTCGTAGCACGTTCTGAGGCAGTGACAGCGGTTCTTGAAGGCCGGCCCGCACTCGAGCCTGGACGACGCCGGCGTCTCTAGAGAGTGAAAATTTGGATCCCCGCAGTCGTCGACCGACCTGGCGATCGACGCCGATATCAGGAGGAGCGTCGAACAGTAAACGACGGCCCTCATCGCGGCTCGTGCCGATGACGATCAAGGCGCTTCGCGAAGGATTTTGCGCTCACGCGCGTGCACATTCGACCGAACGTTGGCCGAGAAGATCTTCGCGCGTCTCACCTCCAATCTATGTACATGCAACGCGAATGTTTAATAGAAGTTGGCCATTAATTATTCATATTGTGAGCTTAATGACTGGGAACGGGCGTAGGTCAGAAATTGCAGAGTAAAACCTCAACTTTAATTTAATAAGATCTCTCTCTCTCTCTCTTTAACGGTTCGACGATGAAAATTTGACCGTCCTCTTACTCGGTACAGATCGTCAAAATTAAGTTTCCCTACAGCTGCATTTTTTTCTTTGGACAAGATAATGCAACGGCAATTGTTTGGAAACCGAAATATTATAGTAATATTCAATGTAATACAATTACATAATCACACTATTATTTAATGATTATATGATTGTATATTAAATTAATATGTGATAAAATTAACATTATATTAACAACCGAATATTTGGACAAGGTGACGCAACGGCAATTTTTTGGAAAGTAATGTTCGATGTAATACAATTATATAATCACATTATTATTTTATGATTATACGATTGTATATTAATCAAATTAGTATTGTATTAATAATTCGATAGAAATTTATACGCTCGTACAATACGCGTCGAAGTATTATTTAACGGTGACTCATTAACAGGTTCCCTGGGTTTCTATCGCCAGCTACAAGATGAGCGAGTATTGCGGGTAATTCCAGCAACTCCGCGGGACTTGCTGGACAATAGAAGAGCTCGAAGGATCTAAAGCAATTGGACCGTGCACGTTCGTATGCAATCGCGTCGTCAACAGTTTGAAACTTGGAAGTAGGTCGCCGAGCCGAGCCGCCGACTCGGAAAACGTTCAACTGGCTCACCCACGCGACAGGTAATGTCGAGCGGGGAAGAGGAGAGCCGCCTTCCGCGGCTCCTCCGGATATCTTGGAACCGTGCGCCTGGTCGCACGGCGTGAGATGGCCGTGGCACGCTTATTTTACTCGGCGCTGGCATTGAGAGAAAGCTGATCGCGACGGGACCGCGGCGCGCCGTTTGACAATCCCGAGGAGGCCGAGCGGAGCTTAAGCTGCGGACCGAGCCGAGCCTGATAACTCCAACCGATGTGGCACGTAACTGACGCGCGTTTTCGACGATATCAATTTGCGTATTTGTCAATGAAATCAACAGGCACCACGAGTGAGGTCTCGTTTCGCTGACGACCAGTCATCGGAGTACGCATACGTTCGATATCCGGTTGCACGTTCGCCGCGTTGGACCTCTGGACTACTGGCCGAGAGTCGGAGCGTCGCGCAGGAAACTTTTACCTGTCGAAAGAGGTGCCCACTTACCATTCCGTCCGCGTGACGAAAAGAAAAGAGAGGGAGAGAGCGAGAAAGAGAGAGAGACAAAGAAAGAAGGAAAGAGCCTGACGAAGAAGGGAGAGACTCGGGGGACCCCCGAGTGCGCTCCGAGGAATGCACCCGAATCGGAAACGCACCTTGTCTCGGTAGCCCGCGTCCACTTGGTACACGCGCATTCGAGCTCCGCGCAGCAGAGCGTACACGTTTCGCTCGCGAGACCACCTCCTCCGGGGGGGGAGGCTCGAGCTTCCGGGAGCGGCGGAACGCGCGAAGACCGGAGACTCTCGAGAGGGAACTCCGCGAGGGAGGCAGGAAGCGCGCGCGCGAGACAGCGGCTCCCGTTCTCCACGACGCGACGGACCGCACCACATTGCGCGGCCGTGCTTCATCCCGACCGCACCTGCGGTCCCGCTTCCCTCCTGGGCCCCTCGGCGGGCCCCAGGTACCGAGGCGGGACCGGCCCCTCCAATTCTCCTCGAACGAGTCGGGCCTCGTTCCTCCTCCGGCTGGCGATCCACGTCGCACCTTCTCGCACCGCTGACATCACCTCCTTCCGACCCTTCCTTCCTCCTTCCTTGGTCCCCGCGGTCGCTCTCGCCTCGTTCGCTCCGCTTCGCCTCGCGATGTCGTCATTAACGAGCTCGCAGCGTGGCTGAGAATGGGGAGCCGCAGTTAGAAACGCTCGTTTCGCGGCTTCGAGCGTGTGCACACGCTCGAACGGAGTTTAATAAAGGGCCTCAATTACGAATTCTCCCGGCTTATTGCCGGAATTAACTCGGGAATTGTTCCACTATAGAGATCTCTACTGATCGCCTACCATTTCGCTCGTTATTATGCCATTCTTATTAATACAGATCCCTCCACACTCGACTCTCCCCCGTTGGGGAGAGATTTACTGTCTCCGACGCAGCGGAAAAGATTTCGAATGCGTTTCCACACGGCGTGTCCCTCGGCGCGATGCGCGGTATTCGATTACCATTTCAATTTTTCCGTTTGAGAAAAATGCTTTCGACATATTTCCCTTGCGATCACGTTACAATCTTATTTTATTACATTTAATATTATTCTAAAAAGGACATTCGGAATGGATGTACCCTGTTAAATTCGTAGTGGCGAATTTGTCTCGACGATGAGTCGTCACTATGTCTTTATTTTTAGCTACCACGTGTGTTTCAAGATTTATTATTTTAATGCAAATGTAGTTAGGACAACAACTACACCTGCTACGCAACCCACTTCTGTAGTTTCTTGTAATACGATTGTTCAGTTAAATTAACGATGTATTAATTAGTAGGAGTGGCAACTCGAATCGAGTCAAATTTAACACTACCCTAGTAGCACCCTAGTGCATTGACCAAATATTGGTTAAACTTCGGCCGAATATTCGATTGTATTGGGCCAAAGTTCAGCCAATGCACCGTGCTACTAGGGTACGAATTTAACAGAGTGAACTAGGAATGTGCATTCCTATGCGATCGTGAGTAATTTCAATTAATAACTCACTTGGAGGTGTACGAATACCTTTATTCATGGAAAACTGCGTACGCAGAATGGAAGTCTGTCCAGAGAGTAATTGTCTTAATTTCACAATGTGTGCGCAAAAGACGCCAGCAACGCTATCTAATGTTATCGTCGCAAGTGAGAACGCGTCGACATTTCATTTTCGTACAGTACAATTTTACATTTATAGACTTATCTCTAATATCCTTTTTGTTTATCTCCTCTACTAAACGGCAGACAACATTTAAAGGTTGTACAAATATAATCGGGGAAATAAACTTGTAAAGTAACATCGAAATAGAACAGTCCGATCGAGAATGCATGATAATTATACAGATGTGTGCATGCTTGCTTTTGTGCTGGTGTACGAGTATTACAATGCGGAATCGAGGAAGTGTGTGCGTACGACTTTTGTTTTGTTTTTTTTTTAGTCAACATACGTATTGCTGTTACACGCCGTTTCGTATTTTTACATATACACGCAACGATTATTCTGCGTTACAACTTTTAATATAACATCAATGACTTCGCTCGCTACTAACTGTATTTTTCCTTAAACGGCGGAATATGTCGCGTCACGATTTAACAATTCAATCACAAACTTTATCCGTTTCTAGATATTTGCTTTACCCATTTGAATTTTCGCTCTTCTCTGACAATTGCTAAGACGACGTGGAAGAAACTTTCTAAAAAGACTGATTCCAGCGCGAACGTGTAAACCATTTAGTAGTCGGCCACCCAAATTTCCACGTAAATCTTAATTAACAAAACGTGGACTCTAAGGACAGCGCAACATTTAGAAATATTAATTTTTATATCATGTCTCTTGCATACAACTAATATCTTGTGTTACATTAATGAAGCCGGGTATTATATAGCACATCAGATACGACATAAATATTTCGAAGACTTATTCTGGATTCAATGGTGTCATAAAAGTATTAACATGGCTTTAATGAAACGTTACTTGCGAAAGTAATGTCCACGGTACAATTTGCGATTATTATAATTTACATAAAACTGAACATATTATCAGTATGTGTGTAAACTCTATAAGTAGTGTTGTCTTTTTGTAAAATTTGGTGGTAACAGTTATTGCTATACTTTATAGAATCTATAGAAAATTATTATTAATACGTGTATAAAAAATAATATATAAAATATACCGTATATCGCGTGAGAGAGAGATAAAGCAAATAGATCGTTAAGTTAACATTAATAGTTTACAGACTAGAAACTATGACGATCGCGCTGTAGTAAGTTAAAGTACTAGATTGATTGTATCGTATGTATTATTAGTAAGTGCGTGGTTCCTTTCCTATTTTGATTTGCAAGATTAACGCTAGGAAAACGTTAGTCGATGTAAGACACAATAACTGATATTCATCATTCAATATATCTCGAGATTCCTATACTTAGATCGTTAAACGCTACACTCCTAATTAAGATTAGTCGTGTGAAAATATATAGCTTTCAATCTATTAGCAATAAGCTTAAAGTAAAGAGAAATTAGCAACTTAGTGTCATGCGAGATAGTACACACGCTCATAAAATTATATCAGATGCAACAGAAAATATAGCTTTTGTCATAGAAATAATATTTCTCTAATAGCTCATTATGCAATTTAAAGTACAATAATTTTCGCTTTATATCAACGCAATGCGTTAGTTTGGTTTACTACTTTGGCCCGAAGAAACCCTAGCTGCGTAGGTACTTTGTGAAAGATATTAAATGCTTATGTACATAAGTCTTTAAACTGGAAATATATATATTTATGTAGAAGAGCATTTGGCAGTAATCAGAAAAATCGAGTTTCCATTCGCATTTAATTTCTTTTAATATAAATTCATATCTAACTTCTATTCTCGTAAAATCAAGATTCTCTTGTCCAGTCCTTAATATCGTCATATGTATAAGATATGCAGGTATAAATACAGACTGAGATAATAGTCGAATTCAATAATGTCATACAAATGGAAAATACTATTACAATAGCATTAAAGATCAACGAAATTCGCACGGAGTCAGAGTGTATTTAAAATTATTTAGGAAGCATTTATCTAATCAGACTTCACCCTACAGCCCTGCAGTCATTCTCAAATTTTGGAAGGCTTATATATTATATAAATATAAATATATATATGTATGTATATACATATACATATTACATGTATCTTAAATAATTATATCTGCACCAATACAAGTCACACACGCATACACATATATGTAAATATCTGCTCAAATTGATGCAAATATTTCACAGTTATGAAACATCTGTGTGATTATCCTCTCTATTTAATAGCCTCGATTTGTAAAGAGATATAATCTTCCTTTTGAATTTATATATGCATATTGATAAAAATTTCATACAATTATACATTTTACCTTAATACCTGTCATATCTTTGTACCCCTTTTAAGAAAATCCAATCAAAAAATTAGGTGTATTACCCTTGAAAGCAAGAGTGTACATACGTAAATTGTAAAAATCAATTTTGTGAAATATACGGACCCTCTAAATGTTAAAAGGGAGATATCAAGATATTATTTACAAAAATAAAATAATAAAATGATACTATTATACGTCAGATCTTGAATTGGTCCCAAAATAACGCATACCAATTCAACATAGTATAGTAATAGCAATACAGTTTAAACGATTATTTATCAAATATGCTTTGCGATAATAAAATCAATATTTCATTTGTCCTCTACTTGACAAAATATATAAAACACAATTTGCCAAATATCCACAGCTAGTGGCACAGAAACAAAATTTCGATTGTTTTTGGTATCACGCTGTTATTGTGGGACACCCGGCGAAGGGAAGATTCTTACACGATGCGCGCGAAGAGTCGATTTAAGCTTTGTATCTATCTGATGGTCCGCCTTTGCAACAGCAGATTAGAGCGAGTATCAGACTAAGGATTTCTAGGGCTAAGACCAGTATCGCCGCGCTCATAAAGTGGTAAGTCTGAGTCTTGAGTGTAGTCACCAACTTTTCCATGCATCCCTGCAACAAAGTTTTTTTTTTATCTTGGCGCACTGCACACATTTAATGCAACAGGGATAAAGCAGTATATAGAGACCAGCCTTACCGCGCTGTAGATCGCAGAGCTCACGACTCCGGCAATTTTCAACTGGCGGCCCTCGTTACATTCGGCGCTACTCGCGTCTTTACAGCAGGATTTGGGTATCTTGAACACGTTGTTGGTGCTTGAAACGCCAAAAGTCACTCGCGCCTGAGAGGAATCCTGGCTTGCGTACTTGCTGCCGGCCCAGTCCATGGGCCCATTGGCTCCGCAGCATTCGAGAGTGGCTTGAATGGTATCCATGATTTGCGTGCGACATTGTATCTCGCCGTATTCATCCTGCGAAGAGCAATAGGACGTGCTTACTTTCATAGCGTACAATTATCGCTCGAATAAAACATTGAGGCGTCCACTTCGTGCGGGGATCGTTATCGGATTTAGCACGCAGCGGACGTTTCATCGGTTGAAAGGCGAACATTACCTTAACTGTGTTTATCACGGAGGATCGCACCAGCTCGTCCAGGCGGTCCTTGTGGGCGTAAAGCCAGCCCGCGAAGGCGACCTGCGCGACCACGATGACGAGCATGATGCTGAAGAAGGTGGCCAGGCAATATCGAGAGTGCTTGAAGGCACTGCACCAGCCTAGGACGGAGACGATGAGCATGAGAATGCCGGTGCAGAGCAGAATGTACAGGCCCGCCTCGTAATTGTTTCCCTCCTCGGCGATCGATACTAAATACGTTTTGTCCGACAGCATGCATGCTACCAGGGTTATCACCGTCACCGAGATTATCTGCAAAAGACATGCGAAATGACGATCAGACCGAGGCTGGTAGGGACGAAGGAACGCGAGTAAGCGAATAGAGCTTACTGGAGGAAATTTTGTGAAATTTTGTAAACCTTTTTTTCAGACAGATCGAGCACGAACAAGCACGAACGAGCGCTCGTTCGCGGCTTCGGTCGTAATTAGAAGAGCGAGAAGTGTGCTACGCTGTTTCCTCCCACGACTCGACAGTAATTCTATTTCCAATTAATTCTTGAAACTGTTCGAATCGCGGGACAGACGAGCCATTTCACAAAAGACTATGTTTCCAACGAGCGTCCCGAACGTTGCGAGGATAAAAGGGACTGAGGTCCGGTATAAGCAAACTGTAATCTTAGTTTAATTCATGTTTGTCTCTTTCTAGGGTAACAGCTGGAAAGGGACAAAGAACGAATTAAGCTAAGCTTAATTTATTGCCTTCTAAGCGAACAGTCGGACAGAGACGAAGAATGAATTAAGCTAATTGTAAGCTGAAAGTTAAGCGACGTTGATGACAACCGGGCCTTGTGTCCACGATGCTTGATCCGAGAAACGTGCAGCCAACACAACGGCCGGTTTTTCCATAAAAGTTACGAATTAATTGGCCGTACCTTACGAGGATCTCAGTTCGACTACGCAATTCATGAAACACAGCGTGGTCAATGAACTTTCAACTTTCATGAAAAGAAAAAAAACGGCCATTGTAGTGGCTACACGGTTCTCGGACCGAGATTTAGCACCGTGGACAGGAGGGGCTCCACTTTACGAGCCGAAACCGTAGGGGACCTGGGCGAGGGAGGAGGACGTGACGTTTACAATAAAACTGTCTGCCCGCCAAATGCGTGGCGGCCAGCTTCCATTTAAACGTACGGATTATCGCGGGGTTTCCTGCTCGGGTCTCTTCCAGCAACGGACGTGGGTTCACGTGGGTCAAAGACAAAGAAGATAGAGAGGGGGAGGGGGAGGGAGAGGGGGAGAGAGAGAGAGAGAGAGAGAGAAAAAGAGAAGAGACGTCCTTGGCGTTCAAAGTGCCAGCGCTACTCTCGAGCGTGTCCCCCGCGAGCCAGTCGATTAGCTTGTGTAAACAGACGCGAGCGAGAATAGATATACATATATTAATCCAGAGTCAAATATTGATAGAGGCGAGAGAAACCGCGAAGGGAGCTGGGCATCTCTGGAATCTGCGGTCTTCCCGGCGGCAAGGGACATAGAGAAACGCGTCGGTCCCTTCCGCGTGAAGAACCGAGGGCGTAGAAACGTATTAGTGTACAAAAGGATTCGGGGAAAGGGCGGGAATCTTGACCGAAGAGAAAACGGCCCCCCTTTTTTTTTTTCGAAGGCCGCAAGATCGTTTATTCGTGCGTGAGCGCGTCTCAGAGCGGTAAAGGTGGAAACGCGTCTTCGTTCGTCGCGCGGCGAGAATAGAAAATCTCGCTATAACGCGGGAGAGTTGATGTAAGAGCGCGCGCAACAACTAAAAGCGATCCGATGAATCAGACGCGGGATTCCATCCCGCTAATATCAGAGCTAATACCGCGATATACCCCGCGCGATCTCGATGATCTCGACGCTCGTCAAGCCGTCGTAAGATGCAGTCACGTGGCTGCGGGCGGGCCAGCGAACGAAGACGTTTGTTAAGCCCGCAACAGACTACGGATTGAGATTGAGATTATATTGAAATTTGACTATCAGGTTTAGCGAATTTTACTCAGATTGGCCAAATATCAATCTAATCTCAATCTCAACCCGTAGTCTGGCGCAGGCTTTAGGAGTTCGAATCCGAGCCGAGTACCGCGAACTGGCGTCGGTCGCGTTAAGCCCGAATCGGACTACGGATTGAGACTGACATTAGATTGAAATTTAACCAATTGGAGTAAAAGTCACCAAACTTGAGATTAGGAAACTTTGCTCCGATTGGTCACATTTCAATCTAATCTCAATCTCAATCCGTAGGGCTTTAAACCCGTATCAGAGGACGATCGGAGTAAAAATTACTAAACTTGAGATTAGTAAACTTTGCTCCGATTGGTCACATTTCAATCTAATCTCAATCCGTAGGGCTTTAAGCCCGTATCAGAGATTGAGATCAGATTGAAAGTTGACCAATTGGAGCAAAAGCCACTAAACTTTAAATTAATAAACTTAATTCTGATTGGTCAAGCTTCAGTCTAATCTCAATCCTCTGATACGAGCTTTAAGCTCGTTTTTCCGTCAACGGAGTCTGCACCGACGCAGCCTGACGGTTGCAGAATTTATCTTTTAAAATCCCATTCAACGGTCGTTACAAGATATTTACAGAAACGGATTGCAGATTGCGCTCGTTTTCCGCGGCCGGTCTACGCGTCGTAGCTTCTCGCGAGCAAAATCCGCTCTCCGCGGATCTGACCAACCGGGAGTAAAGCGCCGCGGATTTTCCCCGTTGAACGGGGAAGGCGATTACGCGACGGTACATGGAGCCAGCGTACACAGCGATTACATAGCAAACGCAGTCGGCTCTCGGAATAAGGCGCTCCTTCTCGTTAATACCAGCCGACCCGCGGGAAACGGAGGGAGGGAATTGGGCCGTAGCGTGGGCCGAAGGCTCGTAGGAAGAAACGCGCAGCTCTACGGCCGCGGGACTATATTTAAACGCGCGTTCTAAGATGGATATGTCGAAATTGCGGATCCCGAGGTCGATAAACGTCGCGGCTCGCGCGCGAGAGCCGTTAATCCGAGCCGATATTCCTTCGTTCTTTCGTCGCGTCCGATTCCTCGTCCCCCCCCCCCCTTCCGCGAACGATTTCTCGCGTTCCGCACCGCGTTTACGCGAACGTCAGCGATATTTCCGTCGCATGTGGACGCGATTCGCATAAATCGGGGGATGTCGGCGATGTAATTTTCCGTGCGACACGCACATGATGAATTTGCGATGCTTATCCCGATGAAGAAAAAAAAAACAGTCCCGACGAGAGTCCAATCGCGGGCTTCTCGCGGGGGTGACGTTAACGCAATTAATCGAGTGGAAGAGCGGGGCGACCCGAGGGGGGGCATCATCGGCGATAATAACGGAAGAGCCGCGGCAAACGAAAACAATGACTTTTCGCGGCTCCTCTCGAGTTCACGCGCGCCGGTGTGCGCGTCAACGGGATAAGACGCGAAACGCATCTGACTCGAGGGGTCGGAGACACAAACGGGGACGCCTGTCGAACGAACGAGTCTAGAATCAAACCCGGGGGGGCAAGTATCGCGGAAGTTTTCAATCGAAACAGATCCCGATCTCGAGGTTGTTCGATTATCTCGGGGATTTCTATTATATTTTCCCCCCCATGGAAAAACGCGACGACTCCGATCGGAATCTCGGCGACGCGCACCCAGGAGGCGAGAGTCAAATCGTCGCCGGGTGGAGGGAAGAGAGCGCATATCGATCCGGGACGGAGAGACGGGGGGGGGGAAGAAGGGGAGACGCGCCGACGGAGGTGGACTCACCAAAAACACGAGGCTCATGGCCGCCAGCGTGTACTTGGAGAAGTTGTAGCAGATCGTCCCCATCTTGCCCGTGGTTCACGAGGGGGAAGCGGATGCGACGTACGGAGGAGCGCGAGGAGGCCCCCAATGATGTGCGCGACTCCGCGCGGCGTCCCAGCGCGAGGCACACGGTCGTACGCGCTGCCGTTGCCCGCGTATTTACGACGCGGGCCGACGGTGGACCGTAGGGGACCGTGGGATGTGCGTTCCCGCCTCTGCCGCGCGCTCCCGCGCCGCGACGAAACGCAGATGCGCGCCTCCGCTCTCCGCGTATAGCGCACAGATGCGTTCCTGTCACTCACTCACTCTCTCTCTCTTTCTCTCTTGCTCGCTCGCTCGGGGGAGAGGGAGAGAGCACCGGCGCGACGACTCGACGTCTCGACGCGATCGGACGGGAATCGCGACGCTCGACGCTCGACGCTCGACGTGACGGCGGTCCACCAGCTTTCCGCGTGCGACTCTGTCCCGACGACGCGCTTGAATACACACTTGGGATACGCTGGAGCGGAGCAGACGGCGGATTGTCAGCGGTCCGGGGTCGCGGCGCGGGCGGCGCCACCTGTTGGCGCACGCGGGAAGCGATTGGACGACGCGCGGTCGGTAAGCGCGGCCCGACCGTCGGTATTGTCGGTAGTACAGTTATTTATCGTCGGTTTGTCGCTTTCTTCATTCGGCATCTTGTTTTATCTTTTTGCTCCAGCTTCTTTCTACTTTGTCCTTCTTCGTTACCCTTTTCGGTCTTTTTTTAGAGCCTCGTTGCTGTTGTTGTTGCGATTTGGTCGCGGAATCAATTTCGGAGCTCGCGTTTCCACGCGTGGAGGGATCCTCTGGAAACGAGCCTTCAACCTCCAGCGCGGAAAAAGAGAGGAGGACGTCCGCGCGAGCAAAAGGGAGCGGGCGCGCGGCGCGTGCGCGCGCGCAGCCGCGGCGGCGCATTATAAATACAACTACTAGCCCTCGGCTCGAGCCGAGTGAAGTTGTCGGCGGAGTCACAGTGGTCGTATGATGGCGCAGTATGTCGGCCGTCCGCGATTCGCGCCGACGGCGATCCTTTTGCCGCTCGTTGCTGTGTACGTCGCCGAGCTAGCGAATGCCGGCGCGCCGACGTTCGTCCCGCCGACGCCCGCGGCGTCGGCGGCGACGGGGAGGAGCACGGAGACGGCGGCCAACGGCACCGGGCGTCGCGGCGACGTTACGTCGCGCGTGGTCCAGCCCGCGGTGAATAATTCGTTCGCGGTCGTCGCCATCGTCACCGAGCCCCACGATTACGGCGACAGTTGCCGCGGGCGCTTGGTCGAGTTCCTGGGCGCCGGCCTGAATCGCGACCTCGCGCCACGATGGTCGCCGTCGAGCCGCGAGTGCCCGCCGGGAGCGGACAACGCTCTGGACGCGGTGTGGACGTCGCCGTCGGGCAAGCGCGCGGTCTACCGATTCCGCTCGCTCCCGGACACGAAGGTTACCACCGTCTACTTTTGCCTGAGAAACGGCAGCGACGACAAGTGGAGCAACCTCGGCGACAGCTACTTCATTGAATTCCGCCGGTACCAGGCGCGACCGGAGTAAGTAATCTCTTGGATGGCCGCTTTTCTATCTCCGGCAGCGAGAATGCGCCTACCCCGTCCTCTTCCTCGGCTCGTTGTCCTCGTCCGTTGCCTCGGCTTCTTCCTACTCTTCCTCGCTTCGTCTGCATCTTTACACCTTTCCTCACTCGTCGTCTGCTTTACGTTGCTTCTTCGGCTTCATTTTTGTCTCCTCTCTGCATTTTCCTCTTCCTCCCCCTTTCCTCTCGTCGCCCGCAAATCTGCTTTTCCCGCACTCGTGCATTTTCCGCTATTGCTCCTACGGCTTTATCTGCTCGCCGCGTGCGACGAGTCAGCGCGATTCCTGAAACAACAAGCGCGCGAGGACGCACGAAATCATATAAATACATCATCGACAGAGTGTGACTAAGAGTATCTAAAAACAGACATGAGGTAATGGAAAGTATTTAAGTATTTCGCGCTGGACATTAACATTGCAGCCGCGGTATTAAAGACCTTGGGTTGTGACTCTTCCTTTAATTAAGCCGATTGCTCGACGCGTCGAGCCGCGCGCAGTTCCAGCGTTTGTGTCAAATTACAAAATGGGATTGCAGGTGCGACCTTCTCACGCGCGACGTCTCCGGCGATTTAAACCCTGCGGGACCGGCGGCGGCTGTGGCGGCAACTGCGAATGCCGCGTGCGAAGAAGCGGAGCCGGGGCGTAGGGAAGCGTCCTAGAGTTTCCGCAAACAAGCAAAGCCCGCCTCTCTTTGCTCTACGCCGTCTAATCGCGCAGACGGTGCGAGCGCTATATATATTTGCGAAATGTATATACACGCCGGAATTATCTCCGTTCGTTTCCCACGAACATTACGGCGCGTGATTTATGGAGGAGGCGAATGACTCGGCGCGGCACGCGGACTACGCGGACCGTTTAGTTTTCGATAAGTCACAGCCGCCGCGCGTAACGCGGTCTTCCCTTTCGGGGCGGCCGTCCGTCTGCCCTCTCGCCGTCAACGTCTTCGCGGGGACAGGGGGGAGGCAACCGAACCGTCGTCGCCGTCGACGGATTAGGTACTGCGGCGTCCGCAAAGAACTTTAGATGTAAAGATTTAATGGAATGGCCAACTCGATTGTGTCACTTTCCTAAGTATTATGTCTTAAAGATCTCGTTGTAGACGCCGCGTAATAGCATGGTATAATTAGTAGGTCCACTCTCTGCCGGCCCCGTTGATCTTCGCGGCCCCGATCACGTGGTATTCCACCCGGGCAGGATTTAGCGACGTGTGCATGTGTGTATGTGTGTGTATACGCACTCGTCAAAGTCACACCACCGCACACACAACTTTTCTCTCATTGACTGGACCAACAAAACGTCGGAGTGGACCTACACTGAGAAAAATGCTTGGATTGTATCAACAAGACATGTATGATACAATATTTTGTATATACAGTATTTTGATCAAACCAATCAGAATTTCTAGTTAGCCCGATAGGGCACGATATTTCGTAACCAGAAGTTTGCTAGACTTCACTACTCATCTGGAAAAGTCCAAAGTAATTCTGACTCGTTCAATTTCTAACAAACGACTGGTTGAATCTACCAGATTTTTAATTAATGCAACCGGATTGTTTTTTCAGTGTACTAGTTGTATCACAATAGAATATAACTAGTGAGGTCCATTCTCTGCCAGCCCCTTTGATCCTGCGGTCCCAATCACGCGGTATTCCATCCAGGCAGGATCCAGCGACGTGTGTGTGTGTGTATATGTACTCATCAAAGCCACACCACCACACGTACAACTTTCCTCTCATTGACTGGACCAACGAAATGTCGGATATGCAGAAGGGATCGACGCAAAACGAAACAAATGACCGAGCGGGCCTATTAGTTATACTACGGGTAATAGCGGCGATCCGCGCGAGGCGACGAGGCGTTTCAGGGCGGCGTGTGTACGTTATCGCTCCTCGGTCACGCGAGGAATGCGCAACTTTAGACGCTCGACGCATTTCGGCCACGCCGTGGAATCCGTCGTGGCGGCGATGCCGCGCGGGGGGGGGAGACGGTGATAACTACACGCGCCGCGGCGCGATATCGCGGACGTTAAAACTATTGACCGCGTGGCACCTCTCACGCGGACTGGCGGCGGTCCAACGGGGCCCCGCGCGGATTTTCAATGAGCAAAAATAGAAATTGGCGCGCGACCCATATATCCCGCCGCTTCCGACGGCTCGCGGGGCGTTTAAGCTGGAAACACAAAAGAACTTGAGCAGCGAGACTTGAGACGTGAGATTTTCTACCCAATCGAAATGTTCAAGCTGGAAACACGCGAAAACGTTTGAACGGTAAATCTTAAGACCTAGGAATTTCAACCAATCGGATTTTTCAGCATGGCTTAGGTTTCAAAGCGGCTGCTTACATTCTTGATTCTCAGTTTTTATTTCCCTCGAATCTCAACTTTTACAGCTTAAGGTTTTTCGTGTGCTCGGGCCCTAGGCATTGCGCGTCAGTTTCAAAACGGCTTACATTCTTGACTCAGATTTCATTTCCCTTAAATCTCAAGTTTTATCGCTGAAGGTTTCTCGTGTGTCTCGTCGGGCCCTTCGGCATTGCGTCAGTTTCAAAACGACTGTTTACGCTCTGGACTGGTTACTTCCTTCGAGTCTCAAGTTGCCGCTCAAATATTTTTCGTGTGCTGGCGAGCCCTTACGCACAGGACGCGTTTACGACACTCCGCAGTTGCGAGAGATTCGCCGTCTCGTCGCGGGAAAAGGCCTAAAATAATCGACCTTTCGCTCCGACTTGCGGCTTGGCCTCGGTAGAATCTTTCCGTTGAAACGCGCTCGAACTCTATCTCGACCACTTTCATTGCAATAATCGATTCTCGGTGGAGGAGTGATTGCATGAAATCGTTTCGAGTCATTTTCTCATTTGTTCGCGCTCGATATTTCACGAGGACGAGCAAATGACTTTCGTGCGAGACCTCGCGCGTTTCACGGTGACGTAGTTTCTTTTTCATGTTTATTTATCGACCATCTGAAATCTCGTTATCTCTATATCGCGAGACGATAGCCTTATTTATGAAAGGGCTCCCGTTACTCTCCATTCCGCAGATTAACGAGTTACATCGGTATCTCGGGAATGAGTCCCGATAACACTTCGTGCGCCGCTCGCGACCGCTATTTTTCTTCACGGGATACGCCCGCACTTAAAAATGTCGCGATTATAATAACGGCGACGATACAATAGTAAATGGAGAATGAATTAAGGGGCAATCTCTGAAAGTCAATCAGTGAATTATCACTGAACACAGTGAATATTCACTGATCCACAGTTGTAGAGGAAACTCTATTATGAGATAGGTTTGTAATATGAGATAGCAGGTCTTTAATACCCAAATTCAATTGCAAATCTTTTTTCGCAACGATTGCACAATCTAACAATGGATTTTCCACTAAACAGATTTCGCTCCAAAGGTAATAAATTCATTGAGGGGGGAAACCGCTGACCAAAATCTTGTACACCGTTGCCCACTAATGCCCAGTGGGCATTACTTTATCTTATTATCTTATTTTGTCTTATTTACCTTGTTTTACCTTATTTCATCTTATTTTATCTTTGTAATGCCCTAGCAAGGCCTAATGCCCAAACAATGCCTACACATTTGGAAAATGTGTTTTCTTGTTAAAGAAAATGCCGGTAAAAATTTTTGTGTTAAATGTTTAACACATTCATGTGTTAATTTAACATGTTGCTATTTTGTTAATTGACCTCGAATGTAAAACTGTTAAAATACTTGAAAAGAAGTGTTAAGACAACACAATGTGTACTAATTTTTTAATCTTACACAATACATATGTTCTATATTATTGGTAACAAGATTTATCTGTTAAAATTTACAGAATAATATGTTGATTTTAGTGTAGCACTGAATTATTTAGTGCTATTCTTCTAACTATTTTCAGTGATAACGCACTGATTGTCTTTTAGAGAGCATATTCTATTAAAATGTTCGGTAACGTCGTATTCTATTAGCTACGGAGCAAGGGAGGAAACATGAAAAGAACAAAGCTAAAGAGTTACACAGGGCTAAGGGCCACTGTTCCAACAGAAATTGACTATTTCGAAAAGTTAACCGTCGGTTGGAGTTAACAGGCGTTGGAAATAGTGTCCCTAAGGAGCACATTCTATTAAAACATTCTGTAACATTTTATTTCCATTCTATAAGCTATGTAGCATTGTAGAGCAAGGGAGGAAGAGCGAATAGAACAAAAGTTAGAGTTACAGAGCTCATAGAACGAGAATCTTACGGAATACAGAGCTAAGGAGTATATCCTGTAAAAATATTCCGTTACGCTGTACTTGTATAAGTCGTAGAACAAGAGAGAGCGAAGAGCGCAAAGAATAAAGAGCTCTCGTAGAGCGAAAAATGTTGTCACAGAACACAGGACTCAAAGCTGCGAACTTGTCACTTGCAGAAGGTACTTTCGCACGCGACGCGACGACCCGTTCGAAGGTTTCCAAAGCACCCCGGACAACTACACGGACATACATATCGAGGGGCTGCGGATAGACACGGCCGACAAGGAGCCCAGTCACGACGACAAGGGTATCCCTCGGATCCTGGCCAGGTCCAAGGCGGTGATTCGGCTGTTCGGCACCGGTATCACGAGGGACACCCTGATCGCCTTCACCGATGTGCCGGCCGAACGGGGTGTCATGTGCGACAAGATCAAGAGCGACGAGTTTCCGGTGAGTATCGCTCGCGCTGCTCCCGTAAACCGCTGATCAAAATCATGTACGCCAATGCCTACTAACGCCCAGTGGGCCATTACTGTAGCTTAGTATCTTATTTTATCACATTTTACTTTGCTTTGTCTTTTTAGATTCTTTATAATGCTCCAGCAAGACCAACTAACACCCACTAATGCCCACTAATGCCCGAAAATCGCGTGAGCGTGGCATTTTGAAGAACTTTATGAGAGTTTTGTGAAATTTTATTATACATTTTACTAGAAAAATGTGCGGTAAAATTTAAAAAATTCACAAAGTTGTTCCAAATGCCATGTTGTCCCACGATTACATAATTTCCAGGGTAAATTTTAAGAGGAAGATTCTCTCCGTGTAATGCCCGTAATGCCCGAAATCTATCCACCACAATGCCCTCAGCGGTTTATCCCTCGGTTGTTCCCGACCAGTGAATATATATGTCTTTCGGGATTGTTAAAATGTATTTTACCTGCCGATGTTTCAGGTGGAAAACGTAGAGGAAACCACGGCGACCGTACGCGTGACGCTTCCCCTGGGCTCGTCGTTTTACGTATGCGCCAAACGGCCGTTGTACGAGAAGGAGAAATTGAAGAAGGATGACGTGCTGTTCAGGCACCAAGGCACCAAGCTGTACAACACTGTGAGCATATACTTATCTTCTCTTCCCTCGACTCGAGAGAGAGAGAGATCTCGCTCTCTTTCGCCGTCCCGATTTCAGGCGAATAACTGTGTAGAGACTTATATTGTACAATAAGGCTTGATATTGAACTCCCCGTTGTTGAGAGTAGAAACAATTATTTATAGTTCAGAACTTTCAGATCAGCACATATGAGAAATTACTACCGCTCTGGCTCACTATCTTGATCATTCTCGTTTGTCTCAGTTTGTCCGCACTTTTCTCCGGTCTCAATCTCGGTTTAATGGCGATAGATAGGACCGAACTGAAAATACTCGTCAACACTGGTACGGAAAAAGTAAGCAAATCCGTTTTTTTCCTCCTCTCACTCTCTTTTTAATATCCTGTCTGCGTTTTCATTTCCCTCCGCCCGACTTACGTTGCGTCACTTCCACGTTGTAGGAGAGAAAGTATGCAAGAACTATTCAGCCAGTAAGAAATCATGGAAATTACCTTTTGTGTTCGATTCTGTTTTCCAACGTTCTTGTCAATTCGATATTCACGATATTGCTGGATGAGTTGACATCCGGGATTGTCGCAGTTATCTGCTCGACGTTAGCTATTGTCATTTTTGGCGAGATCTCGCCGCAGGTATGTTTTTTTTCCGTATTATTACGCGAATGCTTTTTCCGTGCAGTTTACACGGAGTTCCGATCTCGATTCTGAAGATGCGATTCGCGCGTGTGTTGTAGGCCTTTTGCAGCAGGCACGGATTGTGCGTCGGCGCAAAGACCATCTATCTGACCAAATTGACAATGGCAATCACCTTTCCATTAAGTTATCCAATCAGCAAGTTGCTTGATGTCCTTCTTGGTGAAGAGATCGGGAATGTATATAATCGAGAACGCTTGAAAGAGTTGGTTAAGGTAAGAAATTAAATGACTGCGGTTACAATAAATTGAATTAGAATGTCTCGCGGTATGAATAATTAAATTGTAGTGTTCCACCGGTTTCCGACACTTGACTAATTAATTAACGTAGTTTCTTCGTTGCGATCAATATCACCTATCCGAGTTGATTGTAAAATTTTACTAGAAATGCCTGAAATGCATGAATCTTTGAAATTGATGCATTAATACTATACAGGAACCTTTCTAGGTAACGAACGAATACAACGATTTAGAGAAAGATGAAGTAAATATAATTGCAGGAGCGTTAGAACTGCGAAAGAAGACCGTAAAGGATGTAATGACCAGAATCGAAGATGTATACATGTTGAACTATAACGCTATTCTAGACTTTGAAACTGTGTCTGAGATTATGAAATCAGGTATTAATGGTCAATTAACGTTTCGAAAGAAGTTTAACGACGCTCGTACACTCCTCTGTGTTAGTCGCTCGTAAATATTATCAGTTTAATTAAACATTTATCGAAGATAAATGTCAGGTGAACATGTAGCTTATCAGGTCCTGATTCGGTGATTCAGTGGCTGTTTAATAATTGTTAAACGATGCTTAGCGATTGGATTTTACGGAGCGAAGCTTGTAGGACGAAATTGTGCGTTTTATTTTTAGGATTCTCACGTATACCAGTGTACGAAGATGTAAGAACGAACATAGTAACGATGCTGTATATCAAAGACCTCGCTTTCGTTGATCCCGACGATAACATGCCTCTCAAGACACTTTGCCAATTCTATCAAAATCCGTGTAATTTTATTTTTGAGGATGTCACATTGGACATAATGTTTAAACAATTCAAGGAAGGTCTGTATAATGCAACTCTCTTTGAGTCCCTTTCTTTTCCCTCGGTTAGATCTCATGAGAGTGACGAGTAATAACGATCACGCGTGTACATTTTCAGGTCACAAAGGTCACATGGCTTTTGTGCAGAGAGTTAACAACGAGGGCGAAGGCGATCCGTTTTACGAGGTGATTGGTTTGGTAACGTTGGAGGATGTTATCGAAGAATTAATTCAGGCTGAGATTATTGACGAGACGGATGTGTTTAGTAGGTTTTGTTCTGCCGTTTATTCGCGCTTCGCCGCGAAACCCTTCCGCAAAGCGAAAGTTCTTTCGAATTTGCACGTGAAATTCGTAAGTCGCTTAATGCCGCGTGTTAATTTTTGCAGCGGATAACAGGAGTAAACGTAAGAGACAGGTGCGTTCGAAAATGCCAACGGATTTTACTATATTTGCGGAGAAGAAGGAAAATCAACGAATTCACATCTCGCCGCAATTAACGTTGGCGATGTTCCAGTACTTATCAACAAGTAAGGAGCAATATCGAGCGGATTGCAAAACGTTTACAGACATATAATATCTTACGATGTTTGGCTTGTAATTATATCGTGTGTGTGTGTGTGTCATCTTCAGCTGTGGACTCGTTTAAACCCGATGTTATATTGGAGACGATCCTGCGACGTTTATTGAAGCAAGATATTATTTATCACATTAAAGTGAAATCGCGCGAGAAAGCCAAAACCGATCCAGCCGCGATAATTTATCAGCAGGGAAAAGCGGTCGATTACTTCGTGCTAATTTTAGAAGGTCGCGTCGAAGTGACGGTGGGGAAGGAGAATATGATGTTTGAGAGCGGTCCCTTCACGTATTTCGGATCGCAAGCCCTTACCGCTAACATCGGCATCGGTGAGAATGAGATATAATCTTGACAGTGTTTACCCACGCAAACGAAGCTTTATTCGCACGATATATCTACTCTTTCTGTTTCCAGCCGAATCGCCTACGAATGCGAACCCGCAGACAGTCGGGAGCATTCAGTCGGTCAATTTGGATTCTATGCTGCGTCATACCTTTATACCAGACTACACAGTGCGCGCGGTGACCGAGGTATTCTACGTAAAAGTCAAGAGATCTCTGTATCTCGCCGCGAAGCGCGCCACACTTTTGGAGAGAAGTCAAAAGGATCCGATGCCTAATCAGGAACAGTTCGACGATGAAGTGGAAAAGGTTGCGATCTGCCACACGAATCACAAACTATAATATTATGACTTATCTTATGGAACCTTTTCGCCAACCGTATTGAATACGAAATGACAGACGGTCTTATCAATTCACAGTTGCTGCACTCTCTTGAGGAGGACGATCGCAGTGTACCTGAATCTCCGATATTGCTCGCGGACAGATCGACGGACAATGAGAAGGGAAAGGGCTCCGTTATTCATTCGCCCATACGCAGCGTAACGGCGCCTACGTCACCGCTTCCGGTCAGCGCCAGTCCGATCACGAATTCGAAGTTTGTCTCGCCGCTGAATGAGGGGAAAGTCAAGAATAATTCATTCCCAAAGGTATCTATACATACATCACATTCTTTAATCCCGAAATTCATGACGAGATTTGTCTCCTTCTAATTTACGACACGTTGCACGTATGCATTCAAGGTACAAACGAGTCCAGTGGAATTTCACGCTAAACGCGATTCGTTGAACGCTCTCGACATGGACATTCTCGCTCGGCAGTCCGAGGTGGCACGAATGTCGCCCACCGTGAAGAAGGTGAACGGCGATGAAGAACGAACAAATCTCTTGCCCAAACAGGATAACTCTTAACGCTTGCAGAACGGCCGACGACACTCGGCACTGTCGGCGAAATCGGTAATGTTACGAGCATCGAGCAACACAGAGCGTAACATGCTGGCATGACACATTTTGTTACTGTGACATTAGAACTTCACGAATTACTTAGATATTTATCGCGAGAGAGACGCCTCATATTTTTAGCGATTGGCTTGGAGGCTGTACCCGACCCTCGGCTTTCGTGAGTCGTTAAGTTTCGTAGGTATCAAAAGTCAGTTTGTATCGTTAACTTGCAAAGAAGAGAGTAGCACGTGATCGATTAATAGCATTTCACACACACACACACACGCACGCGCGGGCGCACGCGCGATAAATGATTAAGTCAAGATATATAATGATTAAAGAAGGTACTTGTGTGGAAAAGAGGAAGAGAATTAGGATTTATTTACTAACATGTCTTAGGATGAACAAAAGAATTGCTTCCATTTTACGATTGCATGTATCAACGACTCCTCTGTCTTTGTTTTAGACATCTTTTTACGTATCTCTAGGTTTCACAGAGTGTGCAGCATATGTAATGTTCTGTCATGATATTACGCCATGATTGTTTCAACGCGGGTAAAATGAACGACATTGCGGGTACAGTTTTTAGCTGATTTAGAGAAAAGTGATAGAAACTACGCTGCAATAATGCCTTGACATTATTTTGAATATATTTTAGTACGAAAGATTCGTTATAGAAACAAAAGTGAAATATATGGAATCAACCACACGGTCGAATACTATCATTACATATATATATTAGAAAACAGTACAAATTAAATGAAAACAGAAAAAAATGTTTGAAGAATGTTTGGTGTCTCTCGAAGGTCACTTTTCAAAAAACCAGAGATTTTAGTTACAGCTTTTTTTTTAAGTTGTATGTGAATTTAAACGTACATGATAGCTTAAATGGCCCAATTAGCAAAGTAGCGGCAAAGAGATGACTTGGTACATAATTAATATAATTACTTGTACTTTTATTACGTGCCTTAAAAAATTCTCTATATAGATATTATCGTTGTGTGTTTAAATATTTTTTTTTTACTAGGGGTATTTCGTTCCGCTTTTTCTTCTCTTAAGAAACCGACGTTTCATCGATACGTTAGTTACATTCCTATCGTAACTGGCTCAGTCACGTACTTATATCATTTCTTCTTGCATTCATTATTCTAATGAAATGATCTTGAGATAAGTGCAGGAAACATGTACTGTTTTTCTTACGACTTCCGTTAAGATTAAGAAACAAAGTAAAATTTTGTTTTTTTTTTCTTTGCTTGAGTTGCATTTCATCTTTCCTTAGCAACAATTTAATCGTTCCGATTAGCAAACCATATGTAATATTAAGCTACGGAAATTGTATCTGTATCATACAAATGTACATAGGAAACGCAAGGATTTAGTCCTCTCCTAGTGAACTTTATCTATTAGGTACTTAATTTGTGAACTGACGACTGATTGATTTATTATCTTGAAGAACTGTTTTACGTGAAAATAAAAGATTAAATGTTTGCTAAAGAAACAGAATTATTTACTTTAAGAATAGATTTTTTTAGCGTAGTATACTCTTTTTTTTATCTAAACTTTTGTAGCATGTGAAATTTGAAATTACATAATATATAAATGTTGCCTTTTATTGTACAATTGTTTGATGTCATAATTTTAGGAATGAATGCCTATAGCTGTATTGTGAAACCTTTTTTTCACTCCGTAATATTGTTAATACTTTTTCAGGAGTTTAATTTCCATAAACTGTTGTCCTCAGTTTTATAAGACGCGGCGAATGTACAATATAATTTATATTGCTGTTAATTGAGTACTTGTGATGATTAAATGCATCAATGCGATGTATTACATTGTAATTATTAGGCATAAAGCGTTAAAAAGCGAGCCTTTCTATGTATCTGTACGAGGTGATTCTACATTAGCAGATCTGAAATACACAGCAGGAATAAAATAAAATTAAAAAAAAAAGTTAACTTGAAATACGCCTGCATAGTATGCGTCTGCTAATCGCGGATTATCTCTGTATTAAAATATTTTACAAAGCGTAATTTGATCTTTGGATTCTGTAGAATGTATCGAGCTAGGAAGTGGTTACCTGAACATTGTTCTCTGTAGATTACTGATCGAAGTACTTACAAAAAGGAAATCAATAAGAGAAGAACTGCGAGTGAATATTATTAATATTTTGTACTATCTGAGTCTAAACGGAAATATTATGTGTAGAGAAGAAATATATTACACCTGATAAAAGAAAAACAGCATTCTATTGCAGAATAATAGGTCTAGATACAATAAACTGTTACATAGATGAAGTTACAGCGTGGAAGATAAATATAAAAACGTGACATTTTTTACAGAAATGGTTTACACAGCGTATGTAATATAATGAATGTCGTGTTAACGTGTATACTCCTCATTTCATATATATATTTATTGAGACTTGTCATGTCTGTCATTTTTAAATAATGATTTTCTATTATTACTTAGTAAGTTTGCTGCCATATGTTTAGTATGTTACGAACGTTGATCCCCCGCTTAGCATATTCTTTTCCAAATAAAACGTGAATACTATTGCCTCGAATTACTAGGACACTAAAGATTGATTACATTTACGTACATAATATACTCTGGAAATATCAAAGCTGGTACGTTGTGAATGTTACGGGGGCGAAAGAACTCGTAGAGAAATGTAATTTCGATAACCGAGAATTTGAGTAACAAAGAGAGCCGATCTAACGTGTGACAAAGTTTTATATGAAAGAATATTTATTACAATAAATATGTTCTTCCTTAGATTATATTATCTTTATAAAGTGTCTATAATTAGATATCTTTCATAACTTACCATTTGCCCGAGTCTCTTTACGTCCGTTCTTCTCACTTTTATTCTAAATTCTAAGAATTGCAATACAATTTCTCACAACTCCTTTCCTATACCTTTTCCGTACTGCAATTATGTAATTAAATATATATATATACAGGGTGAGTCATTCCACATCCGACAAAATTTGCAAGAAAGTAGAACGGATCGAGATGAACAGAAAAGTTCTGTACCATTTTACAATTTCCGTAATAGTTAACGAATAATTAATTATTAAAAATCGTTGTCTTAGCCCGACTTACTGCCCAATTTGAGCGCGTGGTGAGATGTGGCCTCCCGGCGATCGACATTGCCTTGCGCACAGAAAGTTATTTATCGCATCCGGCAATGGCTGGAGACCCTGTAATCAGAGACTGGTCATAAAAGAGTTTGTCAAATTCCTGCGAGCGAAAGAGAAACACAGGCTATCTCACTCTTCTACGATTCGACGAACTCTCTTATGGCCAGTCTCTGATTACAGGGTTTCTAGCAATGGCTATGCACGAACGACGCGTAACGCTAGACCCCCGTTCCGAGCTATAACAATTCCTTAGCCTTTTTCAATCAAAATGAAATTCGGCATAAAAATATTTGTCCGTACGTATGTTTGTATGTTACATGGAACATAGAAAAATATGGCGAGGGGGAAACAGCGCGACTAGACTCGCGTCGCGATAGCCGGCTACACGTTTGCGATCAGAAAAATTAAATTAAAGCGAAATTAACCGATGGAATCGAAATCTACATCTGATTTATTTATTTACTTATTTATTTTACGCGCCGCTCGTGCGTAGTCATTGCCGATTGCGATAAACCACTTTCCGTGCGCTCGAATTGGGCGGTAGACTGATGGGCTAAGACAATTTTTAATAATCAACTACTCGTTATCTATTGCGAAAATTGCAAAATGGTACAGGACTTTTTTGTTTATTTCGATCCGTTCTACCTTCTCAAAAATTTTGTCGGATGTGGAATGACTCACCCTGTATATTTGTATATACAAAATCTTTTTTAGAAGACAGTACGAAGGCACGCAGAGATCTAAGATGTACTTAGGTATATCAAAAGGGATACATGTGAAACGTGCAAGATAAAAAAATTTTAATTTTTATCACATGAGAATCAGTACTACTTATATAATTATTCAATTAAATTGGTAAAATAACAAAATATCGCGTTAAACTTCTCATTATACTGCATAGTCAGTTCTCTAATACAGCAATAGAAAACTAGTGGCACATGTGTATTAAATATATATATATACATATTAAACTTATTATACATACATACATATATATTCACAGCGCATAAAGTACCATTATATCTCTGCGAAATTATAACTGTGCGCGTATACTTTTCTTTATTTCACATAACTTTGGCATGCTCAAATTTCCTTTCTCCGCTATTAATTGTCGCAACGTCGCTATTTTAGCATCTATGAAGGCAGTCTTATCTTTCTTGGGACGACCTCTTTTTTTCTTCTCCGGCGGAGAGCTTATAAAATTCTGTATAAGGCACCATGGTCGTTGTTCATTCATCAACGTGATCAAATCCATGCGGATAGACGAAGAGTGCAGTATGCAATTTTCATTGATGGGCATTTTTATCGCGATTGACGTCTCCATGACTTTCTTTATGCAGAACGTGTTTTGATTTCCAGAGGTGAAGGTAAACACCACGTAACTATTTCTAGGCAGCTTGTCCGGTATACTCAGACCAAGATAGCGACGCCTGCACAGCCTGGACACCTCGATGCAGGGACTTAATTGTAGTTTTTGTTTGGCAGCGTACAGACCTATTCTTTTCAACTTGTCTTGTTCAATCGTCAAGTTCTCGTAGAGCGCATCCAGTTCCTTCGCCTTGGCGCAAATCTTCTCCATAATGACGTCTGTTCTGCTAAACATTTCAGCGCGAAGAAGGATATTACTACTGGCTGACCAGTTCTCTAACCCTTCAAGCGAAAGCTCCACCAATTCCTTCCTCTGTGACAGACCTAGAATTATATTTGGTTTGTAATACTGCATGCACGTAAATGTCCTCTCCTCTACTTTCACCTCTTGAACCCTATCCACGAAGGCCTCTTTTCTTATGTAATACAGCCTGGACAGATCGCAGCACAGTATCCACAAAATGTTCTCTACGCATAGATTAAAACTGGCGCAGATCGCCACTCGGTCCTTCACGTTTTCCCCAAGGTTAACCCTTTCGAACACCAGTTTGTCGTCTCTGCCGTGCACAAAGATTATCGCGTTGGCGCGTGTTGTTAGAAGCAGCAGACCCGCTACCTTGTCTCGCCTATTCACAGGCAGAATGTCCACGATAGCGAAGTCGCTGGTGTAAACCAGCTGTACGGCGTTGCCCCTCAGCACGTACAGCTTCGTGTGATGCGCGACGAGGCACAGATTACCCTCGGTCTCCCAACCGGCGGCGAAGCAGCTCACGAGCTCCGGCTCCGTGCTCGCCGGGTTCAGAGAGAACGTGCACACCGTCTCGCTCGCGTTTGGCTCGAGGGGGAACAGCAGCGTGGACGACTTGTCCTGCTTGTCGTCGAGGTAGACGGTGTTGTTCCAGGCGACGAGCACCCGATAGAACTCGCCGCCCATGTCCAGCGCGTTTTTGCTCAGGAGGGCAAACTCGCAGGACCGCGACAGCTTGTAGACGCTCTGCGGCATGCATATCACGAAGGCTCGGCTGTCGAAGAACTGTACACTCCTGATGGGGGCCGGCGTCACCAGGATCCGCATGTCGCACGCCCCAACAGAGCTGTCCTTTGTGTAGGGAAAAATAACAAGTCTGTCATTGTCCCAACAGAAGCACGTCTCAACGTCATAAAAGTCGCACACGGCGAAACGTTTCGGCACGATTGCCTCGTCTTCGATCGCGATGTACATTCTTCCGTGCAGTCCCCTCCTCCCTCTTTCTTTCTCTTTCTTTCTCACATCGATATCTACGAAGAACAGAAAGAGATGTCAACAAAAGGCTTACTCTCGGTTTACTGATTCCAGGTTGCAAATGAATGAGAACTTACACGACCTATGAAATCCAGCGGAAGAAGGAACCTCTCTCTATCGTCTAATTCAGGCTTTTTCAAAAGCGGCTAGTGAAAAGAAATATAAATTCGGCTGAAGCACAACGTTGAGTAAATACGAATTGCCCGGTGCGGGTTGGAGGTGCAATACAATTGTGTGCCTACGTAATGAATCACTGTGCGTGGACCGAGCTCGCCAAGTGTGAATCGTACCTCTCTGCGAGACGTCGAAGCGCAAAACTGGTCAGAGCGGGACGTAATCGTTGTTCAAAAGCAGCTGAATCAACCACGGGACACCCCCACGACTCCATTGGCCGCGTTTAGCAGACACAACTGTTGAGTGAGCGATCAGTATGATTGGTTAATACTTTTAGATCCAGCCAATCGTGTTAAGAAATCGTTGAGTGAGCGCTCAGTATGATTGGTTAATACTTTTAGATCCAGCCAATCATGTTAAGAAATCATTGAGCGCTCACTCAACAGTTGTGCCTGCTGAACGCGGCCACAGAAAACAAGCCTATCGGCGCGCGTCGAGCGCGCGGAGCGCGTTCCGAGAACCACCGAGAGCGGAGGCCACGTGACTGGGAGCCACTGGAGGTCCGGACTCCGGAGCAAGTGGGACAAATTTCGCGCGTACGACTTGTTGCGCGCGCAAGACGTGTGTGTCGGTTCGGAGAATGTCGATTTGTTGACTTAAAAGTTGCTCGTGCGCTCGATGTGACCGCATAGTATTCACGGGGATTCTGTATGGACGCTATCTGCGGCAGCGAATATGGGTGAGTGTTTCGCGCGAGCCTAGCGTTTCGGCTGTACCGAGATACTCGGAGGTTATGTCAGCGTTAACGGTAACCGTCCCGTTTGAAATGTTGCTCAGCGTTGCTAGTCAAACGTCAGCTGGGCCTCGTGATAAGGAGGTTCAAGTTCGAGGAACTGGAGGACGCCGTGCTACCCGCCTTCCCGGAGATCTCCTGGACGCGCGTCAAGTCTAAGCTGATTAAGAACCACAAGAACTTCACGGCGCTTCAAGTGGCGCGCATCCTCGAGGAAGTTCTCGACGTAAGGATCGCTTCTGATGCGTAATGATTCTTCACGGGTAGAAAAATTATGTTCTCTAATTACTAAAATTGTTTTCATAATAGTCCAAAGTTCGTTTGAAAATCTGTTCTTCGGAAAAGCAATAAAATAAACAACTGGAGTCGATAATCTTGTAGTTACTCCTCAGGTTTACTTCTCAGTACAGATATTGTATATTACAATGTCATTCATTTTTACGTCTTGTGTGTTCACAGAACGTAGAGTTAAGAGAGAAGGATTTACGCGACAGGTTGGCAACGCTAGAAGTGATAGGTAGGACGACGAAGCATAAGTATTAAATTCAAGTTTCTGGGGGCGATAAATACTCAACTTGCGGGACGATAATTTTTCAGATGTAAGCAGACACGATAAGAGGAAGATATGGTACGGATACGAATTGACAAGCTCGAGTGATGCTCCGAGATACGTTGAGCAACGGGAGGTACAGTCACGCATTGAAGAGGAATTTCACACCAGCGGTTTGCAAGTGATGGTGAAGACTGCAACTCATGACAACGTCACATTTATATATGTTAAAGAAACAAGGAAAAAGAGGGCACCACGCCAACGTACCACGCCAACGTTTTTTGCCTTGTTCCTAGGACACAAGTATTTTTTCTGCTCAAAGAAAAACGTATTGTCCGGCTATGTAAAGGCGATAGCTGCCAGTCTGGGTTGCGACAACGGCAAGAAGATCAAGCTGTCGGGCAAGGATCTCAGATCTTTAATAAAATTATTATGGATTAGGCAACAAAACGTTTTACATATCGAGAACATTAGTCAACCACCAGTTTACCAACCGTCCAGTCCCGTCGTCAGGTATTTAGAAAATCGTATCCTTCCCTGTTCGTCTCTTGCAGACAAATTATAGCTTTACACATTCTATGTGCAGTCGTGGCCAGAAAGGTTGCCCGACGTTCCATGATAAATTTCGGAAATACAGTCTATTGTGCGAGAGATTGTAGTTTTTACTCACGGAAGCAAAGGAATGATATATACAAATATCTGTGCAATGATACGAATATTCCGAAAATTTATTGTAAAACGTCGGACAACCTTTTTGACCATGGCCGTACTCGATGTGCCTGCTATGGGACATTTTGCAATTGGATTAACCGCGCTACATTTTACTCACTGTATGACGTGCAAATCTCGTTGCAGTAAGAACGGCGTGGATTATACACAGAGCAAGCAACGGAGAAGTTACGGAGAGCAGTGTCTTGGCGAAAACCCTCCCACTTTAGATGTGCTCGTTATAAAAGCGCCAGAGCAATCTGTATACCATGACAGTGTAGCTTCGAAGTTATCTACCGACAGTATCCGTATGAAGTAAGAGTACTTTTCTTTCACGCGTACAGTGGTGACGATACTGTGCTTTTCTCATAAAAAATTTCTTCCGTTTCAGCTGGGAATTTAATAGTCGCAATCTAGCTAGGTTTTTAATCGTTCTGATTGAAAAAGGTGCGTTCACGCTGCCCTTACCCGAGTATGTGTCTAATCTCATGACAAGAGGAAGAAACGAATTAACACTTTGTCAAATTAACCAGTAAATTCGATCGAAAATACAATGTTTTTACGACGCAGTCAAGCACCTCGTGCACACAGTGCCTACAGGTTACTTTGGTCAACCGTGAAGAAATGTTAGATATTATTTTTGAGTAATAATGACGCACAAAGCTGCTATAATTGACGATTGTTTATAAAGAATAAGAAAATTATTTAAAATTGTATATAAACTATACTCTGACATAATATAATCAATATTTAATTTCGTGTAAAGTAGATCGGTTTAATGAAAGAGCAGCGAGAAGAATCACTGGCTAAAGTCAGCCCTTCGGGTCCAAATTAGCGAGAATGAAGAGTGCGGAATAACTGTAACTTGTTATATAATTTGACATAGAAATGTTCCATTAAAAGCCTCTATTACATTAATAAAGTACGTTTATTAAAAGTTCATTAAAGTGTAATGATGCGTTTATCCTACATGCTACTTTACTGGAGTCACATAAAGCTCACTTGGTGCGCTGTACGTATGATAGTCGAGTAAAGCGTAACAGGATGCCCTTAGTCGTTCATTAAGGGGGGGGGCGGGGGGATTAGATATTCAGTATATATCTTGTGTATTATGAAAATTGTATCATTGTTCTTGCTTGTGTATCTTCAGCCGGCACTCATCAGTCTTCGTCGGACTCCTCTTCGTCGGACGTGACGTCGGGGTCGTTTGCCTGCATCCGGCACTTGTCGCAGTGACAAACGAACAGATACATGGAGCTCAATGCCTGCTGCCTGGAATGTCGGCTTCTCTCGAGCTGGCACTCGTCGAGGTAGCTCGTACAGATCTCCTCGCCGGCTTTGATATCTCGTATTGCTTTTAGTACTAAAGTATTGTTCGAATAAGGGAACTCTACGACTGCGTTTGGTACACAGCTATGATTCACCGACGACTGCAGTACGTAGAGTCCAGACCCTTCGTTATTCAAAAACGGTCCTACTGCTGCAAGAAAGAGGGATGGTCGGAAATTACACAAATGTCGAAACGCGGCGACGCGGGGGGAGAAATAGATCGTAAGAATAGGTAGATAAGATTACCCTCGTCCATGGCATCGTAAATTCTCTCTATCAACTTGTCAACGTAAATCCTCTCGTCTTTGGGCAATTCTAAAGCGGAAACGTTCTTCACCCAGCGGCTGAACGAACTGGTACCGATCCCTTGTCCGTTTGTTCCTACTAAAGCTAATAGACTTCTAAAGCCATCCGGCGTGAACCACTGAAAGCAACAATCTCAGTTAACCTTAACGTACGTGTAATAATAACATACATGTATATATATCATACACACACACATGTGCGGTATACTCGGTGTTCAGGGCTTCCTTCATCATTTGCTGAAGGATGTCGATTTGACCCACAAACTTCTCCCCCAGCAGATAGTGCACGATCTCGTGCGTGTCGTTGGAGACGGTGCGGTGACAAAACTGCGAAAACATTGCCAGAGCCTCCTCCTTGTCGTTCGACTGATTAACCACGGCGACCATCCTCGCTAGCAGCATGATCGACGCGTTTTCAGGCGGGTAGTGCATCTGCTTCCACGTTTCGCACAACTGATTGAGAGGGTGGCCCTTGTCCTCGGCTCTCGCTTGCAGGCACAGCGTACCGTGATACCTGAACAATGGCAAGCAAATAAACAAACACGTTGGTAATAAAAAGCTGCAGGCAAGCGTAGAAATTCAATCACCTCTGAGAAGCCTCATTTTGACACTCCACGCCGCAATATTTGACCCCGCACAGAGGGCACTTGACTATCAAGCTCTTGTTGACCTCGCAGCACTCCTTGTGCGGCACCACGAGGCCTGCATTGCCCGTCAACCTGCGGACATTCTCCTCCGCCGTCTCCAGCGGCCTCAGACAGTGGTCGCACGCCGAGTAACCGAACTCGGAGTTCCACAGGAACTGACAGCAGACCACGGGCCTCTCCTCGAGTATCACGTCGCCCTCCTTGAACGCGCGATTGGAGAACAGCCCCTTGCCCTGCAAGACGAACGCGCGGATCAACGAAAAGCTGGGAACATTCCAAGAGATTGGATAATTCGCGCTTCTCATTCTATCAATGAGAAAGACAAGTCAACAGAAACTTGGAGACAAGTCAGGTTCGGTCGTGAAAGGGTTAACAAGGTTCACAGGAGCTGCCTGGGGGGGCTACGGAGCGGAGGACTCGACTGTGAATCAAGCTTACTTTCTCGTCGTTCACCAATTTGATGAAGAAGCCCTTGTCCGCCATAACCTCGTCGTCGGTCATACCGTACCGAGCGAGTGCGAAAAGCGAACCGCGGGCGGAGGAGGAAAGAAGTTACGAACCCACCGCGAGCCATTCGAATCCCGGACCACCGCGCCGAGTAGCGTAGTGACCCTCTAATCAGACATGTCTGGACACGCGGTATCCAGCTTCTGATTGGTTCGCCATGTTTATGATTTTCCCGCTGAATTTTGAATTGACAATTTTAATCCACTTTAGTAACTTCACAAACGACAGGTTATCGCGATTGATCTTGATTATTTTGATGCGTATCCCTTTGTCGAGGTGTTATTGCAAGATGGTGCTGCACATTCACCCATTTTTGCAATAAACAGCAAACTCACACTATTATCAGACTTCGTGCGATGTGCGGTTATACGTTATTATATGTTCCACTTATGCCCGATTTCTTCACATCCAGTTATGTTGCGGTTAAAGTTAACCAGGAGATAAACTACCAGATCCATGCACGTGATTGGCTAAAACTTGAGATTAACCTCCGGATAATTTTATCGGGAAGTGAAAAAATCGGCCATTACAGATATCACGCGGAGAAAAATAATTTGCTAGCACAGTATATTTATGTAAACTTAAGTAAATTTTGTCTTTTATTTTATGATAAAGTTATTTTCTGTTTCATGGACAACTATGTGTTAAAAACACTAATCTTATTGAAAAATAATTGTGCGAAATATTTAGCTAAAGAAGTGAAATAATTTCTGTTCTATTAAATCTGCTGTAATGGTGAATAATTTTAATAAGGTATAATAGCAATTTTCGTATCGTCATCACGTTATGATAATTCATCAAATATGGCAGTATTTAAGTAGCAGCAACAGTTTTGCTGCTATCGATTGAACCCCCGAGTATAAAAATTTTCTTCGATCAGAAGACTTCTCGGCGTTCGAAAAGCGCGAAACTCGTCGACGATCGCCGTGAAGGCTGTCGCGGATCCGCGCACCGCTCGAGTCAAGTCGCTCGCTCGCGCCCGCGAGACGAGTCGCTTCTTCTCCTCTCGAGTACCGCGCGGTCCTCGCGCCGCGCAAACGAGCGAACGGTCATCAAGAGATACGCGAGCGTGGACAATCTCGCTGTCGCTCCGCGCGACATGTCCACCCAACGGACGGTCAACCGGGCCCGAGTCCGCCGAGTAGCGCGCGGCGCGCTTCCGGCGCGCGGTACTTCCGGAAAGGAGAAGTGCATCGAGTGCTGCGTGAGAGTGAATCGTCGCTCGTTTCGTCAGGAGTTTTTCGGCAGATTCCGGGCCACCCGTCCGCCTTCGCCACGCACGGCTCTCGAGGAACGATGAACGGAACGATGGCCATGGTGAGCACGAGCCCCTTCCGCGCGGGGAAGCCGCGGTCCTCGCTGCGAGAGCCGCCCTTCACCGCGACCGCGGCCTAACCCTTCGGCGGCGTAATGGCGATCGAGCCGCTCCGACTCGCTCCGACGCCGCTCGCCGACCGTCGAGACGCGTCCCGGATATACCGTGGGCGAATCTCGCCCGGTTGCCTCGCCGGAAATTTTTTCTCGACGGGATAATCCGCGAGAGGATGCGACAGGACGATCCGCTGGATCAGTAAATAGAACGGTAGATTGCGGAGGCCAAGCGGAATTCAACGTGATTTTTTTTCAATTTTGTATCTTGTTCCGAGTCCACTCGGTGGAATCTGTTGGCTGGACTACGAGTTCAGTATACTGAATGTCGATTTACTGAAATATTCTGTTGAAATTTGCTGGTAAACACGGTCGGCGTGTCGCCGATACTTTACTCGCTGTCCAAACAAATCTGTCGGAAATAGATTCTGCAGAGTATCGGTCAGAAATTTTATCAGTCACGGCCTAATGGAGATATAATAGACTCTGTTAGCAGAGTACTAGTAGATTAACTGAACAGGAAGTGTCATTTTGTAATTGGTTCAAGCGATACTTTCCATTTATGATGGCCACAAAGCGATAGATACTGCTTGGTTTTTGCTGGTGATCTGCCGTGACATTCTATTGAAATCCACTGACAAACTGCTAGCATTGTAGCGGATATTTCGCTTGTTTGAAATAAAACTTGATAGAATTTCTAATACAAAATTGATCTCGTTTTACACCGTGTTTGTGTTTGTTCGCAGGCACCAACGTCGGTAAACAGTGCAGAGCCGCCGGTGAAGAAGGCTAAAGTGGAAGGTAAATTGCTAATGCAGCCAGATAGCCGTCGTGCCTGTGACAACTACAATATTATACATAACTTTGTTAGTGGGAAACAGAGAAACGACAGCAAGTGTAATACGTGTATTAAGAACGAGAGCGTGAGCGTGGAAATGCGTACAATAGCTACTTAGGACACTCAGGTGCTAGTTTTGTCTTAAAAAAAATATGCTGCCATACTCTGATAAAACTGCAGAGAATGAGTCTATTCAGAAGCAGTTTTGAGCAGTAAAATTTTCGGTAGGCTAGGGTAAATAGATGATGACTGTATGGCGCTTAAATCACACTAATGTATGGTTGTCCTTCTGTTCTGAGATGTTACAGCGGAGAGACCGTACAGAATCGGTGGCCTACGACTGAGCTGTGAACGTGCGCCAAACTATGAAAGCCTACATTCGTTGCACAGAAATCAGAGTTTAACAAACTCCCACTGATACCGTATCTATTGCCGAGTACGATGAATACTTTAGATAGGTCAGCATATTTAGGGCTTAGCGATTCTCTGTTCCTGATTATGAGCCTCTTTCGGAGGTACAGGCGCCACTTTAATTCCGTCGTGTGCAACGACGACACGAAGTCTTTTTCTTCGTTAATATGTGTACGGCGTGATATCGATTAAGAGACATTGCCTCTTTTTTTTTTAACGATTATATCTCGGTGGAGTTATTACTGTCAAAAGAGTGATATCTCTACGTGCAAGTGTCAAATTATCTAGAGGCTCGTAATCGGGAGTGGCAATGGCGATGGGTGTATATTAAATTTGTCGCATATCGAGCGACCATTTATTACGTATTTGCATTAGGTAATAATGAAGTGTCGATAAGTCCCCAAGCACTTGGACGTCGATATAGCCATGGATGTGGCTCAGAGATTCTAATTCAATCCCTTTCGAGTATGGCCTGATGGTATCCACTCCCGTCGCGCCGTCGTCTTCGCATTTTATTCTGCCGTCGCTAAGCAGGATACGCGCTAATTCGAGACGTGTTATAACGATGTCCGAGTGTGCACGTAGGCGATGCGAGTGAAAAAAAAAAGAATAAGTGTTCGCGTGACGTTGATCCGTCGAGCATTCCGGATATTAATCGCGGGGGGGGGGGGGGAAGAGAATTTCACGTGCCTGCATTCAAAGATCTCGCCATTGCTACGTGAAAAATTTGCTAGGTTGAAAAGTGGTAGGTTGGAGAAGGCAACGACTAAGAACATGGCGCAGAAAATGCACTGAGAGTATTCTCCTTTGCTTTGTGCTTACAGATTTGTGCGTCGCCTCAATCTCGGATAATTTGCGCACAACCGTCATTGCTCAGCCCAGAACACGGTTAGCTGTAAATCGAATGATCGCACAAAACTTTAAGAGCCATTTTAATTCATGAAAAAAAGTCGGACTGACTTCTGTTTTTCTGTTTCTGATTTCTGTTTCAGAGACTAGCAGACCAAATTGGTTATGAAACCTAATCTAATTATGACTTAGTCTGATTTTTGGGGCTGATTGTGCAAACAGTACTTAAAAGCTCAAATTTAAACGAGACTCCTCGGTTAACGACTCACTGTTTTGTCAAAGTTTAAACGCATACGAAATAATGTTCGATCAATCCACTTTCTCTTTACAAGTCGTATCGTTTTTTCTGACAAAATTTCTTATCTGTGGTCTTCGTTACAATCTACGCTTTGTTTCTTCAAATGGCATGCATCAAACGAGAGATACTTCTTCGTTTCGATGTTTGCACAAATACATGGTTATCATATTGTACATTTTGCATACAATGTCTCTACAATACAGTCCACATGCATACACATCGACACCATATACAAGCATATTTATTAAAAAGAGTTGTAATATTCCTTGATCGTTTTAATTTCTGTGAACTTACAGTTTGGAGGATGGTTTTATCATAGCAGCTTCTGGCATGGCGTCACGGTACTCCCGTGTTAAGAAAGATATTCCACAATACGAATAAGAATAATGCGCCCGCATACATCAATGCGACTAATAGAAGTTTTACTAGCCTAGGGCAATAGGTCGTCCAGCTGTTACACATCTCCGTGTACGAATCTGTACATATATAGATGTTTTTCCCCAAAGATTGGTCAAAACAAACTGCTGATTGCTGAGACAGCAGTGATATATATATATATATTTTTTGTACATTGAATAGTCAAAAGAGCTTTAACGAATTGGACTCTGAAAATGTGAGATAAATGGCCACCCAACTTGCTAACGAGAGAAAGTAATTCCTAATCTGTCGATCGAATCATTGAGAAATAACTTGGTGGCGTAACTGGTTCTCTTTAAAAATGAAATGTTTGAAATACTATTCATACTTGTCTATCTTTAATGCAGGCTGTCTAATGCATGATTTCTTTATAGGAAATGCACCCGAGTTCTTACCAGGCCCCATATATGATCTCAATCAAATCGGCCAAGTCGTTGCTGGTACGTATATAAATTTTTTCATTTACTTAAATCTTTTTATTAATTTGTTTCAGTTTATCTTAGACAAATGATGTATCATATTAATAGTGACATTATTTTTGTTATGTCAGTTTCAATTCAAGTAATATTGACGCTGACGACGAGATCTAATGGACGTTTTGCTGATAAGATCTGACGATTGAATATTCTTTAACGCCCTTTCAATTGCCGGAGACACTTGACTTAAGCCTTTTTCCATTTTGTGATTTTACAGGACCTGGCGCCAAATATCTGACACTACCTGGAATATTAGGAGCTGGTCTACCGAAAATTACATCCGAGCAGCAAGACACTGTAAACAGGGCGAAGAAGTATGCGATGGAGCAAAGCATTAAGATGGTCCTGATGAAGCAGACCTTGGCCCATCAACAACAGGTAACTTCCAAGTTGTCCACAATTCTGCTCACATTTTGCTTCATATCTTCGCTCCGTTACGTCACTCGTAAAGTTTAACATTATAATGTGAGAATTACGCTTTTTATCGTCATATTTAATGGACAATTATTAACCCAACAATTGTGAATTTCTACCTCTTTAATAAAATATTTTGATTCTTAACATGAATGCATACTGGATATATACAAATTGCCGAATTTGCTTATTGCGAATAAATGATCGAGTTGATGAAATTTTTAACTAAATTTTCAACTCGGTCCTTTAAAGATATAAGTCAATTACAGTGTAATTGAAATTTTTAAGTTTTATCTAATTGTTACATTTGCAAACTAGTCTTTCCATAAATTTTTTCATTAATTTGTTGAATATTGTATCATGGTTTGCTCGTCAATGAAATAATCTGATTAGCTAATTCGGTGATTTAAGTTTAACGTGCATAAAATTTGGGTTTGTATGATACATTTTATGCACATATATAAATAGTTTTCTCTATTCAGCTCTTTGCCGATTATGTAATTGCAACATATAGAATAATGTCGTACAGATTTCTGAAATATTTAACATATAGCTCGTCCCGCCGAGTCAATTACTATACAAATACTTAAAAAAAAAAGAAAAACGTTGAGATTTAACTCTGATTGGCTTATTTTTTTCTCCCCGCAGAAGAATAAGTTGGTCCTGCGGCAGCAAGTTTTATTGCTAATGTGCAGGTTAGTGTCATCAAATCAAGAAAGAAACGATAAATCCGCCTTATGGTCGAACACTCCTAAACATTTTCCCCGAGTTGCTACCATAAGAAAAGGTTAGATAATATAATTTGTGATAGTATAGTCGGCGGGAGCAGAGCTGTACAATGTGAAGAAATTTTCGTGAATGCATGAATCTTCAAATGATTTGGTCGATTCTTCTAAGCTCGACTGTTTGGCAAAAATTGCACTCTGAATTTATTAAAAGCAACAAATAAAATAGAGAGAAATATTAAAACTGTTGTGAAATATTTTGTGCAAACCGTCAAGTTGGTCTTACGTAAACTTTATAAGTTACATAAATGGTTATAAGTTTTTTACATTAAATTTTAAGTCTATTTTTACATAAAATAAACTAATAATTTTTACTGAAAATACTTAATTATTTTTAGTAGAAATTTATATATTTTCTTAAAATGTATCCTGATTTAGTTACATGTTCCTGCAACATTAAAAGTAATGTCAATACGTGTTTCTAGTAGAATTTATAAAATTAAAATTGATAACTGAACAAGTCGAGCGAGGAAGTTGGAATGGTAAAAGAGCTCGAGGGATTACTTCGAATGACTCAATGAGATGTGTTGTAAATGGGGGAGGGATATCAATAGAAGGCCTTTGGTCCTTTGTGTTGCAGCAAATGGCTAGTCAACGGAATCAGGTGCAAAGACAGCAGGCTCTCGCCCTCATGTGCAGGTTTGTTTGTTCTTTGTCTCAATTCTCGAAACTTTCCTGTGCAAACCCATTGAAGCCCAAGAGAATTACGCTCGAGCGTTTTATTACTTTTCTTTTTACAAGACACCACTTATTCGTTTTATCCTTTTAGTAATTAAGTTGTAAAATATATTGAATTAGAGAAGCGACTATTATAGAGTTATAAATATTTTCGGACACCGATAAGTTTTCCAGATATTAACAAATTACAGATATTAATTTCTTGTAGCTTTTAATGTTACCCATAGTCCTGAGGCGTCCTGGAGCAAACAAGTTTGTTTCTCCCTCCTATATACATGCACAACATTCTTTTTCACAATATTAATTTCTCCGTTAATAGTAATTTTTCTTGTCTCACAATCATATTATAACAAGGTAATTTATGTATAAGATATATTAACAAACGTTTATTATATCAGCTCGTAATTAGCAGAAATTATTTTTTTTTACTTTATATTTTCTTTTATGAAATATACTATACAAGTAAAAAAGTAAAATGTTATTTTTGTAGATTAAATAAATATTTCTATTAATTACTTTAAGAAAGTACTTTTATACTTCTACTGTCTCTTTGAAGGTTTTATGAAAAATATTGATGTACATGTGCAACAAAATCTGAATGTGTTCTATCAACGTCAGTTATTAATCGTTGATTTTGCACAACTTATGAGAAATTGATATTTTAATATTTGAGATATATTCTTAATTATAAACTAAACATGCTTTTTGAATTGTAATTCAAATAATTGATATGTAACACCGACGTTACTAACGTATACATAATTGTACGACAGGGTTTATGTGGGCAGCATCAGTTTTGAATTGAAAGAAGATACAATCAGGCAAGCTTTCTTGCCATTCGGACCGATCAAATCCATCAATATGTCTTGGGATCCCGTTACGCAGAAGCACAAGGGCTTCGCCTTTGTCGAATACGAGATACCCGAGGCCGCGCAACTTGCTTTGGAGCAAATGAACGGTGTCATGATCGGTGGCCGCAACATCAAGGTAGCAGGACGTACCTATATAACGAATTTCCTGTCCCCCAGCAATCCTATCATCCCGCCGGAGGTCGGCAAATTTTTATTTAGTTCTTTATCCAATATTTATGATCTTCGAGCGAACTGCGTCTGAATTGCAGTTTGCTCGAAAATCCTAATATATTAGTATACTTTTTCTATGTATACTTTACTTTGAGTTCACTTTATTGAGTTACATCCCGTCACACATAGTTTATATTTTGTACATTTAAAAAGCTAAACAATACTAAAGCTGTTAAAATCGTTTATTTAAATAGTTTCGCAATAATGTTGACGCAGCGCTAGAGAATACGTCTTACAGATTACCTCCTTCTCATATTTGTCTTAGGTCGTAGGACGTCCGTCCAACATGCCACAGGCGCAATCGGTGATCGATGAGATCACCGAGGAGAGCAAGCACTACAATCGCATTTATATCGCGTCGATACACCAAGACTTAACGGAAGACGACATCAAGTCAGTCTTCGAGGCATTCGGGCCGATCACGTACTGCAAGCTCGCACAAGGTAGCTCGCCGCATCGACACAAAGGATACGGCTTTATCGAGTACGAGACAATGCAAGCTGCGCTAGAGGCTATCGCCTCTATGAACTTGTTCGATCTGGGTGGCCAGTATTTGAGAGTAGGAAGAGCCATAACGCCGCCGAACGCGCTCATGGGACCACCCAGCGGTACCAGCATGATGCCGACCGCGGCCGCTGTGGCCGCAGCAGCCGCGACGGCCAAGATTCAAGCGATGGACGCGGTTGCTAGTAACGCAGTTGCGTTAGGTCTCACTAAACTCGGGGCTACCGCACCACCCATCCTGAATCAGAGTTCGTAATTCTCTCATCTACATTCAATTCAAATGTCGCGGGGAGTGAACTTTATACTACACTGGAAGACCTACTGCCCTCTTGAAGAAGATAGATGGAGTGGGACAGACAAACGGTTTATATTTCTCTTTCTAGTAATTCTGATATTGTACACAGTATTTTGTACGTCCCACCTCATATAAGCGAGATAGATATCGCGAAATAGAAAATCGTTGACCAATCGGAATTACTAGAAGAAAACAATGGGATCGTTTGTTTTTCACTCTGTCTTCTTCAAGAGGACAGTAGGTCTCCGGTATAGAGTTGACTGATTATGGGAGAAAGGAACAGTTGATCTTGCGCTTACGTCTTCGTCCTTATTTCTGTTACAGCGCTTCCTGGCGTAGTGCGGCCCACTATAGCTCCCACGACAATAATGGCACCACCAACAGTAGCAACGGTAGCGCCAGTGATACCTCCACCTGGCATAGCCATACCGCAAACCTTAACGCGACCGCCCGCTATTATCCAACCGATTCCTGGTCAACCCGTTGTTATACCACCTCCTGCTGTTGTTGCGCCTACGATTGTTGGCACGCCAGTCGTAAGTATCCTACCATTGTGCCAGAACAAAGAGCATCGAAATAAAAGAAATATTGTCGACGTGTATGAAAAAAAATATTCTGATCTTGCTCGTTAGATACCAGTGACAACAACTGCGAATTCTGACATTATGAGGCGAGCGCAGGAACAAGCGGCTCATCAGAAACAACAGGAAGAATTGCAGAAGAAACTCTTAGAGGAGACGGAACCACAGACGTTGCAGCAACAGGAGAATATGTCAATCAAGGGCCAGAGTGCGCGTCATCTCGTCATGCAGAAACTCATGCGTAAAGTCGAGTCCCGAGTCGTTATTTTAAGAAATATGGTGGCGCCGGAGGACGTGGACGAGACCTTGCAGGAGGAGATTCAGGACGAGTGTTCCAAGTTCGGCGTGGTCGTACGGGTTATTATTTATAAGGAGCGACAGTCCGAGGAGGACGAGAATGCGGAAGTCATCGTAAAGATATTCGTCGAATTCGCCGAAATGAACGGTAAAGTATATTCATACGCACCCAGAGTGGTCCTAGATTGAGCGTAGATTTGGAATATGTGAAAGAATCTAAATCCCCTGCAATACATATAATATCGTCTGTCTGTCGTGTAGTTGTACGATTGAATTTTATATTTCCAGAAGCGGAACGCGCGAGAGATTCGCTGAACGGTCGTTATTTTGGCGGACGGCTGGTTAAGGGGGAGCTGTACGATCAAGCTCTGTTCGATAACAATGACTTTTCAGGTTGATACGATCAGGCTGTTCTCGTTTGCTAAGCATTAAGTTTTTATCAATTCGTATATGAGACAAAACTTGACGTTGACTGACTGCTTGATCTTTGTTTGAGCCAATATTTATAATAAAATCTTAGGGTCACGCGTTGAGTAGTCAGAAAAGTCAGATTCACGCGTTTTCGCGGCTCCAATCGTGAGTTTGTAGCAATCAATCCGCAAAATGTAGTTAGAGACCGCACAGTGCGATTTGGAGATCAGGAAGCAATTCAAGTTCGTCAAATGTGATTTAGAATGTTAAAAAATTCAACTTCTCTCCCCTTCCTCCCCACGTAAAACGAAACTTTATACCTTATCTACGTTATTCGTTTCGTATCACAGGGAAACCACAATTACAAAGCTTAGCGTCGTAGTACATCCAGAGATTAACATTTCGTACACCTATCCAGTATAATAGTACCATTTGTTATAATTTTGCCGAGGATAATTATATGAAAGTGGTAGTTCATTTATGTATAGAAAAAAAATAGAATAATAATAAATTCATTTTACATATACAGAGTGACTCGCGTGCGGCTTAGCGCTTTAATGTCCCGAGAATCGCGCGATCAATTTCGATCATTCTGATTTGGAATCTCATAGAAAGAATTCTTTCAAGTATCAAGTCCCCATTGATTTATTCCTCCTGGAGGATAAAATGAAGAAATGTAACTAAAGTTTTATAGAAACCTGTCAGTCTGTCATCTGCTTCAGAAAGAACAGGCAACTTTTGTCAATTTTTAAAAACTATTCCGTCAAACTACTTATATTGCATAGATAAAAACAACGTTGCTCTAAGAAAATTTATGAGAACACTCTTAAAATTCGCCAGCAGTAATTAACATCAGTGATTTTTATTGACCGTATCTGGCCATTTTATTAATACAAATTTATTATAATAAATTTGCTCTAAGAATATACTTTACTATACTGACATGGTATTTACATTAACGCTAAAGTTTTATAGAAACCTGCCGGTCTGTCATCCACTTTGGAAAGTACGAGCAACTTTTGTCAATTTGTAACAATTATTCCATTTAGAAACCCTGTCCAACTATTTATTGTATAGATAGAGACCAACTTTGTTCTAGGAATATACTATACAGACATGGTATTTACATTATTTAGTGTTTATATGAATCCTTTGGTTTGTAATTACTTCCGAAAGATTGGTAATCTTCGTAGATCGGAAAGTTTCCGGGAGTCTCTGACTGGGTACTAGATGTGGCGGGAAGATTGCCGGTGTCTTCGCTCCTGGGGCGGTTCTCCTCCGTGAGCCTCGCGGCGTTCTCCTTCTTGGTCACCGCCAATCGGTAATTAGCGTCTATCTCTTCCCGCGTTGGCGGCTCTTTCCTGCGGTATCTCAGCCAGGCCTCCCATTCCGCGGGCAGCGCCTGCTCGAAGTCTTCCTTGTTCACCGGCACGAAGTACCGCGGCGGTCTCTTCCGGGCGGAGTAGCGAATCTCCTCCTCGTAGTACTTGGTGCCGTAGTAATCCTCGCCCATCAGCTTGCGGCGAGCGAAGCGAGGCTTGAACGAGGACACGAAGCTGTTCCAAAGAACCCTCATGACGCCACGTTCCTTGGCCATGTCGCGACACTGCGAAGAGAGAACGGTTACACTCGTGAGATGTAATTGACGAAACGGCAGGAAAATATTGAAAACCTCAAAAACGCTGGGACACCTCGACAGAGACTCGTAACCTCAAAAAGGCGCTCCAGCGTGAATAATTTTAGGCGTAACGAGTAGCAATGCGGTTTTCCTCCGAAGGAAATACAATTTCACGTGGACGTAAATCAGCTGCGCACCAAATCACGTACCGTTCGATGTAAATAGTAGCGACTATTCTCTTAGGTTAGAATTCGTTGTCCAAGATGGGCTTTCGACATTCCTCAGATTCGCAACTCGCGCTTGGATTCCGGATTCCGGTGGAACGCAGTGATGGAAGATTGTGGAAGAATTCGTCTGCAACAGGCGACTTCGTGCGCACGCGTGAGGTGACGTAGCAACTCGAATCCAATGGTGGATGTAGGGGCCACAGGGGGGCGCGAAATATCCATTCCGATAGTTTTCCCGCGTTTATTCTGTGACAGTGTTAGCGATGTAGTTAAAATGTGATTAATATTTATTAGCGATAAGTTTATATGTGCAATATTATAGTGCAAGTGATAAGATGGATTATCAACGGCCTTCTATATCAAGCGGCATCGAGAAAAAGAAGAGGAAACTAGCAAAATTTCTACACATTTAAGCCCGCTGTAGACGATGCTATTTTTCCTGGTGGATTGCTTGCGATTTAATAAATTACTATCATTGCACCACTCAGCACTCAGGATTTCTAGTAATTTACTGAATCGCAAGCGGCTTTAGTTAGGTATGGACACGGGATGTGTTCGAAAATGGATTTAGTTACTGCCAGTGAAAACAGTATAGTTGGTAGCAATGAAAATTACTGGTGCTGCGTTTTTCGCACGCCAGTAAAGTCAGTAAAGCCCGCTGCAGACGATGCTATTTTTCCTGCTGGATTGCTTGCAATTTAGTAAATTACTAGGAATCCTGAATGCTGAGTGGTGCAACGATAGTAATTTAGTAAATCGCAAGCAATCCAGCAGGAAAAATAGCATCGTCTGCAGCGGGCTTTAGGCTGGGTCTACATTGGATGTCGTAAGTCGAATAATGAACTGTGATTGGTCAATTTCCCAGCCATACTGACTTTACTGGCGTGCGAAAAACGCAGCACCAGTAATTTTCATTGCTACCAACTATACTGTTTTCACTGGCAGTAACTAAATCCATTTTCGAACACATCCACAATGGCTGTGTTCTGCCGAAGTTAGCTAAGAATAAGCGCTTTATGCTGATTGGATAGATCTAGAAGAATAGCTCTATTTCAGCACAGATCTGAAAGTATAATCCAATGAACGCAAAGCGCTTAGCAAGCGCAAACTTCTGCTGGACACAGGCATTGGCTGTGTTCTCCAGAAGTTAGCGCTTAATAAGCGCTTTATGCTGATTGGATAGATCTAGAAGAATAGCTCTATTTCAGCACAGATCTGAAAGTATAATCCAATGAACGCAAAGCGCTTAGCAAGCGCTAACTTCTGCTGGACACAGGTATTTAGAGATTGGTTATCAAGGCATCATGAGGACAGTAGAAAAGCTGTCTACACGGCTAGTAATGAAGTCTTGTCGTGCGGTAAAACTGATTTAATTAGACATTCAAAAAGTCTAATACATGTTGATAATATAAATAAAAGTCGCAATGTCAACCCATCTGCCTCGTTGACTGTTTCTAATGATAATACATTTGTGAACCACGGTACTGTCATCAAAACTTCTCCCTAAATTCGCTTTCAAATTCATTTCCATTTGGAACCTTATGATACCACTTAATATGTACGTGAGTGAGGCTGCGCAGAAGTTTGCGCGTGCGCGAGTAATATTCTCCCTATCACCGGTGGAACGTCCCGCGGACGTCCGGTGTTTTTCGCTCGATCAGGTTGACAGCGCCGAGAGGCCCCGTCCGCGCGGTCGGGACAAAATGGCGGCGCCGTTCACGTTCTAGGATCCGCGCGGGGCCCCTCGTCCCGCCGTGCACGGCACTGATCCCGCTCGATACGTCACTTCCAGGCGCGGCGGAGTGGAGAGCCCCGCGTCTCGTGCACGCATGAAAGGCCCGCGCGCGCGCACGTGCATGCGTGCGTGCGTGGTCGTGGTGGTGTGGCGAGCGCAGTAGGTTGAAAATGGCCGTGCACGCGCATAGCTCCGCCGCAGCGATCGCCGATCCCCGCGAGAGATAGGCTCCTCGGTGCGGGTCGACGACGGGACGCAGTCCGCGTCAAGAGCGCCGTCGCTCCGTCCGTCCCTCTCCTTCTCCCATGAACGGATCCCGCGAGGCGAGACGCGCAGCGGAGTCGACCAGACGCGCAGCGGCTACACATTCCGGCGGATCTCACAGCGGTAGAGCGCGAGGGTAGGAGGGAGGGGGGGAAGGAGGCGGCCGTCGTGTCGAGGATCCCGGGACTCGGACCGTCCTGTCAGCGATCGCAGGTAAGGCGAGAACGTTCCGCGATGCGACGGCGCCGTCGTGGGTGACGGACGGCCCGCTCGTCCGCCCTCGGGTTGCACGCGGACGTGACACGCGCGCGTCATCGCCGTCGCCGTCTTGCGGTCCATCCCTGTCTCTCGAAGAGGCGCTTTTCTCCTCTCTCCGCTACTCTCGGGCGACGGAATAGGTGTCCCTTCCCAGATGCACTTTCCTGCACTTTCTACGTGCGGAATGAAGTCATCTGCGGTCGTATCTCGGACAAGCGGTGGGCAAGGGGGGAGAGAGAGAGGGTCGCAAGGTAGGCGATGCGGCGAGGGAGAGAGAGAGAGAGAGAGGAAGGCGCAGCCGCGGAACAGTCCCGTCTAGCTTCCACGAGACGGACACGCGCGACGTGTCCTCCGCGATCTCGGCCCATCCCCGAACCACGTCGTCGTCGCCGTCGTCGTCATCGCCATCGCCGTCGCCATCGCCGTGTCGTCGTTGACGGTCTGTCACGCGCGCGTCAACGGCCGCGCGTAGCCCGATTTCCCGATTGCGCGGCGTGTGTCGGGGCGTGTTCGCGCGAGGAGGAGCTTAACCGCTTTCGCGGACAGATGCGTGGACACGAGGCGGTTCCGCGCGGGATTCCCGAGGATCGGCGGCCGCATCGGCGACGGTATGGACGTGACCTAGGGTCGCTTGTCAAAATTGTGTCAAGCCGCGCGAGCAAGCGTCAACACCTGTCTACGACTTGTGCTCTCTCTCTCTTTCTCTCTCCCTCGTCTCCCTTCTTGCTGGCTCTCGGCCGCTCGCTCTCTCGCGGTTTCTTATCGTCCGCTACGCTTCCGCGACACATATACACGCGGCCGAGGGCGGCTATCGATCAGGAGGAGGCAGCGAGAAGCGTGACGGACGGACGGATCCGCGCGCGTTGCGCCAAAGAGGATTATCATGTTCGCGGAGAGCGGGGCCGCGTTCCGCAGTCTCGCGCGCTCGCGCGCGCGCGCGCGCGCGGCGGGGCCGCAACGGTAATGCCGATTAACGCCTAATCGAATTTCGCCGTCTCGCCGCCGGACGTTTTGCAAGTCCCGCTGCCCACGCGAGATGCTTCCGCGAGTAGGGCAATCGCGTTGCAATCGCCGCTTTTCTCTCTTTCTCGCGCGCTCTCTCTCTCTCGCTCTCTCGCTGCTTCTTCCTTCCCCTTGAAAGGAAGCACCGGAACCGTGGAAGCGCGCGCGCAAAGTGTGTTGGCGTCCCGCTTTTGCGCCCGGAAAATCCAGCCTTTTAAAAATGTCTCCGGCGCCTGGGATGGTTTAAAGGGCGGCGGCGGCGCGGGAGTTTCTCCCCCGGGAATCCCCCGAGTGTTCGCGCTATTGTTAATAATAACTGCGCATCCCTCGATAACAGCCCGCTCCGTCTGCAGATAGCAATTTTTCCGTATTCAAGCTTATCAATGATATCTGGGTTCTCCAACGCCTTTTATCTCACCTCCGCGATTCGCCCGCTTAACACGTCTCCGATTCTTTTCGCGGCGCCAACGCGTACGTGCGCGTCGAGAATTTCGTACCGCGCGGGGCACCTGATTTCTGGTTTCGGGCCAACTTAAAGATGGATATCTTATTTTAATGAAACGTTCCGCCGACTTCGCCCCAGTTTTCTCCGCACTGAAATTTCTTCATTATCCACTACCGTTGAAATACATTAGAAACAATGTAGCACATGTTACGTTCATCGCTATGCGCATCGTATTAAAAAAAAAAAGAAAAAGGATCGTCTCTCTTTCTCTCTCTTCAGTGCCTGTAATTGAAATCGAGCGTCGAACGGTCGGCGAAACGAGCCGACAGAATTGCAGGTGGAAGGAAGATCGTGAGTGAATAATAAATTGTATCGTTTCCTTCCAGATTTGACTCGATTGCTACCCGTGCATCTAATTGTTGGAGATTGTCAGCGATGGGTCGCGATCCTCCTCTCTGTGCCCACAGTAGCTTGAGCGCGACGACAATCATTTAGGAAGTGCGGCTCGGAGTTCACAAAGATGCGGGAGTGGTGCGGCACGGTCCCCTGGTGTCCGGCAGGGATCTGAAGGGAATCGGCGCCCGAGTGCTCGAGGAACTTACCTTGACGCGGCAGATATAAGAATAATGCGGACTGTGTGAAGTGACATTGTTTTTCCTTTTAAACGTACCGCACATCGCAGCATTGGGGAAATGGTTACTGAGCTCTTTTGAGCGCCAACTAAGAGTTATATTTTACTACAAATTTACTACGCGATTGTTAAAAAGAAAGTTACACTTTTGTACGGCAAAGTGCGCGCGTGTTGTTGAGGCTTCGCCGCGCGTTCAAATTGCAATAGCAGTCTCGGTGCGAGCGTGCAAGTATATCGAGACACAGCTGCCAAAATGTCGTTCCTGTCGAATCTGAGGAAGGCCTTCCACTTCGGTGGCAACGACGCGAAGAAGAAGAAACTGTACAACAACATTAAAATGGACTGCAATCCGGAGGAGTTTTGGGAGATGGTGGGCGAGCTGGGGGACGGCGCGTTCGGTAAAGTTTACAAGGTGAGCATTTTAATCCCCGGTCCATCCGAGTTCGCTCCACTGGCGGTCCTTTTAAACGATTATTGCTTCAGGCACAACATAAGCAGTCCAATCAGCTGGCCGCGGCGAAAATGTGCGCGTTAGAGGGGGAGGACGATCTTAGCGATTTCATGATCGAGATAGACATTTTGTCCGAGTGCAAGCATCCCAACATCGTTGAGTTACACGAGGCTTACTTCATTGAGGGAAAACTCTGGGTATGCTTTACACGTTTTCCTTGCATTTCTATTATTTATAGCGAGGGGGCTCTTCTTTTACAAATAAAACAATTATTACTGTAACGCAAGGTGGGCACTTTGAATGGAAAGAGTGTTTTTGCAGATGTTAATTGAGTATTGCGACGGTGGTGCTGTGGATTCCATAATGGTCGAGCTGGAAAAGGCCTTAACAGAATTGCAGATTGCATACATCTGCCAGCACATGACTAAAGGTCTTGCCTTCCTACACAAATCCAAAGTCGTGCACAGGGATTTGAAGGCGGGAAATGTCTTGCTGACTATGGCCGGCGGTGTTAAAATAGGTAGATGTCATAAATGAGCTTCGGTGAACTCTTTGCTAGTGTATTAAATGTGACGTGTGTGTATAAAGGATTTTATCTTCAATTTACAGCTGACTTTGGCGTGTCCGCGAAGAACAAGCATACTCTGCAAAAGCACGACACGTTTATTGGAACTCCGTACTGGATGGCGCCCGAGGTTGTTCTGTGCGAAACATTTCGGGACAATCCTTACGATTTTAAAGTAGGCAATCGTAAATATGAATAAGTAACTTTCTCGATCTGGCACTCTTGACTTGAAGGCGTTATACGTGAACCCGACTGTTTAGGTGGACATTTGGTCTCTTGGTGTAACTCTTATAGAGTTTGCACAAATGGAACCACCGAACCACGAAATGTCGCCGATGCGAGTGCTACTTAAAATACAGAAAGGCGATCCGCCGAAACTGGATCAGCCCGGGAAATGGAGTAAGGAATTTAATGATTTTATTGCTAAAGCACTTATAAAGGACCCGGCCTCACGACCCACCGCTGATGATTTGTTAAGACATCCGTTTATAAGCCGAAATTTAGATCCAAAGCCTATCAGGGACTTGTTACTTGAATATAAGGCGGATGTTGTCGAAGAAGAGCTGGTAGATGAGGAAGCAGAGGTAGGTTCTATTTTTCGTCCTATCCACTTTATGTTCTTTATGTACATGTTAATTATGCAGATCATACGCAAATAATACGATTAATTATACATAAATTCAATAAGCTGAACACGTAACATAGTACGAATCTTTAGATTCAGAAAACATGCAAGCATATATTCTTTGCATGTTACTTACATTAAAAGTCTAATACACGCTTTATGCGAAGGACAAACATTTTCTAACATGGCGTTTCTCTCGTTTTAACTGTAGTTGCATTAACAATATCGAAACTTCAATTCAAAGAAATTTGCTCTAGTGCAAGCATTTTAAATGTAACAGCCGTGGTAGATACCCGTTTCATAATTCAAGTAGTTTTGCACAGAGCTTCTGATAATGCAGAATTAACATGTATTGCACATTGTTACATGCTTCCGTTATTATAGAAGGCCAAAAAAGCGAAAAAACACAGAGAACAATATCAGCGAATTGGTAAGCTGCTTCCGTGTGAAGCATACATGTCTTACCCCTGTCCATTTGTGAAATGGAGGAACGTAAAATCATTAGAAAGTTGTTGATCAGATGTTGCATCAGTTGGAACCCGACTATCAGTCCTGACAAGTTGTCCCTGAAAAATTGAGGACGCGTTGATTATTTCTTACCAAATTGTCAATTCTTAAATAAGACGCGACTGTTCGTATTTATATGTCACTACGCATGACGTGACCGTGCCGTTTAATATTACAATAGTGCATGCGTTTACAAATCAAATCTGTTGCAAATTCTGTGTTTCTCCTTTGTCGTAAGGAATGAATTATTGAAAATGTGTAGAGTATTGTCGACAGTAGAGTACTCCGTGTATAAAATATCTTATCATGATAAATGTGTTGTGATAATTTTATTACTTTGGCTGTGCATGCGGTTCACCTGGCCCTCGCCAGCCTCATTATCCCAATGCGCGTCAGGTTAGTAGTTTGCGTCGCTGTATTCTCTGCAGGATCAATTAATTCTGAGCTACATAATACAAACTTAAAACATGCGCTACATATGCTACTATGCAAAGAGAACATTTTACAAAAGTGATCCGTATAATATGTACGAGCTGTTTTCTCCGAAACAAAATTCTTTCTCGACTTTTTAACATTTGTTGGAGCTCCCTACGGAATAATTAATGCCGCACTATTGTCCAAAATATTTCATTTAGATACTTTTGTGCAATAATAATTGATTTGTGAGAAAGAAAAGAATACAAGATTGTCCGCTTTGGATATCTTACGATTCCCCTTTCTCTCTCTCTTTCTACGTATAAAAGGCTTAAAATCCCAGAAGAAATCTTGCTGCTGTCCTTACCAGTTTCCGAGAAAACAATTTGTAAAGTTTACGTGGCTCACATGATTATATTATGCATAGCATGAGATAACGTTTTCTCCGTTTTATTTTTTTGTGATTTCACATTCTTCATATGATAACGAAAAACTGCAAACTTATGATTGTAATCTGCGAACTCTCACATTTTTATCTGTGTATCTGGTTACATGTTACTTAGTACCATGCCATTTGTAATGGAAATCAAATGATTCACAATCAAAAGATTTTTTTCTTTACACTTTTTTAATATTTTGTACATACAATGTATACGTTAATATTTCAGGAGCAGCGCACATCTCAGCTTCCTCTGGAGCTGGATCAAATCACAGATGACTCCACTGCTACGCGTCTTGATGCTGATGTTAAGAGTGAGTGTTGCAAAACTACTAATAAATAGTGTATATAACATTGGAAAATATATTAATACTTTCTTCTGTTTGTCAGTTCCCGAAAAAGAAAACCTCGTGGCACTGCCTGCGAAGAAAGAGGAGAGTCACAAGCGCGAGATCAATCGGGATGGTGAGAAAGAGGACAAGAATAAGAGATTGCGTAAGGCTGAGTCCAAAGAGAACATACAACCTCCTGCCGAGAGGAAGCAGGTACTTGACATAATTATCTTATTACTAACTTGCGCGGAGAACGAATGTTTGTTAATGGCACGTATGTAATTATTTGCGCAGGCACCTAAGCCACCAAATGAGACAAGTGAGCGCAGATTATCTCGAGATAAAGGGCCGGCGCCTCCGCCACCACCGATGCGTCAAGATAGCGAGGAGAAAAAGAAGAAAGATGAGGAAAGAGAGAACATTCCGAAAACCGTCGAGAAAGTTGCAAACCTGCAAGTAGATAGACAAAAATCTACCGAAGATAAACCGCATGTGAATAAGTTGTCGCAAAATGAAAAGACGGCGGATCAACAGGTGATAAAAGTTAAGGAGCAAAAGAGTTTAGAGATCGAAGATCAGACGCAAAATGAATTGGACAATACCGAGAAGATAAAAAAAGTAGAGAGCGAGGGTAACGGTAAACTATTTGACAATATAAGAAGATTTGAGAGTCAACAGAAGTTACTGAACAATAAGTCGAGCTCCACCTCAAAGAAACAATTGAGTGAGAAACGCAAGTCGGCACCTGTAAAACCAGAGATGATCGAGGACTTGTCCAAGATAATATACAAGCAGTCATCTTTTGAAGATAAGAACAGGTGAGTATTTTCTATTTACTTGTACTAGAATTTAAACTTTATAGGTTGAACTTGTGGAACGCTGATCTAAAGAAATCTCTATCGCAAAACAATATTTCCATTTAGGATGAAAAATAAGCTGTCATCCGTTGACGACGTAACGAATTACGAGTTGCAATCTCGAGACAAGGAGGTTTACAAGAGTCTGGAGGAAAAGCGGAAATCTGTCGGGGAGAAATTGAATGCCGTATTGGAGAAGCGGTTATCCATGGACCACAAGAAACGAATAAGCGACGGTTCTGTGGAAACATCGAAGCACGCATCCGTCGCGTCGACGCTCCTAACGGAGAAGAATAACGTTAAGGCTAATTCTACGGAAGATATTAAGACGCAATTTGGCGTAACGAAGACTGAGAGTTCCGCGAAAAGTCGCAGCGCGGGATCGTCCAGAAATGACTCTCTGGAAAACTTTTCGGACGAGTTGCATGCTAAAACAGTTAGTAGTAAGACGGACTACAATCAGGAGGACGCGGCGAGCGATGACAAGGGCTTGGAGAAACAAGATCCGGGAATTAACGTATCGGTGATTACGTCGACGCCGATCAGAAGCAGAAACGGTTCGAGAAGAAGCAGCGGGGACAACATAGTCGTTATTACTGGTAAAATCGAGATAGTATTGCATTACCTTAGACTAATCATCGCTTGTTCCTTTACTTACGTTGCGTGTTACGTTGCAGGAAAAGCTCAGCCCGAACAAGAAGTACGCTTAAATACATCGACCGTCCATATTACTGCCGACTCGCCGGATATGTCGAACAGTCTAGCGAGTAACATAAGCCAAGTAACCGTCGTGACGACGCATCCGCCCGTATTGGTGGACGCGCCCTCGACGACGTCCACGACGACGACGCCTCTTCCGCGACGCACCTCGCCGACGTCGGAGGTCGTTATCGTCGCCAACGAGATGAACAAGACTCAGGTCAACGATAATTCTATCGACGACGACGCGTTTACTAGTCTGGATAGTCTGGAATACACGCCGCAGGAACAGCCTATCGTACTTACTGACGTGTCCAAGAGAATCGGCAAGAAACTGGACGAGTCGGAGGTGGTCATAGTGAGCCCCATCGTGGACGAATTGCAGGACACCAGTCACGTCTCGGTGGTCACTGTCGGCGAGGATAAGGAACAAGTGAAGGACTCGTCGATATCTAAGAAGCACAACGTTATTCGTACCGGCTCGTCTCACAGCGATCTGAGTTCAAACGAAAGACTGAGCTTGAGGAGCGACAGCGGGGACGAGAGCGGCAAAGTGATAGTCGCCAGCACGACCGTCGACTCATCGGACATGGGTGATTACGAGAGAAACGCGAAAAAGCTGAACGGACTGATCAAGAACGAAATGCCGCATCACGCCGACGATAGAATCGTGAAGACGGTCAAGCCGAAGGAAGTCAACGTGAAGAGTTTCGGTAAGGAGAAACGAGTCTCCCCGGACAGCTTCGAGGGTTCCAGATCCCAGAGCGATTCTAGCTCTATAAGGTCGCACACGCCGAGTAAGAGCATCGATCGTTCCGATGCCGAGTCCATTTCGACGACCATCAGTCAGGACAGCAGGGAGTCGAACAAGGAAAACCGTTTGAATCAGCCGCAACATACGGAGGTTGACGAGGAGGTCGTCCTACGTCGAAAGCCCGATTACAGTCGCGAGATGTCCCGGCCAACCAGGACGAAGGAAGACATACAGATGATGAATCTGAAGAAGAAGACGCGAAAGCGCACGAGAAAGTTCGAGATCGACGGTGTCATGATGACGACGACGACCTCGAAGGTGATATACGGCGATGACGAGAACGGTAAGGTGTATGACGATCAAATATTCAGGAAGCAGGAGCTGCGGGAGTTGAAGATGCTGCAGAAGATGGAGCAGAAACAGTACCAGGATCTGTCGCAGAAGGCTCAGTTCAACAAGGACCAGCAGGAGAAGCGATTTGAGCAAGAACGACAGATCTTGGAGCGAAGTGCCGAGGCGGATTTGGAGGCACTCGCCCGACAGCAGAGACAGCAAATCGAACGCGCCGAGGCGCAGCAGGAGGTCGATCTGCGACTGTCGTCCAAGAAGATCCGGAGCGAGCAGGAGAGGGAGCTCAAGCAATTCCGAGAGGGCCTGAAGCAAGAATTAAGATTGCTCAAGCAAGAAATAGACTTGATGCCAAAGGACAAGCGGAAGAGCGCGTTCAAGATACGGAAAGAGAAGCTCGAGGCGGAGCACGAGGAGCGGGAGAAGCTCTTCCTGGAGAAGCTCAACGAGAGTCATGAGATGTCGTTGAGACGACTGTCGGACAGCCATCGCGAGAAGATCGCGCTGATGGAGCGGCAGTTCTTGCAGCAGAAGCAGCAACTGATGCGCGGCAGAGAGGCGGCCATCTGGGAGCAGGAGGAACGGCAGATACACGAGCGGCAGCAGCTGCTCAAGAAGCAACTCAAGGACATTTTCTTCCTGCAGAGACATCAGATGCTCATACGGCATGAGAAGGAGCTGGAACAGATGAAGAGAATGAATCAGAGGAAGGAGGAGGAACTGATTAAGCGACAAACTGTGGAACGTCGGAACCTACCTAAGAGAATTCGCAATGAAATGAAGGCGCGCGAGATGATGTTCCGTGAGTCGATGAGGATCTCGATGTCGTCCGTGCTCGCGCCGGATCCCGACGCCGAACGGGAGAAGCTCAAGAAATTTCAGGAGAACGAGAAGAAGAGATACAGGGCGGAGCAGCAGAGATTCGAACTGAAGCATTCCAGACAGCTCGAGGAGGTGAGGGCGCAGAGCGACGCTACGATCAAGGAATTGGAGCAATTGCAGAACGAGAAGCGGAAGATGCTGATGGAGCACGAAACGCTCAAGTTGAAGGAGCAGGAGGAGGCTTACGGCAGGGAAATTCGCGAGTGGAAGGCGCAACTTAAGCCACGAAAGCAGGTAATTACACCAGCTTGGACAATGTTATCTCGAAATTATCTTATCTTTGTCTTATCGATGTGTTTCTTGGATCTTTAATCCTTGCGGCCTAATAGTACGTACAACTGCCTTTTAATTCTCTATTATTGGTTTAGCAGTGTGCTTCACTTTCGAAATTACATTGTTGATTTTACGCATTTTCTGTAACAGTGTGAGAATTTTTAGTTTCAATTCGAAGGTCGGCGCAAACCGACGCATTGAAGCGGTCAGGAGGCTTGTAACGCGGGGATGTAAGACGTAAAACAGAGACGTCCGCTTTCGCATTCAGCTTGCGTCGCTTTGCGCGGAGCTTAACTTGCATGACTAATCATTAATGAAACAAAGTCGCCGTAAGTCGAGATGAAAAGTAATTAAACGCGGGAACGCGCAACGGGAAACGAATTCGCAGTTGAAGTTAACGTAGACGCGCGAAGTATCGAGCTCTAGGTCTTGACATAAGTCTGACATTAAGTCTTGATGTACCTGTTATAGAAGATAGAAGCTGATCTGGCGGATGAAATGGAAGCATTGGAAAAGCGCTACCAAGACTATTTGCCTTCTTCTGGTCTTAGTGGTCTCTCTTTTCCCTTTTTCGACTATTCTAAAGTCATGTTTACCGACACTTGGAGGAGATCCCCACGCTTGTCACACTCCACACCCACTTCCCCGTCTTTCACCATTCCCAGGGTGTCGCTGAAGATTAGCGGTTCGGATTCGGGTACCTTCGTGTCGAACGGCACGCTCTCACGAAGCTACTCCAAGCCGGACCTAGTGCCGTTCTCCCGCAGATAGTATCTGTCCAAATCATACTCAACGTCTCGTTCATATCACACTTAATCCGGGGAAGTTTTACTTATATACACGCGCGCGCAATGTACGTCTATTAGTCCATTGTGTCTTCTTATAATAGTAGAAAGACATTTTTCAAACTATGTAAATTCGGAGATACAATGTTGCCATCTTTTTCACCATCACGAATGTTTGTAAGACTTCCCTGTTTACGTAGCACTTTCCTGGCCACGAATAACTAACTGTAATCCTCTCTGCTTTACTCACTGGCGCCTTAATGTTAACGCAATAACTTTGGACTTAAATGTTTATATGTTGCATATGTATGTACAGTCGCGGTTTGAAAGATTGTTTGACGTTTTATGATAATTAATATGAAATTTCGGAAATATAGTCTATCATGCGAGATATTATAGCTTTTGTTCACAGATATGTGCAGTGACGCATTATTAGAGCAAAGAAATTTATAGGTGAACGAATATCTGTGCAACGATACATACGAATATTCCGAAAGCTTGTCGTAAAACGTCGGGCAACCTTTTTGACCGTACACGTGTATGTAGATGTGTTATATATTTTTATGCCATTACCCAGGGAATTGCTAACACAACTAGAAGGAGATAGATAAGTAACTATATTGTTTATATAAAAGTTATGGGACACATGTGGCAAAAATCGTATCGTGTAGTGCGGCAAGTTAATTTATTTTTTGTGAATCATGATTCTCCAAATCTAGGAAATATGCACGAATCGGATAAGAGAGATCTTCATGCTTCTCGAGGTCTATGTAATAATATTTAAGTTTTGTTGTATAAGATACACGTAACATGTATGTATGTTAGCGTCCCCTGTTTACTCAACTGTCGCTTCCACTCGGTTATGTAATTTCTGTTCGTCGGTAGTTGATAAAAAGACAAAACCGATCGACGAAGGGAAGTACGGAGAGGCTCTATTAATTTGTTTAAAGCTCCAATCAGTTTCCAAGTGCCAAATTGAGTTAAGATTATTAAGCTAGAACATCTTTCGAGATAACTTAGCAAAAAAAAAAAGATGACGTAACTAATGTATTTTCTTAAGATTGTGCGTGTTCGAAGGAAAGAGTTCCATCGCTGTAGTTGTCTCGTCCATGTATATCAATGTAATCGTACGTTATGTTGCTTTATTATGAGAGCTTAATCGGTTAAACGTCGAAATAACAGGGTAAGTGTGGTGTTACCATGGGCTATGTATTAGAGTTTAGCGGAATAACTTGTGAAAGCGCGGCTTCCTTAAAGGGTCCCGTAACTACTGGTTGTTTAATAGCGTATAGACAGTTTGTATTGCAGTCCTTAACTTAAATGTAAATCCCACGAAGGAAAGATCCTAATAGAGCTAGAAAGAGATTCCACATGTTGGATTTCAAAGCTGTGTACAAAATAGCCACAAGGTTAGTCCACAATATTGTTGTAAAGTATCGCCGGTCCACGTTTCAAACACGTTCTACGGACATTTGTAAATATATATAAGACGTTTGACGCATTCCCTTTTTCCACAGTTAAACGCTGTTGCATTGCTAATTTAGTTACGCGAGATTATAGTCTACTCTAGTCATTTTACTTACTTCTGTGTGTGTGCAAAGAGATAGATTTTTCTCTAACATGTCTTTCTCGCCTTGCAGAAACTCGAGGAACAGTTCGCGTTACAATTGGAGGAACAGGAGGCGATTTACGGGCCTAGTGCGATACCACTGTGCCTACCGGCTGATCTTCCTGACCTGACGCATCACACGACCGAGTCTACGCGTAGCTCGTTGTCCTCCGTGAGCGAGGGCTGAGGACATTACGAGGATACGAAAGAACATGTATAATCCGCGTAAGACGTCTTCGTGCTCGAAGCGTTCCTTAGCTGATATTAGCGTCGTCGCGATACCAATCGTCACCGCTGTTTGTACGTGTATATATCGCGGTAATTCGTTTTGGAACTGAATATTAAATAATTTTCATCTAGGCACGGCTGTCATTTGTGTATGTATGAATAATTGAGCCACCGGGAGCAACGGCAGTAACGTGATTTCGAAATTTTTACACGTCGGGTTTGTAACTCTTGGATAACGTCGGGGTCAGTGTTCCTTCGAAAACAAGTACCATTCGATTATTAAAAATCGAGAGCGCCGATCCTTGGTGACGAAGTACAGAGCTTCCGAATCTGAGGGGGAATATCTCGCGAATTGTTGTATGCGGGAACCAGTTCACAATTAGACATGTGTTGTCTAAAATGTATCTGTACAGATTGTTATGTAATTTATACGCTGCGATAACGATAACGCATTGGTAAACTGAAATTAATCCGCCCATGTTTTGATCTTGGAATCTTGTTGCAATGCGAAAGACACGCACTGATATTCCTCGGATCATGAAAACTGAAACTAAAAGCCTTTCCTGCGCATTATGTATAGGATGGCGCCCATAAAACCGGCCTCGAACGCAAAATGCAAGTTACAAAGACTGTTTGGGGCCGGTTTTATGCACGTCACCCTGTCTATACATATATTATCAAAGTTAACTCCGTTAACGCGTCGGTGCAATTAGTAATAACTTTGAGGGAGGATAACTGTTGTGTATGTATGTTTATAGAGAGAGTATGATTTTACAGCTATACAATTCACACAGGCACGGAATGTATATTTTTTTACATTTTAGAGAATTATATTGTATACCAATCAATTCAATCCATGTTCGAGTACTGCTCGAAGAACGAGCGTTATAGGAAATTTGTTACATGTAATTATATGATGGCGGTGAATGATGCTGATGACCAGATTTGTTTTAAGCGATCATAATTTCGAGCTATATTATATACATAAAATCGCTGATTTGTACATGGTAACAGTTCATATAATAATAATGTTAAGCTGTAGTCACCATGTTCGGTTATAGTTACGTTATTTATAAAAAAAAAGGTTTATAATAGCAACGCGAGTATTCTACTTCAGACGAATATTTTAGTAAATACCCGGTCAAACTCGGATTACTTTGTTCCTTGGGTCGCGCCCGATTTTTGCTCCGACATCTGTTACGTACGTTTGAATTATTTAAAATTGTGCAATGTTGTGATAAATATTATGTTCTCGTATTTGGATATGTCGTCTATTTCCATTTGTCGTCGCATAATATTCCGGAACACAGGTAAATACGTATCTAAACGCACTCTCCAAGAGCGATCAACTCCGTTCATATGATGAAGCTGAAAGAAGGGCCTTTTGTGAAATCACCTCGCGCCTGATAACGAATACGATGCTGCTACTTACGAATAGGACATGATGATTATATTATGAGAAACAAAGTAATCTAGTTTTACATTGTACTAAAAATCAAAGGACAACACCAAATATACGTCGTACGTTTGCATGGCTGTGTGCACGGCTCATGACGTTCTAGAGAATCTCTCTTGCGATACAATGCATACTTAAAACGAGCATGCGTGGCTAATGCAAGCTGTAGATAAAGAGTACTTGTAAAAAAACACCTCTTTTTTAATTGTAAATTAATCTCGCTGCGAAGTTGATTAGTTCGATACATATATGTATACATGCGGAATGTCTTAGATTCCCTCTCAACGGACTCCTTGCATGGGATGATTTGTGAAATCCATTTTTCTTTGAGAGGAAAAGACAGATCAACGAACTTGTTAACGAAAATGTGTGACTGAGAGGAAACGTGGTAGAGGGAAATGGGACGTCTGCAAATATGTATTATTATTCGGAGAGTTTCGTGTACATAGAATTCTGATAAGCTGTCTAAGGAACTGTAATCTAGTATAAATATCATGTTACGACGACTCGTTGAGAAGCAAATTTCTTTCCTTCTTCAATAAAAAGTACCGTGCATATCTCTTTTATATATCACGACAAGATTAATTCTGTAGAGCATTTATATCAATTTCCACGTCGCCGTCGAGATCATTATAGACGATTTTATCGATATTACAAGCCATTGACACTCCCCCTTGTGTCAGTGATACGATTATGATTGTAAATTATTCATCATGTTAATTTACTTGTAAGTATTTGTTGAAAATACACGAATTGCGAAAGCGTGCGCTCTTATTAAACGTCATTGAGAGAATTGTAGACGAGAACTGAATTCCTAGGCTCGACCTCTTTTTCGACTATTTTTCGCAAATTAAAAATGCACCTGCATACGTCGTGTCAAACCCCCTTAACAGTATACTTTTCAGTTGTGGCTTTAAATTACAGCGCGACGAAAATTCGGGGAAAGACACGCGAGATTCTGTTACGTAAATCGAGATAACTATAATTGAACGTCCCGCTTTCTCTCGGGCAAATTGACCGTTCGCGACGGTCGCGTCGCTGTCTCCGTCAGTTCCGGAAGTGACACACTGCGGCGATAGCGGCTGCCGCGTGCGGCGCGTTGCGCATGCAGCGCATGTCGCCTCGTCTCCTAGTATTATTCTTCCGGTCTAGGGCCGTCGCGTTGAGCTGTCGTCGGTGAGTTGGATGGATATTAATCGCGCGAGATCCTGTCGAGACGCGAGGAAACGAAGCGATATTTCGCACCAGCGGGAATCCGCGAGGCCGCTATTTACGCGCGCCGACCTTATTTTTGGCGTGTGCGAAAGTCGCGTCGACTTCGGCTCGTTGTGCCGTCGGATAACCTGTACCCGAGTCGTCGCGTCGCGTCGCAAGGCGGTCCGTGCGCTCCTCGTGCGTGTGCAGCGACGATTGAAATTGATACCGCGCGCACATCACGGCTCCGCGAACGAATTTGAGGTCGGTATCGTCACGATTGTCCTACGCTTACGAACGATTCTCGTTGCAGAGTCCACGAGGATGAAGTACAATCGGCTGGTGTCCTCCTCGCGCAGGAAGAACAGAAAGCGGCACTTCACGGCGCCCTCGCACATCAGGCGGCGGCTCATGTCCGCGCCGCTGTCCAAGGAGCTGCGACAGAAGTACAATGTGCGGTCGATGCCGATCCGCAAGGACGACGAGGTGCAGGTGAGTCGGGTCTCTCGAGTTCCAGCCTCTGCGCGCGGCACGCGGTTGTACGTTGAAAATCACGTGTCGCGTCGTTTCATTGAGCGCTAGGGCCCGGTGTTTCGTTTTCTGGTCAAATGTTAACAAGAGACTGACCACCTGTCTCTTTAGACAATATAGAGAAAGGTGGAGAGTCAACTGGTCTCTGGTTAACAGTTGACCAGAAAATGGTAAACCAGGCCTAAGATGTCTAAATGTTAATACTCGAGCGTTTCGGGCTCGGTTTCACGAAACGTCGTTTAACTTTAGTTTTAGTTTCATTTATGTTTGTCTCTTTCTAGAGTAACAGTTGGAAAGAGACAAAGAGCGAGTTGAGCCAAGCTTGAAGTTGAGCGACGTTGGTGAAACCGGGCCCTGACCCTTTGCACTCCGAGTTATATTTCGTTTATTGGTTTGGACTTGGAAAAAATGTCGAGTGAGACTCGACAAAGGAGCTGCCGAGATAAAAACTGATGTCGAGTCACACTCGACATAGGAGTGCAAAGGGTTAATATACATTATGGAAAGTTGGAAAGGAGCTCCAAGAACTTGATACAAGTGTACACCTACGATGCGTTTTCTCTTTAAAGGTAGTACGCGGCCACTACAAGGGTCAGCAAGTAGGAAAAGTCGTCCAGGTGTATAGAAAAAAGTTCGTGATATATATTGAGCGAATCCAACGTGAGAAAGCGAATAGTGCCAATGTCTACGTCGGCATTGATCCATCTAAGGTAAGAATGATTGAGAGAAGCATCAGGATCTTGCGCTATTTTGATACTCGTATGATGAGCTAATCCATAATCCATTCGCATAGAATTAGACGAATGGCTCGACTCTGAAGCTTTGTGCAGGGTTTTCCTGCACATTCGTCGACGAGTCTCGCTTGGTCTGATTAATGCAGAAATATTGGCGCTGATGTATCAATTTCGTTGCAAGCCTCTTTCGACTCGCGAGCTTCTCCGCGCTCGAATTCAACACCTGCCGTATTATCGTTTCAGACGGTTATTGTTAAATTGAAAATGGACAAAGACCGCAAAAAGATCATCGACAGGCGAAGCAAGGGCAGGCTGGCGGCGCTGGGTAAAGACAAAGGCAAATATACAGAGGATGTAACAGCCGCTATGGAAACGTCGTAATTTTGATATATTTTGCGTTTGTCACAATAAAATATTTAAAAACAGAACTTGCAAATTTATCTCTTATTCACAAATAGTTCCTTATATTCGACACTAAAAACAGCACCTTAAGGCTAACATTACGTTTGTCATACGACAAATTTTTTAAGCGTGTCGATTGGCTGCCGAATAGAAAACTTATAGATACTCGAGAATCATATTATCTCGCAGCCAATCCCCCACGCTTAAAGCTTTGTCGTACGACAAATGTAATATTAGCCTAAGGGTCCGAGCACAAAGCAAGCTTAAACGTAGTCGTACTTGCCTCGAATTACACATGGCGTTACTTTTGCGCCAAAGCTTGTGCACTATCTACGTTTACGCTCGCGTCTTCGTCGTAAGCTATCACGTTACTTTGTGCTCTGTCCCTTAGGATGACATTACATTCGTCGTACGATCGATTTTTCTAGCTCCATGTCGATTGGCTGCAGGGTAGAATATTTCTAGATACTCGAAGACCTTTCCACTTTCTCCGGTTAACATACACGAAAATCTTGTACGACAAACGGATCACCAGCCTAAATTATGTTTCTAGGGCTAGAAGTACTTGATAAAAAATAGAAGCTTATTGTATAGACCTGGAATTCACACCACAATGCATATAACATATGTGTACATAACGTATACACGTTATATGATCTATAGAGCGACCCGTTCTTCGCGTCTAACATTCCGATGAACGTAGTAATACTGCTTACTGCCTCGAAATAGCAAGTGCCCGTAGTATATGTAAGAACAGATTGATTATATCCAGATAGATGTTAATCGTCGCCAAGATGTACTCCTCGGGCGAGAGCGTGTGCATTATAACTTGCGTGTCAAAAATTATGAACAGGCAGAATAACAGTGCGCCTCCGACGCTTATGACCCACTCCATTGTGGTGCTCTGAATGAAGATCTGCATCACACCACCGAGGATAAGGCACCAGAGTCCAATGAACAATCTGCGAAGACAGTTATAAAGGATTGTGGGGCTCAATTTGGCTGACACGCGAGATAGGGTACACTCACCCAAATCCTAAAAATGAGAAGTCCCGCTTGGTTTGAAAAGTGTAAGCCGTCAAGGTGATCAAAATTGTCAGAGTTATAAACAGAGCCTCCAGGACGACCGTGGTGTCGTACATGGACACTACGACGCCGACGGTGTACGCCTGCACCAGCGTCTGCAATACCCAAAGCATATCCTCGCAGACATCGCGTGTAACGCGGTCAACGATAATCGTCTATCTCTCGTACTTACAAATGAGCCTAAGAGGATCAGGTTGGCGGGATGGTCCTTCCTCTTTATCATCAATGCAATTAAGATTCCCATTGTCAGGAAAAACGCCAAACCCATGGTCCATACGCTAAATAAAGGAAACAATGAATATCTCTACCAGGTCGTATAGCGCGGCGGATGAAACGTGTAAGGAAACGGCTTACTTGTTCTGCACGTATAATTTCACGGTCGAGCTGATGACGAATACTGAAGCCAGTGCGACCGTCATCAGGATCTGAACGCTCAGTATACCATAAACCTTCCGCAAGAAGCCTGGACGCACGTGAACGCATAATTAGAATCGAGCGGAAATTCATGCACAATTATAATATTATTGCGCGATTGAGCCGCGGCGTCGCGAGCGCTTTACGACTGTCATTACGACAGTTACGACTACTTTACGGTGAACATATGTTAACGTTATTCCGTGGTCCTGCAACGTCGCGAAATTACCCATTCGTATCTTGATGTCCGCATTGTGCACGTTGTTCCTGTAGGCGAAGTCGTCCTGTATCTCGTGCTCGGACTGCTCCTTGCCGCCCCGCTCAACATCCTCCTCCACCAGAATCAAAGGGGCAGTGGCCATTTTTAATTTCCTGAATAAACAATTTGGAAAATGAGACACCGACAAGCCAGACACGACGTGCCACGCGCGGGCTCCCGCGACTGGCCCTCGCGGGTGTCGCGCGCGAGAGTCGCGCTCGGCGGGATCGACGATCCGCCTGTTTACCTGCAATCGTCCCGGTGTTAATTTATCCCGTGAAAAACAATTAAGGCCCGCAGCGCGACGGAGCCGCGCGCCACGTCAGGGACAACCTCTCGTGATATATCGGTCGCGCGCGTCGAACGACGATGCGTTACCTCGGTCTCTCCGCAGGGGGGGGCCTTTAACGGCCGGTTTTACGCTGCCAAGTCGAATTTGTGCAATGTTTGGGTGAGAATTAATTATCTGACGTCATTGTTGTACGCAAAATCGATGGAAACGGTGACAGGCTCCGACAGGTTCGTCACGAGACGCGCACGTCGATTTGGCGCGCCAGCTGGAGGGAAAACCGGAAGCTCCGAATCCCCCACCACCTCGGCCGCCGGAGTCCCTAGACCAATAACACGAGCGCGACGGAGAGAGGAGGCATTTGTCCGCGAAGCTTATTGGCTGTTTTCAAGTTTCCTCTCTCTCTCTCTCTCTCTCTCTCTCTCTCTCTCTCTCTCTGGCTCCGATGCTTTTAAAATGCGCCACCGCGCACGCAGTGGCGCGTGGGTACACAATTAAAAAACTTTGGTTATGCGCGAAGATGTTGTTTAGAGATTGATACGGCAGAGACTTTCTTACTTTAGTCTTTTTTACATTAGACGAGAACACAAAAAAGCGCCGTAAGTATCAGCCGCTCAGGAGCGTCATTTCCGTTTTCTCCTGCTCCTGAAAATTATATCGCGGTCTTTTGCGTGTAACCACAAATCTTGTGTGAGAAAAATTCTTGCGCCACGAAGGCCCGTTCTTTCAGTCAAAAGTATACATGCGAATGTAAAGAATGGGGCGAAGCCGCACTCCGTCGCCAGGGAGACGGAGGGATCGGTCCCGAGAACGAGATCGCGACAGAGACCGGCGGAGAAGACGGTCGCGTGAGAGAAGACGGAGGTACGTCCGACAGTGGCTTCCTTACGATTGACCTGTCGCAGTTACGTCGACATTCAAACGTCGGGCTCTTCCGAATGTTCGTAGATCCGTCGAGCGGGACAGGGTGAAGTCGAGAGACAGGGAGAGGGATCGGGAGCGCGAGCGAGACCGACACAGGAGATCGTACAGCAGATCCAGGTCGCGTGAGCGCGACAGATTGAACAGATCGAAGCCGAAACCCTCGACGAACGAGCGACCCGTTATCACAGGTATTCGGGTGTTCCTCCTGCCCAGATAACATGCATGTCTAAAAGACATCTTTAAGATGTCTTTAACACGTCTTTTAGACATTTTTTAGACATACACGTCTAAAAGATATCTTAAAGACGTCTTAAAGAAGTCTTGAAGATGTCTTTTAGACAAGCATGTTATCTGGGTGATTATTGAGTACTCGTAAAACAAAACAAGAAAGCGCGAAAGCAATTTGCGTACTTAAAAGATTAATGCTGAGAGAAAGAGATGTAACGATCGAAGAGTGACTCAACCCTGCCTTTGTATTGCAGAAGCGGACCTTCAGGGCAAAACGCCCGAGGAACAAGAGATGATGAGAATAATGGGATTCTGCGATTTCGACACCACTAAAGGTAAGAAGGTAGATGGGAACGACGTAGGCGCGGTTCATGTCATTTTGAAAAGAAAGTACAGGCAATATATGAACAGAAAGGGTGGATTCAACAGGCCTCTGGACTTTGTCGCGTAATTCGTCTCTAGTACAATTTTAAGTTGCGTCGTGTATCGACGACGAATAGAACGATGTTGCAAACGAGATGAACACACATTGGGATTACTAATTCCACGATTGACGAGCTAACATGAGTTGTACTTTAGTTTATTACTTTGATGCGACATATTGTAGTAACACAAGTATATTTAATAAACTCACTCTTTGCATACGACTCCTGATGTAATAACTTTGTATAAAAAAAAAACTTGTCATATGATATAGAATTAAATTTGTCACATAATATAAAAGTGAAGTTTGTATTAAAAAGCTCGAAGATATGTACAGTCTTTTCAGACAAGGCACTCGTGGCTTCAAGATTCCGACAGTCTCCTAGAGCGTTTCAAAGGCGGTGATTCCGTAGGCGATTTCGAGGGCACGTCGTTGTTTCTAGAGCGTTTCGCAGGTGTTTCTGTAGGCGATTCGATGGCTATATCATTTATATCTTCATTAGATGCGTTGTTGCTGCGACGAGAGTTCTGTGTCTCAAGCTGTTAAATGGAATGTCGAGTGTGAAGATTAAAGCTTGATCTACAATGTGCTCTCTGCACCAAGAAACATTCTATTTTATGTAAACAAAATCGAAATGCTTAAAAAATTTGTCGACAATGTACGACTGTACAACGTGTAACATACAATTTAGCAACTTGCACGAATTTTTTAAACGTACTTCTCGACTACGAAATAGAATGTTTGTAGACGCAAAGAACACATTGTAGATCAGGCTTAAGGGATACCGAACTTTAAACGATCTTTCCTTCGTATTTGTCTTCCTTACCATGCTTATATCCATCTTCTCCAGTGCTTCCGTCAATTGTGTATTTTTTATACGGAAGTCTCGCGTTATGCTGTGCTTTATGTAAGCCTCGAGCGGAATCTAAAGAAATACGCACGTCGCAGGTGCTTTTATTCGTACGAATTCATCTCCTTTCTCTGAAGTATATGAATTTCTTAAATATACAGCAAGTACTTACGCCGGTCTTCTTATCGAGTGACAAGACCTCGTTGTAAAATTGCTCGATTTCAAATACCACACGCGGTATAACTTTGGTCTCCTTCAAAATCTTGTTTCGTTGCATGTGTGAATCAGCTTTCTTGGATGCACTTTGATTTTCCTACATATACACACAAGAATATGTATTATTATTTCTACACGTAACAAGATCAGATCATATTTTAGACGAATACCTCAGTATGAGTTATTAAATTATAGAACGCGGACTTCAATGGCTTCCCAGCTGACTGGATCACTTGAATAAATCTGAAATCGTACGAAAAATTTGTAAGGAAAAAAAATCAATAAAATTTATTCAGTAAAACTTGTTAAGTACGAAGGGGACTTTTACTTCACTGATTGAAACGCTGCATTTTGTTTACTGGACTTTCCAGAGAAATATTTTGTAAGATTGCTAAGTAGGTTGTACAAGACTTGTAAATTCTTAAACATAATGTCCGTGGACGGTCCCGGTTTAATAGCGACGTTAGCTAATGTGTAAAGTATTTGTATAACGTGCGACAGCTGCCTGCACAAACTGCGTTCTTCGGTTCTCAGTTTTTCTTGATCTGCGGGTTCGAAGATCTTAATATTACTACGAGAAAATAAGTACAAAGCTTAAATAATACGAAATCGTACGCACGTTCTTCGAGATCCGTGCCAGGCGAGCAAACGATATTTTGCTCGGCCCTAAGACGCACCAACAACCAAGATACATTGTCCAATTTCTCTTTTACCGCGCTATTTACTAAATTATAAAGTTTGTCCGCTGTATCCTCGTGGATAATTTTGAAGTTGTTGTTTTCCGGTACCTCAACCTCCTGCAGATAAAAAAAATATTTAACGAGAAATCTCTCTCCGCGCATTCTTATGTGCGGTAACAATACGATAAACGTTACGACAGAATATACATGTTATTATGTACGCGTAATATACCTTGTCGATGCTACCCATTTTCTCGCACAACGCAAGAGCAATATCGATTAATAACTCGCCATATTCCTTGCTATGTTCTTCTATCCATAACAGAATTTGGAAAATAGTCAAAGAAGCTTGAGGATCCATATTTTCCAATTGTGTGAATTTCATCATCGAGTCAAACACCTTATGTAACAGATTAATGATACTTTGTATGTTCTCCATTTTTATTTGATAAAAATAGAAGAAAAGCTACCAACTTCAACGCCATTTGTTTCATAAAAATTGATCTCCTGCGTCAGTTGATATATAATATCCAATAATATGCCAAGTATCTTTTTGGAATTCTCCTCGTGTTCCTCTTTCTCGCCGAAGAATGTCCTGAAGCTCGCACGTAAAGCAGCAGTCATGCTTTCTAATTGTCCATTAAGATTTTCCACCTGGGTTGACTTATTAGCTGCAAAAAAGTATTATATACGATAGGAACAGACAACTCGCTCATTTTAACATCTTAAACACTTACAAATGACAGTGCTGAGAAAGTGCGGCAATTCAGAAGAGAAATAGGTGCAGATTAAGCAACATAATTCTTTGAAACATTCCAATGCTAATATAGTGCCCTGTTCGTCCGCATCGAGGACTTTGTTTAAATCCAGTACAATGTGATCATACAACAATCTGCAAGAAGAAAAGGAAGAATTCAGTGTCCGCAGGAACACGGATCACACTTTTTCACAGATGTTCCTCACTTTCCAATTTCGAAGTAAGTCTTCATATATTGTTCCTTATGCTTTCGTAAATTGTATTCCGTCAACAGTTTAACATTCTGCAAAATTTGCAACAGTGTCCGCAGAACGTAATGATAGAAATCATTGTGATCTATCAACACGGCTACTTGATCCGCAGTTGCCCAGGGGATGGATTTCAAATAAAAGAGCGACAGACTTTTGTGCACTGTAGACAGATCCATGATACTAGGCGGTAATTTTATATTACCCAGCCGGACGGCTTTCTTGGTAGTATTTGCGTCGGTCTGTGTCCTTTTATTTTTCCCCTCTCCTTTTTTAGCCTTTGGTATGTGCTACGGATTGAAGGCAAAATTTATATCAATTATGAAACACACGCAATATATATTTTCGTTACCTTAGTAAATTCGACGAATCTCATGTATCCTTTGAATAAACTTTTAATATTTTGCGCGGTATCTGTACAGTTTACGGACCAAGCGTCAATTCTAAAGGATATGAGAGCTTCGTAAATTTTTATCGTTAACAGAACACTCTGCAATTTTTCTTGAGCCTTGATGCTAGAGTTGCTCAAGTCAAGCTTGTCGTCCTATTGAGATAAAAAAGTCGGAGATAATATTAAAATAATATAATTGTAAATAATTTTAAATTTGACCCAATCTTCCGAACTCACCAGACTTAGGTGTTCTGTCTCAAGCCGCGGCATCCGTTTGCAAAGAGATTCCAAGATAATAGCCAATTCGTCTACAAAAGATGATCTTACTAGGGCCGATTTGATATAAATCTTTTGCAGCATGAGTATCAGTTCCGCCAGAGGTTCCTGTATCACAGCTTGGTCCCCTTGTACAGCCAAACACAAGTCTAGCTTAACTGGTAACACGACGTTCTCGTCTGATTCAAAAAAGGTCTTGAAGTGCGGCACTAACATCTCTAATATGTACGCCGCTATTTCAATATTTTTCAATATGGCTTCATATAAACCTTCGTATAAATTGACACAATTAGTTACTTTAATCTTTCAGCAAGGTAGACAACATAAATTTCTTTTTCTAATCTCGTACCGTTGTACAAGTGTAATCGAACTTCGCACTCATGAGTGAAGCATCTTCTTAAAATGCCCAATATATCGTAACATAAAGTTCTATTGTATCTCGTGGTAGATCGTGCTTGTGTACCTCTCTCTAATGTCACCTACGAAATTAACATCATGTGCAATAATTGGTAATTTTACAGTTTACTTATTTTGACGATATGAGCAAGCAAACCTGAGTCAAGATGGACGTGGTACTCGCCCCAGTCGACGACGAATTGAGGTATTGACTCGAGCTCATCGCGAGACCGCTCAGAGTGTGCATATTCAGATTCCTCAACATTTCCAGAATTCCACTGACTGCCATTTGTCGCTTTAACGTGCCCTTTCTGTAGAGAGCTTGCCTCAATGTCAAAAGCAAATGATCTCTTATGCTGATTGAGACTCGTATCAGTGGAAATATCGCGGAAACGATAAAAATGGCCCTATCTCCGGGTATAGACGAGATCTGATCCAAGAGCATTATTATGGACTCTTGATGATCCAATACCAAAACTGTTAACTTGCGACACATATACGCTAAACAATCTGCAAACAAGTGATAAATGACAACAGCTGGCAACATTTAAATTACGAGTTTGGCAATAATTAGCTAACTGATCAAGATATTAATGGATCCTACCGGTATATTGAGAAATGCACGATCCACCGGCGATTATCTTATCAATTAACAATTGAAATACAGTCGCGACCGTTTCGTGATGCTTTCTCATGATCTTCTGGAGTATCTTGGTACCGATCTGCCATAAAGGATGCGCGTCCGTTTTCACCTTATTCTCAATAGCCATAAGAACAACTGCGAGATCCACGAGGCCTTTCAATACTAAATGACGATCCCTGTTACTGTATAATTAAAATGACGTGCACATTGAAACATTTGATATTAAGGTATGTATACAGGGTGAGGAAAAGGTATGAAAACGCCCAAATTTTTCGAAAACTATGCACTTTAGAAACGAATGTTTGAGACAAAAGTTATATGGTTTCAAAGGGAACATAAGATGGTGTCATTAATTTGATCTTGAATAGTTGCTTGAAGGTCACGTTAAGGCCATCTTGAATTTTTTAAACGACAACCTCCATTTCTTATATCTTTTTCTATTAATTGGAACATTTATCTAAAATCTTTGTTTCTAAAGTGCGTAGTTTTTGAAAAATTTCCATACTTTTTCCCATGTATAATGCCACGCGCTGTGTATCTACCTCGCCTCGATGACGTTTACCATTACGGCCATTGTGCTACAAGATTCGGGAATCAATTTTCTCAACCATGCGCTATTTTTCCGTTTACTGTCACTTTCGTTACGTTTATTGATGATCGCCCGCAGCATCTCGAAAATCTACAATATCACATTGAGTCAAGGTAAAAGCGTCGAAATACGCGAGAGTTAACGTATTGGTCACCTGACTCTCGTCGATGAAAGCAACTGTGAGCAGCACGGAGAGCATAAAAGGCTCCAATACAGCTTCGGGGACGTGTGACACGCTTTTGAAGTACTTAACGTAGTCTCTTATATGTTGGTGGTTCAATTCTGCCGCTTGAGATATATGATACAATACTGTGCTTTCAACGTCTTGAACTTCTCTCGGATTTATCACATCTGTAATTTAGCAATTAAAAATTAAGATCTGCAAAAAATGGTTACACCACGCACTAAAATGTAATTTGGAGACGCACGATTCGTAAATTATAACTGAATTTTAACTTTTCTCAAACTCTTTACGTGTTCTTAAGATTACACAATTAAGCTATACTGAGATCATACATTTCTATATTTATAATTGCATGTGTAATTAATTGCACTTGACGATTACACTATATCACTGTACTGTTCTTACCTATAGTGTCCAAAGTGTCAGCACTGTCGGTCTGTGAGAGGCGCACCGTGAAATACTTCCGTAATGCCTCCAAGAGGTATTTACCATCCTGATTAGTGCACAATCTCAATGACTGGTGCACAAAGGGAGGCACTTCCTCAACATGTATACCCTGCATTTTTGTGCAGAGTACTGTGATTACCGTGGCGTGGTCCTCCTTCTCCAAGGATATGTCTCTAAGTGCAAGAAAGTCGTCAGTTTACCAATAGCGTGTTTGCTACTTCCGTCGAGAACCGCGAGAACCCCTACCTGAACATTCTTGCCAGCGACGGCATTATCTGCGTGTCCCACTTGCTGTTGCATATATTATTAACAATTAGAGACTTGTACTTGGAGCCGGACACCTCGCCGTTCATGTAACTGATGTATCTCTCCTCCTCCAACACTTCCAGCAGGACCGGCAACAGTTCCTTCCAGCTGCAACACACCGTAATGCGTTTCTCTCCTCTTTCCGTCGTGTCGAGGCTGCAAAGTTATCACCTACCTCCTGAACTCGTCGTCATTGTTGCAAATACTGGCGAGGCAGAAGTCCACCAGCCTGACCAGGTGTAGCTTCGGGTACGTGGGAAAGTCTACCACTATCCGATTCACGATCTCGTTCGCGTGACTGATCGAAACCTTGGACTTGCCCAGGGCCTTCAAGGCGGACTCCACCAGTACGACCCTCTTGACGTGCAGGCTCTCCGACTCGGAGCACATCTGCAGGACCTCGTCCAGCAGCCGGGCGATGTCCGCGTTGCAAATCCCGCTGGATATTGTCCTGGCGAGCTGAAATAATCGTCGTTTTTACGAGGAGTCTTAACGTGGGTAAACAAAGCGTGTCGCGCGGCTTGTACTTCTCACCTCGTCAGACGAGGTCTCCCGCACCAATTCGAGCAGCTGCTGCCGGTCCTTCTGGCTGAGCAGACTGTTCAGTTTCACGCTCATCTCGAATCAACGGCGCGGTCTACGAGTGATAAACGAAACAAACGTGCGGTCTCCTCTTTCCTCGAGTTTCAACAAGATTTCCCGCTCTCGCAGACTATCTGCCAACCTGGGAAACGGATATTCGTCCACGAGAAACGGCCTGCCAATCTGAAGGGAGGTCAAAAGCCCGCGCGTGTCCTCACTCGCCCTCCCTAGAGTCGCTGAGGTCCGAAAAGAGACGGATGCACCCGACGAGGCGTCGGAGGGAGAGAGAAAGAGCGCGAGAAGCACCTGGGTGTAGAAGGTGCACGTGAAACGCGGTGGTGGCGGCGGGGACGGCCGGCGGAGTGAACGTCGTCGACGTTCTCGATGCTCGGCAACTTCAGCCCGTGTGTACGAGGTCGAGCGCAACAATTGACTGGCGCGAAACGATGGCGGACGACGACGTGAACGGGGACTCGGACGAGGTGCAGCAGGAGAAGTCGCAGAAGAAGGCGGCCAAGTATGACAGCGGCGCGGCGGATCTGGAGAAAGTGACCGACTACGCCGAGGAGAAGGAGATCTCGTCGTCCGACGGCTTTTCCTGCGTGAGTGCCCGCTGGGTCCCTAACCTACGTCCAACGCGCCCACGTTGCCCGCGTCGCTCGAATCCCACACACCCCCCCCCCGCACCCGTCACGTGAGGTTAACACGGTTTTTCGCATTAAAAAGAGTGTCTAACAGGCCCTCAGCATAATCGGGGACCGTCGCGACAAGGAGGCCGCGGAGAAGAAGGCGAAGGAGAAGGAGCTGCTCAAGGTGTCCATCAAGAAGGAGGACGTCGACTTGATCGTGAGTGCATCTCGGCTATTCCCCCTTGGAAATAGCACCTGATGACGTTTGAGACTCTCGTGTCTTCCTTTCAGATGAAGGAGATTGAAATCACCCGGCTTCTGGCCGAACAGACCCTCAGAGAACACAGAGGCGATATTGTAGAGGCATTAATTACGTTAACTAATTGAAATTGTACAAAAGAAATTGCTCCGAGGATCTGCTATTTGCGTTCACGGAGCCCCCCCCCCCCCGCTGTAAAATACGCTGAATCGAGAGAGCCCCGAGGCAAGCTCGCTTATTAATATTACACTGACGTGTATTACAGTATCCGAGTAATCTTTATATTTTCGTCCTTTTTCTCACGTATCTACTTACTCGTTAAGCATTTATGCGGCGCGACGCTGTAAGTAAACGTTAACAGTAATGTATTGTAATAAGTATAAATATATGCATTTATATGTGTAGCAGAGGTGATTCTTTGACGGTGACACGTCCGCCTTGGTGTGTCTTTTCGTCAAAATTTAAGAAGTCCTTGCCACTATTGATGTGAGGAATATCTTGTTCCTGTCCGAGGCCTGTTGATTAACACTATGTGTTACCAGACGTTCACGTTGGTAAGATTAATATGGTCGTAAATATTGAACTTTAAGAAGTTTAGAAGTGCATTTTGGATTGGACGCTGATGTACATCCAAAGTAGTCTTTGCACACAAAGTTCCTTCGAATATGTCGTCGCACATTGTGATATTGTAGGACAAATCATAATGCAGGACACGGACTTGTTGAAAAGAAAAACCAAGGAAAAGAACTAAAGATTGGGATCTTTTGACTTGGTTTTGATAATCTTTTTAACGAACGTCTTGAATTGTGAATTAAATTGATAGTGTACACAGGTCATACAGATTATCTGCGTATGGAGTGTCTGTGTTAACTGAAAGAATAGCATTTCCACTCTCGCGACAATATGTGGATGCTATTGATTAATAAAAACTACAGAGGGCTGTTCAGGAAAAATTAACAACGCAACAATGTGTTTTAATTGCAAACGCGAGGCGAAAGAAAAAGGAAGAAAGGCAGAGGGAATATTAACATATGTTGTACGATAAGCGAAGCGAGAGAAACTTCTGAGCGATGTACTACGATGTTTCTACAATGCGAATTACATCAAACTAGAGTTATTCCCATGACGGATGATTATCGAAAGTGTTTTTGCTGTTTTCACTAGCTTCCACTAAACGGATTAAATTAGAGAATAGCATGGTATCGTTAAATGCAGTTTAGAAGTCTAACAAAAAATCTATTTGTTCGAAGAAGTTATATGTTAGGCAACCTATAACTTTTTCGAAGGAACAGATTTTTTGTTCGACTTCTAAACTTAATTTCAATAATATCATGTTGTTCTCTGATTTAATCCGATTAGTGAAAACTCGTCGATCTGTACATATAAGCCACGTAATTTGTATATTGCACAAATGTTTTCATAAATTAACAGTTCTGGGAGCACAAAGTGCAGAATCACTCTAGCATCCCCGTAAAACCGAAAGAACGTCGCACACCCAAGAGAACGAATAAGATACTTGAAAAGTATAATTACAATATTATATAATTTAATTCAGAAAAATAATCGAGAAATAGTAATGATTTGATGGCTAAATGAAATTGCTATGATATTTCTATTTTCGTCTTTTCTTTATCAATTTTTGTTTCAATAAGCCGTATAAATTACAATTATTCATTTTCTTTTGATAATGGCTCAAGGATCTTGAAACAAAAAAGATCTGCTTGCTGGTCAATCGACTAAACAATGTAATTACATACCTACAATTTTTTATTGTAAAACTTCATATTTATAGTAAAGATTGAAGTTCATAACTGAACGTCTTACTACTATTACTGTTGGCATGTTTGTGGAGCATACTCTGTACAGTAGGTATAACAGTCGACAAATACATAGTATTCTCCCTGGATGGAACAGCTGATGTCCAATAAATTGTCGTTCACGAGAATGCAATTCGTTTCGTTAGGACTAGGATAAGAGGGACCGCTGAAACAAAGTCAAAGAATGAATAATACAACATTAATATATCATGAAATAACAAAAAGGATATATGATTATGTAATCTCAAATAACGTCTTGTTGATACCTTCCGACAAATGCTATCCCTTCTCTAGAAACAAGAAAAAAGGAAATTAGATCATGCGTGCATGGGTGTATAAAGGTGTTTAGTGTCATATAACAAGGTAAAAAAACGTGTGGAGATTGAATTGACCCGAGCTAAAACATGCCGAAGGAAGGATGCCACTTACTTAAAAGGAACCCCAGGGAAGGAGCATTTATTTTCAAACACTTTCAATATATATTGGATGACAATAAGGTGTGAACATGATGGAGTTGCATCCCACCCTAAAATGCGAATTTGTTTTGTTATATTATAACTTCCTGTAGTTTCTTCTAGTTAATCATTCTAGCAACATTCGATGTTTCTCCATACATAATAACTAAATGCAATTCATCTCTTACAACAACTTGGTTGTGTCTGTCCATTATTGAACTGCAAGTCTAGATGACCCATACGTGTGCCTATTCCATCACTCGACGTGTGAAGTACTTTTAGACAACTGGTATCTGTGTAACAGAGTCTGTCGTTGCATTTCCTGCTACTGAACGGTGTAGTGAGGGGATCGCCTTGGACGAAATCGATGGGATCGCCGGCAATGATGAGCGGAATCGTGCCGAGCTTCAATTCTTGAATCACTTTAGCGGCGAAACCGGCCACGTGTGAACCAAGACTGTGACCCAGGAATATGACATTTGCCAACGGAAATTTACATTCTGTGACTAATTTCGTGACAAAACTGTAAGAGAAAATTCCATGAAATATATACAATATAAATTGTGAACATCACATCTTCAATACATGTAAGATTTGTTTTTTATCGAGTACACTACATTTATTTTGCATTATATATTAACCATATTATTTACGTTAATCATGAATATTATTTTATCTAGTATTAATTTTTTTTAAGTAGTTATACCGTGCTACGCGTTGACCTGCTGCGACGGCATTCATCACTGCTAAGGTTTTCTCCTTGACACCATCACTGTTGGGCATATTAGTGCAGGCTCCTTGAGACCAGTCCACACTAAATACTGTGTAGCCTTTCTGTAAAAGTAGAAAATTATTTTGTTAAATTTTTAAAATATGACAAGAACTTATGAATTGTTATCAGGTAGTTGCTTTATCAATCATGGACTTGTCTTACTATTCACTAAGTACATGGTCTGTCCTTAAAGTAGTCGGACTGAGTCAATTATTATACAAACTTTTGTATTGAAATAAGAACTTTATCTTTCCAGGGGCGTCATATATTCAGTCCTGTTACTCGTGCGAATATGTGGTATCTACCTGTGTCAATGCAGTGGCCACGTCTGGAAAATTATCCTTTAGTACGGAACCGACCGCTCCATGGATTATAAAGACGACCTTTTGCGACGGATGGACATATTCACATATGTCGTTTACGTTTATCTTTTGGCCTTTGATATTACTGAAACAGTGATAGATAATCAGCGTAATGAACAAATGGATATTCGCGCCTCTTTTACCTGTTGTACAGGAACAGCGATACCGTCTTAACGCCGAAGGCACAGTGATCGTCGCTGAAGAAAAGCGGTTCAGGTAATGATTTAGACATCGGTTTAGGCAACGATTTAGGCTCGTCAAGTGAATGCGCGTGTCGTACGAGGAGAATTGCAAGTATTGTAACAAACATCCTCATCATGTACGAAAGGGATATCTTGACGACGCGCTGGAGGGAAACTGATAGACGCGGCACCAAGTCTCACAATTATTAGCGATCTTTTACCAGTACGTTTTGCGTTTTTATTCGTACTTTTACGAATACTGATGTTTGCGATACTAATGCAAACTTCGCATCTCTGCACGGCTGCCGCGCGCAAGGAAGGGATAGGGCGGGGGGTAGCTTGGCGCTATCTTCTTCTAATTACTGCTGTCCGACTTAGATATAGATGTTGTGCTAATTTAGTAATATTCCCTCATGGTGTATTTAGCCTCGAAGAACTTATATTTCTTTATGAAACTTTTTTGTTATATTCCTTACAAAGCTTAGTTTCTCGCTAAAGAGCCGGTTTTGCATTTTGGCTTTTCAAAAATTTATAATACAGAAAATATAGCTTATAGAAACTGCACCTGAACTCAACTGAGCAGCTGTACCATTCATAAATTTTTATTAACCCTTTATTCCAAAAAATGACTCTGCAGTCATTTGACGTCATCGGACGTCTTCCGATTATACTGATTTTGTCTGTATTTTGACCATAATACGACGACATAGAATCCATAGTTTATAGTTGGCTGACAGGAGCCTCCACCATGTCTCGTGTTAGCCCTAAGGGTTTATCCAGACAAACATACTCAGGTGCATAAAGCATATGCATAAAGAATTGATTGTTCTAGCTCCTTATGTGTGCATTTATGGTCCAATTACATTATGCATACATTTATGCGCTATGCACGTTTGTCTGCATGGAAAATTTGCGGAAGTATACCTTAAGATATCAATATCGTACGTCACGCCAAATGGACAATATAATTTCCGTCGTGCGTATCTCTTCCTTTTGCTACTCGCTTTTATTTCTAATATTATACAGTAATAAAAGATGACAAAGTCTTGCGCAGGCAAGCATTTCATTTCAACGTGATGATCTACCCGTGATATTATTACTTATCGACAAGTTTTATCGGTAAACACTTTGACAATCGTGAACTCTAAAAAAATACATGTGACCTGATAATTGCCGAAATCGTGAATGGCGAAACCTTGCAGAATTGCATGCACGAAGCGATCCACGATGTCTTTATTTTCCATTTCGCATTCACCTAATTTTACGAGGAAATTTGTATATTTTAAATTCATATAAGAATGGCTATAATGGAAGCAAGTACATAATAAAAAGATATGCTTATTATTGTGAGAAGATTGCTGAATAGTTCATGTTCGAAAAAGAAGCTCGTCGAACACGAGAGCAAGAATAATGTCTATTAAAGATTCGTGGAGAGTTTTGAGTGGTGTTAGTACAGATGCTTATGCGTCGCGGTAAACCCAACCGGGAGTTATTCCCGTAGGAGATCATTGTCAAAAGTATTTCTGTCGTCATGAAGGCGAATAATGAAGAAACGTCGCGTAAACAAGAGCCTGAATGTGATAATTAAAAGAGTATAAGTAATTACATGATTTATTTTAGGGATATAATCGAGAAATACACGGTAACGTGTAATAGAATTCCTGCGATATTTCTCTTTTCGTCTTTTCTTTCTTTATCAATTTTCGTTTCACTTAGTTTAATAAGTCTTATACATTACAGTGATTCGTTTTCTTTCGGTAAGGGCTCAAGGATCTTGAAAAAGAAACATCAGCATGCTGGTTAAACGATGTAATTTAATTATGTATTTACAATTTTCTATTGCAAAATTTCATTTTTACTGTAACGAGATTGACGTTTTGAATTCAACGACTTACTATTATTACTGTTGACATTTCTGTGGGGGATTCTGTGTACAGTGGGAATCACCGTTGACAAACGTATAGTATTCTCCCTTAATAGAACAGCTGGTGTCCAATAAATTCTCATTCACGAGAATACAATTCGTATTGGTATTACTAGGATACTTGGGTGAACTGAAAAAATCAAGTGAGTAATATAACAGTAACACAATACAAAATTAGACAAAATAACAGAAAGAATCTGTGCATAAATAATCTCGGATAATGTCTTCTTGACACTTTCTGAGAGATTCTCACCTTTCTTTGAAAACAAAAGAAAGGGGAATTAAATAATACGTGTTGGAGTGTATAAAGGTGTCATATGTAAATTTTATATATCACACAAGACAAAATTTATAGAGATTGAATTCAGCTGAACTGAAGCACGCCGAAGAAAAGAACTTACTTTGTCATAGGAACCCCAGGGAATGCGCAATTACCTTTCACCGCATCGATTATATAGACTACAGCTGCACTGTGTGAACAAGGTGGCCAATCTAAAATGCAAATTTATTTTATTAATAACTTCATATCGTTTCTTCTAGCTGTCATTCTAGCAACATACAACCCAACAAACACAAAGTAACAGTTCTATAACACGTGTGTTATGTAACAGTTATATTGTTGAGTAGGAAATTTTAACTTACAGTTATGTAACTGTTACTTTGTGTTTGCTGGGAACGTTTCTACGTGTGCAATAATTAAATGCACTTTATCTCTTACTACAATCTGGCTGCGAAGATCCACCATTGAACTGCAAATCCAGATGACCGATAGGCCTTGTTATTCCAAACATCCAAGACGTATGAAGAACTTTTAGGCAGTTCGCATCTGTTTTACAGAGTCTATCGTCGCATTCCTTGCTACCGAGCTTTGGACCGGCGGGATCGGCGGCAATAATTAGTGGAACCGTGCCGAGATTCTTTTTCTTAATCTCTTTCGCGGCGAAACCGGACACGTGTGCACCAAGACTGTGACCTATGAATATGATGTTATTCAACGGAACGTGGCACTCGTTGACCAATTTTTCGGCAAAGCTGCAAAAGAAAGTTCCATCGTGTATATATGTACATATATACAGTGAACATATCTTATTTAATGTATGTAAGATGAAATTTTTATTGAGTACTAGGTTAATTTTGCATTATATATCAACCATATTTGTATGTTAATTATGAATATTATTTTATTTAGTATTAGTCTATTTGTACGTAATTATACCCTGCCACGCGGCGGCCTACTTCAACAGTGTTCGTCACCGCACTGCCATACGTCGGGAACCCGCCAGTGCAGGCTCCTTGACGCCAATCTACCCCAAGTACCGTGTGACCTTTCTGTGAAAGCAGAAAATTGTTTTATTAGATTCTCGACTAAGTCAGGAATTTGTCAACTTCATCAGGAAGTTACTTTGTGCATTTTTAATTTGTCTACTTTTCATTATATGATGACAATACTTTCGTATTGAAATAAGAACTTCAACTTTTTTAGGGACATAATATTTTCATTCCAGTTACTCATGCGAACATGTGGTATTTACATCTCTCAATTGACGGGCCAACTCTACAAAATTTTCCGTGTCTGCGGAGCTGAGGAAGCCATGGGTTAAAAAGACGACTTTTTTCGATGAATCGACATTAGTGCACATGTCGTTTATACTCATATTTTGGCCTGTAATACGACTGAAAAAATGGTGAATGTAAGCGGCGTAACGAACAAATGGACTTTCGCGCTTCTTTTACCTGTTGAACAATAGCAGCGATACCACCTTAACACCAAAGGCACAGTTATCATCGCTACGAAAGAACGGTTCAGCCACTGGTTCAGGCCATGCTACAGGCCATGCTTCAGGCCATGATTCAGGCCATGTCTCAGGCAATGGTTCAGGCAACGGTTCAGGCGACGATTTAGGCTCTGCACGTGAATGCGCGTATTGTACAAAGAGAATTGCAAGTATTGTAACAGACGTCCTCATCGTGTACGAAAGGGAGATGTTGACGAGTGCTGAAGGGAAACTGATAGACGCGGGACCAAGTCTCTCAATTATCAGCGAGCACTCATAAGTACGTTTTGCGTTTTTATGCGCACTTTTATAAATACTTACATTTCCTACATTTTGTCAGTGACTGTGTAAGTTATTTAACGACTGCGGACACTTTACGGAAGTATATTTTAGGGTATCAATATCGTGACACCAAATGGATAATAATATGACCTCCGTCGTGTGCATCTCTTCCTTTTGATACTCGCTATTATTTTCAATATTATGCAGCAATAAAAGATGACCAAGTGTCGCATAGGCAAACATGTCATTTCGACGTACTGATCTACCCTTGATATTATTATCGGCACATTAATACGTGATATATGTCACAATTTTTATCGGCAAACATTTCGACAATCGTGAATTTTCACGAAATACATGTGTCTTGATAAATATCGAAATCGTGAACGGCGAAACCTTGCGGGATTCCATGCGCAAAGCGCGTCACGATAGAATTTTTATTTTGTATTTCGCACTTATTTAAATTAGTACATTTTAAATTCTTGGAATAATCATCGCTGAAATATAAGCAAGTGTAAAAGAAACAAGAAATAAACAAGACAACAGAATACTACAAGGTGTTGAGCCAGAGGTAGTTACAGGATGGATAGCTGAACGAGAATATCATGATGAAGGAACTGGACGTTCTGTGGGAAAAGAACGACGTTCAAGCTGATGTAGTACCCCTGCTCGTGAAATGAAAGCTGTGAGTCCAAGCAGAACATTGACAAACGCGTCGTTGTTGCCTCTGTATACAACGTCGAGCAATAAACGCGTCAAATATTGTATATTCAGGAAGCTAAAATTAGGAAACTCTGAAATACCAGATCCTCTATCGCGATACTTAAGAGGTACTTTACTCTTGTTCGTACATTATATATGATCGGTTTTTAGCTTGTATCTTTTAAATTATAATAGATCAATTCTGTAAATTGCTCTTGAAAGTACTTAAAAAGCATTTAATGTTATTATATTTATTTGTTTATTTATGTAAGTACTTAGAGTTGGGGATGCTTAACATAACTCTAGCACACCCACTTTTAAATGCGAAAGTTGCTTGATGCACTAAAATAAGGAAAAATTATAGAACTAAATTATCCTAACTGACACTTATTTTTAATTTTGGTAAACGTTTTATTTTCTTGATGGTGGAGGCGTTAACTTGACGTATGGGAGAGAAACATTGGAGCGATATACTACAATATTTGTACAACGTAAATTACATTATTTATTCGAACGAGAGTTACGCATGGCAGATCCATTATCGAAAGTATATCTGCTGTTTTAAAGGCGAATAACGAAAGAACCTAACAAGAGAACGAATGAAATAATAAAAAAAGTATAATTATTATATAATTTAATTCAGGAAGATAATCGAGAAATTGACTACAAGTGTAATAACATTTATGATATTTCTATTTCCATCATTTCTTCCTTTATCAATCTTCGTTTATCTCTTAGTTTAATATTTAATGTATACATTATTATGATTCGTTTTCTTTCGGTAATGGTTCAAGGATCTTGAGAAAAAAAGATCTGCATGCTGGTCAAACGCTCAAATAATATAATTACATACTTACAATTTTTTATTATAAAGCTTCATATTTATAGTAAAGATTGAAGTTTTTAACTCAACGTCTTACTACTATTACTGTCGGCATGTTTGTGGAGCATATTCTGAACAGTAGGGATAACAGTCGACAAATACATAGTATTCTCCCTGAATGGAACAGCTGATGTCCAATAAATTGTCGTTCACGAGAATGAAATTCGTTTCGTTAGGACTAGAACAAGAGGGACCGCTGAAACAAAGTCAAAGAATGAATAATACAACTCTAATATATCATGAAATAACAAAAAGGATCTAAAGCATGCCGAAGGAAGGATGCCACTTACTTAAAATGAACCCCAGGGAAGGAGCATTTATTTTCAAACACTTTCAATATATACTCGATGACAATGAGGTGTGAACATGCTGGAGTTGCATCCCACCCTAAAATGCGAATTTGTTTTATTATATTATAACTTCCTGTAGTTTCTTCTAGTTAATTATTCCAGCAACATTCGATGTTTCTCCATACATAATAACTAAATGCAATTCATCTCTTACAACAACTTGGTTGTGTCTGTCCATCATTGAACTGCAAGTCTAGATGACCCATACGTGTGCCTATTCCATCACTCGACGAGTGAAGTACTTTTAGACAACTGGTATCTGTGTAACAGAGTCTGTCGTTGCATTTCCTGCTACTGAACGGTGTAGTGAGGGGATCGCCTTGGACGAAATCGATGGGATCGCCGACAATGATGAGCGGAATCGTGCCGAGCTCCAATTGTTGAATCACTTTAGCGGCGAAACCGGCCACGTGTGAACCAAGACTGTGACCCAGGAATATGACATTTGCCAACGGAAATTTACATTCTGTGACTAATTTTGTGACAAAACTGTAAGAGAAAATCCCATGAAATATATACAATATAAATTGTGAACATCGCATCTTCAATACATGTAAGATCTATTTTTTATCGAGTACACTACATTTATTTTGCATTATATATTAACCATATTATTTACGTTAATCATGAATATTATTTTATCTAGTATTAATTTTTTTTAAGTAGTTATACCGTGCTACGCGTTGACCTGCTGCGACGGCATTCCTCACTGCTAAGGTTTTCTCCTTGACACCATCACTGTTGGGCATATTAGTGCAGGCTCCTTGGGACCAGTCCACACTAAATACTATGTAGCCTTTCTGTAAAAGTAGGAACTTATTTTGTTAAATTTTTAAAATATGACAAGAACTTATGAATTGTTATCAGGTAGTTGCTTTATCAGTCATGGACTTGTCTTACTATTCCCTATGTAATTACAAACTTTTGTATTGAAATAAGAACTTTATCTTTCCAGGGGCGTCATATATTCAGTCCTGTTACTCGTGCGAATATGTGGTATCTACCTGTGTCAATGCAGTGGCCACGACTGGAAAATTATCCTTTTGTACGGAACCGATCGCTCCATGGACTATAAAGACGACCTTTTGCGACGGATGGACATATTTACATATGTCATTTACGTTTATCTTTTGGCCTTTGATATTACTGAAACAGTGATAGATAATCAGCGTAATGAACAAATGGATATTCGCGCCTCTTTTACCTGTTGTACAGGAACAGCGATACCGTCTTAACGCCGAAGGCACAGTGATCGTCGCTGAAGAAAAGCGGTTCAGGTAATGATTTAGACATCGGTTTAGGCAACGATTTAGGCGCGTCAAGTGAATGCGCGTGTCGTACGAGGAGAATTGCAAGTATTGTAACAAACATCCTCATCATGTACAAAAGGGATATCTTTACGACGCGCTGGAGGGAAACTGATAGACGCGGTACCAAGTTTCACAATTATTAGCGATCTTTTACCAGTACGTTTTGCGCTTTTATGCGCACTTTTACGAATACTGACGTTTGCGACACTATGACTAATGCAAACTTCGCATCTCTGCACGGCTGCCGCGCGCAAGGAAGGGATAGGGCGGGGGGTAGCGCTCGGCGCTATCTTCTTCTAATTACTACTGTTCAACTTAGATATAGATATTGTGCTAATTTAGTAATATTCCCTCTTGGTGTATTTAGCTTCGAAGAAATTATATTTCTTTATGAAACTTTTTTGTTATATTCTTTACAAAGCTTAGTTTCTCGCTAAAGAGCCGGTTTTGCATTTTGGCTTTTGAAAAATTTATAATACAGAAAATATAGCTTATAGAAACTGCACCTGAACTCAACTGAGCACCTGTACCATTCATAAATTTTTATTAACCCTTTATTCCAAAAAATGACTCTGCAGCCAGTCTTACGATTATACTGATTTTGTCTGTATTTTGGCCATAATACGACGACATAGAATCCATAGTTTACAGTTGGCTGACAGGAGCCTCCACCATTTCTCGTGTTAGCCCTAAGGGTTTATCCAGACAAACATACACAGGTGCATAAAGCATATGCATAAAAAAATTGATTGCTTTAGCTCCTTATGTGTGCATTTATGGTCCAATTACATTATGCGCTATGCACGTTTGTCTGCATGGAAAATTTGCGGAAGTATACCTTAAGATATCAATATCGTACGTCACGCCAAATGGACAATATAATTTCCGTCGTGCGTATCTCTTCCTTTTGCTACTCGCTTTTATTTCTAATATTATACAGTAATAAAAGATGACAAAGTCTTGCGCAGGCAAGCATTTCATTTCAACGTGATGATCTACCCGTGATATTATTACTTATCGGCAAGTTAATGCGCAACACATGTGACAAGTTTTATCGATAAACATTTTGACAATCGTGAACTTTAAAATAATACATGTGACCTGATAATTGCCGAAATCGTAAATGGCGAAACCTTGCAGAATTGCATGCACTAAGCGATCCACGATATCTTTATTTTCCATTTCGCATTCACCTAATTTTACGAGGAAATTTGTACATTTTAAATTCATGTAAGAATGGCTATAATGGAAGCAAGTACATAATAAAAAGATATGCTTATTATTGTGAGAAGATTGTTGAATAGTTCATGTTCGAAAAAGAAGCTCGTCGAACACGAGAGCAAGAATAATGTCTATTAAAGATTCGTGGAGAGTCTTGAGTGGTGTTAGTACAGATGCTTATGCGTCGCGGTAAACCCAACCGGGAGTTATTCCCGTAGGAGATCATTGTCAAAAGTATCTCTGTCGTCATGAAGGCGAATAACGAAGAAACGTCGCGTAAACAAGAGCCTGAATGTGATAATTAAAAGAGTATAAGTAATTACATGATTTATTTTAGGGATATAATCGAGAAATACACGGTAACGTGTAATAGAATTCCTGCGATATTTCTCTTTTCGTCTTTTCTTTCTTTATCAATTTTCGTTTCACTTAGTTTAATAAGTCTTATACATTACAGTGATTCGTTTTCTTTCGGTAAGGGCTCAAGGATCTTGAAAAAGAAACATCTGCATGCTGGTTAAACGACGTAATTTAATTATGTATTTACAATTTTCTATTGCAAAATTTCATTTTTACTGTAACGAGATTGACGTTTTGAATTCAACGACTTACTATTATTACTTTTGACATTTCTGTGGGGGATTCTGTGTACAGTGGGAATCACCGTTGACAAACGTATAGTATTCTCCCTTAATAGAACAGCTGGTGTCCAATAAATTCTCATTCACGAGAATACAATTCGTATCGGTATTACTAGGATACTTGGGTGAACTGAAAAAATCAAGTGAGTAATATAACAGTAACATAATACAAAATTAGACAAAATAACAGAAAGAATCTGTACATAAATAATCTCGGATAATGTCTTCTTGACACTTTCTGAGAGATTCTCACCTTTCTTTGAAAACAAAAGAAAGGGGAATTATATAATAAATGTTGGAGTGTATAAAGGTATTATATGTAAATTTTATATATCACACAAGACAAAATTTATAGAGATTGAATCCAGCTGAACTGAAGCACGCCGAAGAAAAGAACTTACTTTGTCATAGGAACCCCAGGGAATGCGCAATTACCTTTCACCACATCGGTTATATAGACAACAGCTGCACTATGTGAACAAGTTGGCAAAACTAAAATGCAAATTTATTTTATTTAATAACTATATTTATGTTTTATTAACTATATTATAACTTCCTATCGTTTCTTCTAGCTGTCATTCTAGCAACATACAACGTTTCTACGTATGCAATAATTAAATGCACTTTGTCTCTTACTACAATCTGGCTGCGAAGATCCACCATTGAACTGCAAATCCAAATGACCGACAGGCTGTGTCATTCCAAACATCGAAGACGTATGAAGAACTTTTACACAGTTCGCATCTGTTTTACAGAGTCTATCGTTGCATTCTTTGCTACCGAGCGTTGGACCGGCGGGATCGGCGGCAATAATTAGTGAAACCGTGCCGAGATTCTTTTTCTTAATCTCTTTCGCGGCGAAACCGGACACGTGTGCACCAAGACTGTGACCTATGAATATGATGTTATTCAACGGTACGTGGCACTCGTTGACCAATTTTTCGGCAAAGCTGCAAAAGAAAGTTCCATCGTGTATATATGTACATATATACAGTGAACATATATTTAATGTATGTAAGTTAAAATTTTTATTGAGTACTAGGCTAATTTTGCATTATATATCAACCATATTTGTATGTTAATTATGAATATTATTTTATTTAGTATTAGTCTATTTGTACGTAATTATACCCTGCCACGCGGCGGCCTACTTCAACAGTGTTCGTCACCGCATTGTCATACGTCGGCAATCCGCCAGTGCAGGCTCCTTGACGCCAATCTACCCCAAGTACCGTGTAACCTTTCTGTGAAAGCAGAAAATTGTTTTATTAAATTCTCGACTACGTCAGGAATTTGTCAACTTCATCAGCAAGTTACTTTGTGAATTTTTAATTTGTCTACTTTTCATTATATGATGACAATACTTTCGTATTGAAATAAGAACTTCAACTTTTTTAGGGACATAATATTTTCATTCCAGTTACTCATGCGAATATGTGGTATTTACATCTCTCAATTGACGGGCCAACTCTACGAAATTTTCCGTGTCTGCGGAGCTGAGGAAGCCATGGGTTAAAAAGACGACTTTTTTCGATGAATCGACATTAGTGCACATGTCGTTTATACTCATATTTTGGCCTGTAATACGACTGAAAAAATGGTGAATGTAAGCGGCGTAACGAACAAATGGACTTTCGCGCTTCTTTTACCTGTTGAACAATAGCAGCGATACCACCTTAACACCAAAGGCACAGTTATCATCGCTACGAAAGAACGGTTCGGCCACTGGTTCAGGCCATGCTACAGGCCATGCTTCAGGCCATGATTCAGGCCATGATTCAGGCAATGGTTCAGGCAACGGTTTAGGCGCGGCACGTGAATGCGCGTATTGTACAAAGAGAATTGCAAGTATTGTAACAGCCGTCCTCATCGTGTACGAAAGAGAGATGTTGACGAGCGCTGAAGGAAAACTGATATACACGGGATCAAGTCTCTCAATTATCAGCGAGCTTTTATATGTACGTTTTGCGTTTTTATGCGTACTTTTATGAATACTTACATTTCCTACATTTTGTCAGTGGCTGTGTAAACTACTAAACGACTGTGAAAAATTTGCGGAAGTACACTTTAGGGTATCAATATCGTGACACCAAATGGATAATAATATGACCTCCGTCGCGTGCATCTCTTCCTTTTGCAACTCGCTTTTATTTCCAATATTATGTAGTAATAAAAGATGACCAAGTGTCGCGTAGGCAAACATTTCGTTTCGATGTAATGATCTACCCTTGATATTATTATCGGCACATTAATACATGATACATGTCACAATTTTTATCGGTAAGCATTTCACCAATCGTGAATTTTCATAAAATACATATATTTTGATAAATATTGAAATCGTGAACGGCGAAACCTTGAAGGATTCTATGCGCAAAGCGCGTCACGATGATTCCATCGTGAATCTTTATTTTATATTTCTGTCGGCATGTTTGTGGAGCATACTCTGTACAGTAGGTATAACTGTGGACGAATACATAGTATTCTCCCTGGATGGAACAGCTGGTGTTCAATAAATTGTCGTTCACGAGAATGCAAGTCGTTTCGTTAGGACTAGGATAAGAGGGACCGCTAAAACAAAGTCAAAGAATGAATAATATAACACTAATATATCACGAAATAACAAAAAGGATATATGATTATGTAATCTCAAATAACGTGTTGTTGATACCTTCCGACAAATGCTATCCCTTCTCTAGAAACAAGAAAAAAGAAAATTCGATCATGCATGCATGGGTGTATAAAGGTGTTTAGTTTCATATAACAAGATAAAAGAACGTGAAGATTGAATTGAACCGAGCTAAAGCATGCCGAAGGAAGGGTGCCACTTACTTAAAAGGAACCCCAGGGAAGGAGCATTTATTTTCTAACACTTTCGCTGTATATTCGATGACAATGAGGTGTGAACACATTGGAGTTGCATCCCACCCTAAAATTCGAAGTTTTATTCATGACTTTCTGTCGTTTCTTTTAATTATCATTCTAGCAACATTCGATGTTTCTCCATACATAATAACTAAATGCAATTCATCTCTTACAACAACTTGGTTGTGTCTGTCCATTATTGAAGTGCAAGTCTAGATGGCCCATATGTGTGCCTATTCCATAACTCGATATGTGAAGGACTTTTAGACAATTGGTATCCGTGTAACAGAGTCTGTCGTTGCATTTCATGCTACTGTATGGTGTACCAGCAGAATCGGCGACAATGATGAGCGGAATCGTGCCGAGCTTCAATCGCTGAATCACTTTAGCGGCGAAACCGGCCACGTGTGACTTTCTCGCTAAAGAGCCGGTTTTGCATTTTGGCTTTTAAAAAATATATAATACAGAAAATATAGCTTATAGAAACTGCACCTGAAATCAACTGAGCAGCTGTACAATTCATAAATTTTTATTAACCCTTTATTCCAAAAAATCACTCTTTAGCGAGAGTCTTACGATCATACTGATTGCGGATATCACAGTTATAATATAATTTTGTCTGTATTTTGACAGTAATACGACACCATAGAATCCATAGTTTACATCCATTATAGTTTACAGTTGGGCGACAGGAGCCTCCACTATGTCTCCTGTGGACCCTAAGGGTTTATCCAGACAAACTTGCACAGGTGCATAACGCATATGCATAAAAAAATGATTGCTCTATCTCCTTATGCGTGCAGTTATGGTCCAGTCAAATTATGCATACGTTTATACGCCATGCAAGTTTATCTGAATAGGCCGTTAACGACCGCGGAAAATTTGTGGAAGTATACTTTAGGATATCAATATCGTACGTCTCGTGAAATGGACAACAATATAATTTCTCTTCATTTTTATGTATAATATTCATAGACGTGCGATGCACAAGGGATATCAGGGTTGCATGGCATCATCAACAAAAATTTTGTCACTTTTTTAAATGAAAATAAAAAATTATTTTTGTACAGTCAGTTATTACTCAGTCAGAGATCTTGGCTAAGAAACAATGAGATAATTTAATTGATGTCGTTTTTTGCAAAAAGAAATATATACTGCTACATAGCATCATTTAGAAGATTGTTGTCAATGTTATTCATAAAAGTGTATTATATCATTAATATTTTATTCTAATATGTAATATTTCCAACATATTGTAACATTGTTGTGATATTGTTGTAATATTACGTGCCACGTGGGTTCTTTCTCCATAATTGTCTTCTATTTCAATTTTAATTATTATCTTTCATCTTCATCCATTCTTTTTCAATTAGGACAGAATAAAAGAGAAAAGAAAATTAACAAAAGAGTGGAAAATAAGGAAGGAAATTTTTGGTGAGGAGGATAAGGACAAGGATAGAAGAAAGACGACGAGACAAAAGAAGAAACAGGAAAGAATGTTAGGAAACCAGGAAATAGGGATATACGAAATAATATAATTATTAGGTGTAGATAGTAACATGATAAAAGTACCGAAGGTATGAATGTTAAATTTTGAGATTGCAAACCAAGTTCTAGTATAAGTTATAAAATAAAATAAATTATCGAGAAGAGAGAAAATGAGTGTTAATAAAAGATACTTTGAGGTTTCTTGAAAATGATAATAGTGTGAGAACAATGTTGAATAAGTAAGATTTTATAATTTATTGTAAAACAGAATGATGAGATGTGATCAAATGTTAAAAAAAGGATGAAAATGAATGTGAATAGTCAAAATAAAATGCAATAACTGAAAAATGAGACCAACTAATAAATGGAAATTATCAGGAAATAAAAACAGAGAAGCAGAATGATTGTAAATAATTTCGTTTAACACTTAGTTTAATATTTAAATTACAGTGATTCGGTTTTTTTCGGTAATGGCTCAAGGATCTTGAAAAAGAAAGGTCTGCATACTGGTCAAACGATGTAATTTAATTATTTATTTACAATTTTCTATTGTAAAATTTTATTTTTATAGTAACAAGATTAAAATTTTTAATTCAACGACTTACTATTATTACTGTTGGCATTTTTGTGGAGGATTCTCCGTACAGAAGGTGTCATTATTGACGAATACATAGTATTCTCCCTGGATGGAACAGCTGGTGTCCAATAAATTGTCGTTTACGAGAATGCAATTCGTTTCGGTGTTACTAGGATACACGGGTGTGCTGAAAAAAATCAAGTAATGAGTAATGTAACAGTAATGCAACAAAGTTAAACAAAATAACCGAAAATCTGTGCATAAAGAACTCCAGATAACGTCTCCTTGACACTTTCTCAGAAATTCTCACCTATCGCTGAAAACAAAAGAAAGGGAAGTTAAATAATGCGTACAAGGAGTGTATAAAGGTGCGCAAGTTTATGTATCAAGACACGAAATTTATGGAGATTGAATCGAGCTGAGCTGAAGCACATCGAAGAAAAGAACTTACTTTGTCATAGGAATCCCAGGGAATGCGCATTTACTCTTCAACGTATCGGTTATATAGCTGACAGATGAAGTATGTGAACACGATTGCAAAACTAAAATGCAAATTTGTTTTATTTATAACTTCCTCTAATAGCTGTCATTCTAGCAACATACAACGTTTCTACGTATGCAATAATTAGATGCAATTTATCTCTTACTACAATCTGGCTGCGAAGATCCACCATTGAACTGCAAATCCAGATGACCGATAGGCCTTGTTATTCCATACAACGTAGATGTATGAAGAACTTTTAGACAGTTGCAATCTGTTTTACAGAGTCTCTCGTTGCAGTCCTTGCTACCAAGCGTTGGGCCGGCGGGATCGGCGGCAACAATTAGTGGAATCGTGCCGAGCTGCTTGTTCTGAACCTCTTTCGAGGCAAAGCCGGACACGTGTGCGCCAAGACTGTGGCCGATCAGTCTGATGTTTGCCAACGGAACGTGGCAGTCCGTGACCAATTTTTCGATATAGCTGCAACAGAAAGTCCGAGTATATATAGTGAACATCTCGTATTTAATGTATGTAAGATTAAATTTTTATCTAGTACCTACTATAAGGTTCATTTTGCATTACATATCAACCATATTATGTGTGTTAATTATGAATATTATTTTATTTAGTATTAATTTGTTTGTACGTAGTTGTACCTTGCCACGCGGCGGCCTACTCCAACAGTGTTCGTCACCGCATATTCATACTTCGTGAAAGTGGGCACCCCACTGCAGGCTCCTTGAGACCAATCTACCCCAAATACCGTGTAACCTTTCTGTGAAAGAAGAAAATTGTTTTATTAAATTCTCCACTACGTCAGGAATTCGTCAACTTCAGCAGGAAGTTACTTTACGAATTTTTAATTCGTCTACTTCTCACAATATGATACAATATTTTTGTATTAAAATAAGAACTTCATCTTTTCTAGGGACATTATACGTTTATTCCAATTAATCATGCGAATATGTGGTATTTACCTCTGCCAATCGAGTGGCCAAGTCTACAAAATTATTGTCTTGTATGGAGCTGATGAAGCCATGGGTTACAAAGGCGACCTGTTGCGATGGATTAACGTACGTACACATGTCGTTCGCACTCATATTTTCGCCTTTGACATCACTGAAAGAATGGTGGGTGTAATCGGCGTAACGAACAATTGGACTTTCGCGCTTCTTTTACCTGTTGTACACCATCACCGATACCACGTTAACACCGGAGGCACAGTCCATCGGATCTGATTCATCGCTACCGAAAAAAAAACCTGGTTCAGCCAATGATTCAGGCTGTGCCTCAGGCCATGCTTCAGGCAATGGTTTGGGCAATGGTTTAGGCGCGGCACGCGAATGCACATGTTGTGCAAGGAAAATTGCAAGTATTGTAACAACCGTTCTCATCGTGTACGAAAGATAAATGTGGACGCGTCGCTGAAGGGAGACTGATAAACGCGGGACCAGGTCTCGCAATTGTCAGCGAGCTTTTAAGTACGTTTTCCGGTTTTATGTGCATTTTATGAATATTCATATTTGCGACATATTGTCAGTGGCTGCGTAAACTATTAATGACCGCGGAAAATTTGCGGAAATATACTTTAGGATATCTGTATCGTGACGCCAAATGGATAATATAACTTCTGCTACGTGCATCTCTTCTTCTTGTTACTTACTTTTATTTCCAATATCATGCAGTAATAAAAGATGCCACAGCGCCGCACAGGCAAACATTTCAATTCAACGTGATGATCTATCCTTGATATTATTATCGGCACATGTCACAATTTTTATCGGAAAAGATTTCGACAGTCATGAATTTTCATGAAAAACATGTGTCTTGATAAATGCCAAAATCGTGTACGGCGAAACCTTGTAGGATTCCATGCGCAAAGTGCGTCACGATGGTATCTTCATTTTGTATTTAGCACTCATATAATTTTGTATATTTTTAATTTATGGAATAATTATCGCCGAAATGTAAGCAAGTGTATGATAAACAAGAAATTTAACGAGAAATGAACAAGAAAACAATGCTACAAGATGTTGAGCCAGAGGCCATTGCAGGATGGCCGGCTGAGAGAGAATATCATGATGAATAAGGAACTGGACATTCTGAAGGAGAAGAACGACGTGTTCAAGTGGATAGGATCCGTGCTCGCGAAGCAAGAGCTGTGCGAGGCCGAACAGAGTGTCGACAAACACATGGATTACATCTAGCCTGAGCTGTAGGTTTAGTCGATTAGAAGTCGTGCCCGTCGTATCTGCTTTCGGATTCACGTGTGACGTAATAAATTTCAGGAAACGCGTGGATAACCTGATGTCTACTCTGGACAAGAAGCTGACTCGCAGAGAAATGTGATAGATTAATTGCAGCAGGCGTTTCAGCAGGCTCAGATTAAAGCATCGATAAACCAATCGAAATCTTACTACAGTACAGACGGCTTTTATGGAATTATCGTAATTATATAATTAATCATTCTTACGATAAGCGCTTAAGTGACATTATTAAATACTTAGTCTCATCGTTTGATATAGTGTTGCGTTTGTTTGTTATTTATATCGTATAAAATAGACGATAATACAAATTTTGGCTATGTATCATAATTAATTATCCAAGTGCAATTTATGTAAATTAAAAGCTACAAACTCTCCAGAACATTGTCCCTTTCGGATCGATTCTTATATCAATTAAAAAAGACAATTACTTTCTAACAAGATATTTATCTAAGATGATAACGTTCTAAAGATTATGACATAATTTACAAGTCTTACACCCGAGATTAATAAGATTGCGTGATCTTTCATTATAACAAAACTGTTAAAACTGTGATTAATTGTGACTGCTCATGACTAGATTTAAAACAGTTTTGAATATAAAATTGAATCACAAATATCGCCTTAATCTCTATTTTTGTCAAGTTAAATTAACTTAAATCTCACTTTGATCCTTTCGTGATTACAGGAATATATAAATTCTATTTGCAAAATTTAAGAAGACTCAATAATTTAGCTAACAATCTATTACTGAAAAAAAACAGGAACATCAACACAAAAATTAATTTGGTCACGAAAGGATTAATTTACTTTGTATCTTTTTCTAGTTTATGTTAGAACTGAGAACATTTTGTTTTTAAAAATGTAAGTTAAACAGTGATTAAGTCACTCTACACATACAATTGCATATATATATATATACACATGCATTTGTATGTGTAGTAGAAGTAATTCATTGAAGGTGATACGTCCATCTTGGTATGTCTTATCGTCAAAATTTAAAATCTAAGAAGTCATTGCCACTATCAATATAAGTAATATCTGTTCCTGTCCGACGCCTACTGATTACCAATGTGTTATCAGACATTCATGTTGATAAGATTAATATGAGCATAAATATCGGACTTTAAGATACAAGGAGTCTAGAAGTACATTTGCATTGGACGCTGATTTACGTTATCTTAATGTGTTTGTTCTCGCGAAACTACTTTTGTGCACGTCATTGTTGCCTCTCTATACAATGTCAAGCTAGAAACGCGTGATTGTTCGTCAATTATGTCGGCGCGAGTGAAGTTTGGATGACGAATGGTTCCTTATTTGTTCGTAAATAGGTGTGACATCATGAACTCTTTCTTACTCGTACTCTTGTTGGGATCTTTATGCTTTTGCGTTGCGGAAAACCCGACCGAGAGCGCAGGTGCGTAACGTTATATTTGAATGTATGTCGTGTACATACATACATATATTTGTACATGCATTATATATACATTAATACATATATTTTTTTAGTTTTTTGTCCTTAAAAATGTTCGATTATCTCGTTGCGCTTTAATGCAGAAGACGTGTTTATAAGCGTAGAATGCTATCTTTCAATAGCTCCTTGTGTACAATGTCTATCGAAATCTATGTTTTAACAGAATGGGACACGAGACTTCCTGACATGACGGAAAAATATTCATTCCGAAATTGTACGCAATGTGACGTCCAGCCAGGATCGACGACATGTATCTGTTTCGAAAATTCTGGTAAGTTATCAAAATTTTTTTACGTGTGACGCGTTATAAATTCTTCAATTATTATATCTATGTATGTTTCGCCATAAAATCTTTAAAAAAACCTATTGTTGTAACGCACACCATACATTTATTTTGTATGTATAAAATACACATTTCGAAGTGTCATTCGAAATGCACAACGATTGTAACGCATATACATACGCATATATTACAATTTTATTAATTTTCGAATGACTAATTTAATGGTAATTATATACGTAGAAGTATTAATATAATTATAATATATACATATGCATTTGTATAACTATTTTTATACTTAGAATAAAATTCAAATTTTCAAATATACGTATTTGACAATGAGTGCATTTGCGTCTCTTTCTAAGATAATTGGATACCGGAATACAGTCTTTCGACATCTTCGGAAAATCGTGAGTCATCGGGAGAACATATTCGAAAGTGATGGAAGTTAATGCATATTCGATTCAATTCAAATTTCGCGCTTTATCTGAAGCCCGTCAGTTTGGCGCGAAATTTAAATTGGTTCTAAGGCGATTTATCTCTTCTCAAAATGTGTTTCCCTAATACTTCTGATGATCTTCTAAGGTGTCGAAAGACGCGCATGGCAATTTTCGCGCAGGCTCTTATGTAATTATCTCGGAAAGGAAAAAAGAGAGACAGATAAAATTATAACGAATGTGCATTAACAATTGTGTCATTTCGCATTTGCGTCTGAAAACAGTTAATTGTAAAGCATATTATATCTCGACTTTTCGACAGTGATTACATTTCTATAATGCAACAAGGAATGCACGTGAAGTGCCATATGATAATTAGTTTTTAAATGATGAGTTTTCCGAGAGTAAAAATGTAAATTGTATAACTTTTAGCGATGCACTTTTATCGTGATAACTTTTACCGGAACGTAACCGAGGCGTGCGATAATTTATAGTTCATTAAACTGAATCTTAAGAAAAGAACTTTACTAAGCCTATCAAGATCCGAAATTGTTTCTAGTACGACTGTCACATAGCAATCGCTACGTGCAATCGTTAATTTTTATAAACATAAATTATAAACGTACTTGATCGTCTCAAACGAATCGCATTGTAACACATGATAATAAAAGTATTGTGTGTCGTTTTACACTTGAAGCTAAAAAGTATAATTTCCTCTGACAAAAGATACTGACGTGATTATTGCGCGATAGTCTACGACAAAGAATACTCTGTGTACATTGATTCTAGATATAAAACAGATATGTAAAGTCCCGTAGTTGTGATTATTAACATTAAAAATCCTTACGATCTCTAGTTTTATATAAATTTTGAAAATTTTTTAATTTCTGTAAATTTAAAAATTTACAGACGCTTGCGTGATTTGCTGTTCCAACGTGTCATGCTGTATCTGTCCAGATTGTTTTCTGTGCTGGTAAGAATTAACAAGCCACTCGCACGTGTAACATGTCTCGTTTCCAATTAGGATCGAGTTTAATAATCGTCACTTTTTACTTCAGGTACGAGCAGCAGCAACTAATATTAATGACGCAAATCGGTATTTCCGTACTGTTCGCATGTGGTATCATCGGCCTGATTGTAGTTTACTGCAAAATATGCAACAGGTAGGCGAAGACGCATCTAATAAATTCGTTCTTCCAATTTTCTCCGGTGTCACTCGCTATTGCTGCTCGCAAGCGAACGCGACTGTATCGAATTTTCTAGCGTTTCGTGGCAAATATATTTTCGCTATCGAACTTCCGAATCTTGTTTTCCTCATCGAGTTTCAATCTTAACTGATTGAGTGTCTTGACTGACGCAACTGCCGGCGGCATGAATGAAAGGAATTGGAATCACATTTTCACGCGCGGTCATTTTCCAGCCATTTTAGTCGATCGCAAAATTTTTTAATGCCATAAGTTAATGTTAAACGAATACTTTTTAAAACGTTCTCCCTTCAAGTATACACTTTTCGCAAGTTTAGTAAGTTACGAAATCTTCATCGATAAAATTTTGAAAATGCAAATAATTCTCCGGAAAGGTTTCATTTGTAAGGCACTTTAAATGCATTTTTCATGCAGGATGAGACCGCGCACACGACGAGCCCGCAGAAGGTGCATCGTGTTGCACGAGGAGAATGACTCGACGACGCCATGCAGCACCGTCGAGGGCCTACGACGGGAGAGACCACCTACGTACAACGAGGTCATTCGCAGTTCTCCACCAGTCTACGCATCCTCCGACAACAATGCTCCTCCTCTCTACACGTCTCCGTCCAACAGGGTATATTAATTAACATTTTTAATCCACTGATTATGATAAGGACATACGTTTATCACAACTTACCGCGATACGGGAGATAACTTTTCTTTTCGAGTGACAATAAAATGTTTTCTATTTGCAGGCATCCATGCAGGAAGCTCCGCCGTCGTATCCGGGAACGCCAAAACCGCAGGACAAATCCAAGGATGACCCCAACAAATTTCCTTCTTCGCCTCCAATTGCTCAACACATATGACGATACTCTTCTAGACATAGATTCGTTCATCTGCGTGTATATATGTATGCTACTCGAATAAAATGTAATCTGTAGATTTAAGAAAAAGTGGCTGTCGTCGCTTCGATGTGATAGCGGAATATCAGTCGCGCGATTGCTACTGCGTCTGTCCGTTTGCATCAGACGTTTTCCGAAAGTCTCGATATTCCAGGATCTTTTCTAGATGTTACTGGAATCGTCCGGTTGTGATACAATATCGTAATATCGTAATCTCGATAATCTCGTAATCTCCGACAGGAGATTCACACGCAGCGACGTCGGTTGCAATGGAGGGGTACTGAAAATCACGCTCCTTTATTATATAATGAAAATGTCATTTATTTGATGTGGTGCAATGACTTAAAGTAAAATGGAAAATGAATGTCTGCGTGTATGAGCTGGGTTCAATGAGCGGCGCGCGTAACACTTCTCGCGGATCAGCCGTGACACTACCGCAACCATCAATTTTTTTCTTTACAAAAGAGCGCTTCAAATTTCTAAATGCAATATACAACAGGTGTAAGTGTGTGTATGTTGCGTGTATGTATATGTGTATATGTCAGAGAGCGAGCATGCGGTAGTAACTCGTGACGGTGGTGATCCCGATCGGTCACAGGCACGCGCCGGCTTTCATCATGATGAGGTAACACTTGTCTTACTTGTACTTAATAGTTTATCAAATTATATCCAGTCATACGCTCGTATTATTCCTGCTGCGGGTTCGTATGGAATTGCGCCTACATCTGTGTGTGTGTACAATTTTTTTCTTCTTTTCGATCTGTATTTTATACGAATTGCTATCTCGGAATTAGCTTTATTCTGCTCTTTTATTTTTTTCCAGTTTCGTTTTCTCTAGGAAAAGACATTCAACGTTACGTGTGTTCCACGAAAGAAATCGCCGCACAGTCCCAAAGATAGATATGAGAATTGGAGAATGGTCGCAGATTTTAAAAATATGAATCAGCACGGCCAAAGTCTGTTCCTTAAACTGCTACTATACCGCTTTTGTGTCTAAATCTGTCTTTTTGCTTTTTATTTCTCTTCTTATTTAAGTCCCGTGTATCACCCCGAAGACCCAAATAAAAAGATTCGTACGTAGAAAAACAGTGGAAAATTGTCCTAACTAGATTTCCATCGATTCACAATCTTTTGATCTATGACACGATATCGCATCGACGGCGCTACGCAACGAATGCACACCTCCTAATCTGTATCAATTTTTCGGCATTTACATTACATTTAAAGTTAAAGCGTCGGTAGTGTGTTTTCAAGGAACATGAGTTCAGCGCAGTCTGTAAAATCGAAATAAATCACACATTGCTGATTATTGTACGGTTTTCGTAAAAGTATGGGATCCTCGTACGTGAGTTTGTTCTGTTCTTATAAAATACACAGCAGATATGTACAGTGTAAAAATCTTAAAATCGATAGTGACGCTAGGTTTGGGACTGTCCGGATAACGACTGTCGCTTATCGTATGTATTTTATATAACAAGTAAATTCACTGGCTGCCAGGATCGTCAAGGGGTGGGGGAGCGGGTCGGGGTCTGTCTCTAGAGAGGATCGATTATACAATTGCAGTAATTACAAGTGGTCTTATCACAGAACATGTATGGCATTAATTGTCATCATTAATGATGTGTAAATGGTAATAAGTATTCCACATATTTAAAACTCGGCTTTCGATAAAGCTAAAGATCGGAGGATCAGGAAGCCAGTACACGGTACTAAACGATTGATTATTATTTTTCGCCTCTGCGGTTGCCCATAATTCGATTCATTGACCACACGCAATTTTACAGGCCGATCAAATTAACGACACGACAAAATAAGAAAGGAGCGATTGACGCCCCGCGCTATAATTGACTAACGTTCCTATTTTACATGTTTTTTTTAATATGTCTTTTTCTTCACTCTTTTCTCGCCCATTTTCGCTCGATTCGTAAATAACATGTCAACCTTGAGTTGCGGATCATAACGCCTCTAAAATAATGTAACGAGCATACGCGCGAGGATGTACGAATAGACATCCCCGTGATATATTCAACGTAGATCCGATAAATTATGGACAACCTTAAATTTAATAACGTAATCATTAATAATAATAATTAATAATAATAATTCGATCCTATCACTTCGCTTACAATATGCAATACTCCAGAAAACAAGACAAACTGTGCCTACTGACAAGGGGGACTGGGAAACGGGGAAATTTATCGCGGCAAAAGGGAAAGGGGGAGAGATGAGTTTCTTTACCTGTAGACAAAAATATACAAAAATACATAGGGCACAGATTGCGTAGCATTAATAGTAATAATTATATAATAATAATCGTACATACGTGGTTCAGAGAAAGAGATCATAAAAAAAGAACACTAACTAGAATAATTTCTCCGTCTTGGAAGAGTTTGAGACGCGCTAGAACTAAAAAAGATCACTACTATCGGTAGAAACAAACAAAGTATTAAATTCTCTCCGTGCTCGACGTGTCGAGCGTACGGTGCTACGGGACATCCGTTTGATCCATCTTTTTCTCCTCGTGTTTTCTTTCTTTCGACAAAGGAACAAAATGTTTAAATCGTCTGGCCGACGTCTATCACAACTTCCTTCGTGCATCGCGCATTATTATTGTTGTTGTTACTGCTGTTGTGGCGATTGCGACGGCGAGTCACGTGGAGAGAAGCTCCTCGCCTTTCCTTGGTCCTCTCTGGCTATATTACTCCGTTTTTAATGTCTCGCGCGACCGTCTGCTTCCAGTTCATTCGATGATAACGAAAAGCAAGTCCATGATGGCGATGATAATCCTGGTGACAAGTTCCAATGTGTCACCAACATAGATTGGCATCGGCATTGATAATGAAGGAAACGAGCGCAATGCGACTATGATACTGCTGCTGCTGCTGCGGCTGTTGTTGTTGCTCTGAATCGACTCGCGCTCAGGCCGGCAGAGAAATATGGTTCGTATGCCGATAAGATGTACGGGTATGAATGCGGATACGTAGGCTTTCGGACATCTCGTTCCTCTCTTCGACGCGCGGAGATGAAACGAGCAGGGCGCTGATGATGGTCACGTCGAGTTTTCTCTCTCTCTTTCTCATATACACACACACACTACCGACACATACTTGAACACAAGAGTCCGAGCGTGTGTTGGAGCGGCTTATTAAAACTCGCCCTCAATCGACCGAATGGACAAGATGATATTCTTTCTCTTCCCATCGATCTCTGAATACTCTCAACCGAAGCTCGTCGACAATCGGATCATTCTCCCGTCGGTTTTCGACATCAATTTTTCTTTTAGACCAGAGAGTGGCGCACTAGGAAACATTTATTTAGCACTACTATACTTTTCATTATATCACTGTACACAAAGGTTCAAGAGGGATGCAAAAGTGGTGGGGGCGATGTGGAGGTTGTGCCCGGGGTCAGCGGTGACTGCTTTCAGCTCTGTTTCACTCGTTTCCTAGGCGGACCGATCGGTGGGATCTGCTGGGTCGCCAAAGCTCGAAAAGCTTCCGCTATCAAGTGTGGGTGGGAGTTCACCATAGACTTGAAACCCACAGTGTCCATCACGTCTGTCGCGTGTCTGTAAAAGCATTCGTGCGGATTAGAGATCTGTGACGAGTCCCGTCGCGTTTACCCGCGCAGCCAAAGAATATAATTTTGATCGTTGAAAGAGCAAAATTTATCTTTTCGCCGACACACGCGCTCTGCGAGTACACTTGTCTCGCGTGGTGTTAACTTACGTATTGATGAAATCTATCGCCTGTGCCTTCAGTTGGTCGGCGCTATGGAGATCGGCAAGTATGAGGATTTCGGCCGCGTTCTCAATGGCTAAACTCGTGCAAAGTGCTTCTTCGCACATTACCTTCAGCCTTTCCAACGCGTACTTGTCCGCCGCGGCTAACAGATCGTCCGCCATCTTCTCCAGATTCGCTGCTTTACCGGTGTAAATAAATCGTAGCATTTCTCTTAGAACTTCATGGTCCACATCGGTGATGTCCACGTGATTTTTCTTTCTCTCTTCCATCTCGTGTTCAAACATTGCCGAGAAGACGGGACTTCGTGCTGCAAATCGCAATTGCACAATTACCAGACTTAATCATTAAGGGCGTTAGGATTAACACGTTATCGATTTATTCACAATTTTATTCAAAGAAATAAGATTCTATAGTTTTACGTATTGCACCTTCTATTTTTTTTTCAATTGAACCAGTGAGAACAAAAAGGGAACACGTGACACATTTAGCCGAAATTGAGTTAACAACGAATCCTTGCTCTAAGGTAAAACTAAACGGTTTAAAAATATTATTTAATAAAAACTTACTTTAGAGAGCCCTCTTTTCAGGGCAGAGTAGCGCAAGATCTACCGAAAAATTCACATGCTTATAAAACAGTTTTTTTATTTCTTTCAAGTATACAATCCTGCCACATGTACCCTCTCTCTCTCATTTTCTCTCTTTCTATTCTAACCGATTCAATTATACATTCAAGCACGGCAAAATGAAGACTATAAACTATTTGTGGAGCCTCACCTGCGAGAATTGCTTTGTGCGCCTGGAACTCCCTTCCGCAGACAGTGAGCGTTACGTCGCTAAATTTTTGGTTCTCGAACAGCAGCCCGAGATCGTCGGGCAGCCGGCACTCCGGTACTTTAAATTGTATCGTGTTACTCTGCCCGGAGATGTTCACACTGTCCGCCACTACGCTGACCTGTGAAGACAATCGAATTAGAGGTACTCGCCCAGTCGGCGAGAGTAATAAGATGAAATAGATGTGACAATCGACATACAAAGGTATATACCTCACAGAATATCGTGAGTTTGTCGTCCGGCAGCAGTCCGTTGGCCTCGTCCAGAAGAAAGTCTCTCCTGATGAACTTCTTGAAGCCCCAATCTTTACCCTGGACGAACCTGTAAGCACGCTGGCTCTCTGCAAGAACAAAACGAGAAAGACCCGTTCAAGTTGCCGTACATTTCTCAACCGCGTGCCGACTTATCGTTACGCGGACCAGCCGGCGCAGCTGAAAGGCAACTTTCGTCGCCGTGTTAAAAAATCCGTCGCGTTTAAGTCGCGCGGTAAGTGGGCGAAAATCTTTAAAATACCCTGCATTGCATCCGCACGCTGACACATTAATTGCGCGCGTGGAAACGTTTTTCTTGCCGACTTACCCATTGCTTTGGTTTCTTCTCTTTTGGCATTAAGAATAGAAAATTTGAACTTTGCTCTGACTTCAGATTTGTTGCACGAAACGAGAAGGAGATACAGCGACAGGTAGTCTTTGCTCTCTTCATCCAGGCCCTTAGGATTCACTCTCAGGCACCTAGAAACCAATTAGCGCATCAATCGACACGACCGCTGCCGCCTCGATGGCGATTCTCCCCTTTCGAATTTGCGCCACTCGAAATTTATTTCTCCCCCGGGGTCCTCCCATCAATTTGAAACGCGATCGCGGATATGGAAACCGTATCTCGTCGCGCCAGACGCGAACGGGAAAATGAAGGCCCGGGGAATGTAGCACGGTCGGCGAGACAATGGCTCGTATTCTCACCGCTCGTTTAGGCGCTAAACGCGGCGGCTCGCATTTCTAGGACTTCCGACACTCTGTTTTTCCACGTGGAACGCGCCGCGCGTGCTCCCTCAAGGCGACTCGAGATCCGGCCGATCATGCCCGGACTACGGAATCGACGGACAAAGACCGGCGTATGGTTTGCAATGTCAAGCGTGCCACTTTGCAAAGTTAACTACCGGCGTAATTATATAGACTGTATTATTATTCGCACGTTGCGCTCTCGGACTTTCCGCTTAGCGCCAAACGAACGTGTCAATAGTTGCAAACGTCTCCGCTAATCGTCGTAATTCAACGCCGGAACCCACCCCGCGACACGCGATGTCTCGCTCCGGTTCGTATGCAATGCAAAGAATCTTAAACAATTTTTCATTTCTTTTTCTCCCCCTCCTCCCCTGGACGTCTGTTCCCGCGGGCTCCAGTCGGGATCGCCGTGATCGTCGAGCGTGGAGACGGTCCTTACCATTTTAACTTGTCGTTGGCCCCTGCTGAGAACGTGGACGACTTGAGCACCTCCCCCATCTCCTCGCGGCAAAAGCTGAAGTTGTTTATCGTCCACATGTAGCTGAACTTAACCACCTTCACCTGTACACACAAGACCTTCAAATGCGATACCACATCAGAGTTTATTTCTGGGTGGGAGCTAGCTTAATCTAACTACGCTTAAATGCCTACGCAAACATCGCCACGGCCGTGTCGTCGTGGGCGTCCAGTTTACAGGATCCTTGCAGTTTACAAAATCAATCGGTCCCGCGGGAGACGGGCCGCCCCGCGGCAAATATTTGTGGTGCGGAGAAGTACCTTGGCAAAAGAATTTCTAGGAGAACAACTTCTGGAGGAAGCAATCGACGGGGCTTCCCTTACAATGAACACTTCCCCCCCCCTCCCCCCGCCGGCGAGAAACAGGACCTCTTCATTCGAGAAAAATCGAACCGAGGCAACCCGAGTTCTTCTCGCACTCTGAGCTACGTCGGCTAAACTGCCCAAGCCGACAGCTGAACTCTTAGAAGTGAGACACATCCGGTGATTATGGATTATCAGCTCGACATAGTAAAACGTCCGTGGTTAAATCGTGTTGCCGCTATAACTGTGTGTTTACGAGTCGCTCGCTTCGCGTTACATTCAATTAGTATTCCTCTTTGTCCTCCGCGTGAAAAATAAATGTCATTGTTGCGAGCCAATCGTCTATTCGGACCCTCTCTCTCTTTAGAGAGAGAGCGAGAGAGATAAATATAGGCGTCGATCTTAGACGGACGGTTCGTTTATATGTTAATGTCGAGTCCGTGAAAAGCTCCCGGCAGAACGAAGTTCTCTCGACTACGCCGAAATCGGCCTTGAAGGCGAAGTACTACAAGTACCAGCATACGGTAGCGCAAAGGGGGACAGAACGGGGTCGGGGAGGCGCGGAGGTCCAGGGTCGAATCGAATGATCCTCGGCCTGCTTGCGCAATTCCCTTAAAGAATACACAAACGGCTTTAACGGTAGAGGCGTGACTTTTGTTATTTCGAAGGACGCGGCACTTTTCTTTCCGCCCGCTTTTGTCGGTAACGGTTCCAGCGCGTGTAACCGCCTTTTTCTCCCCTCCTCGCCCCACCCTTCTCGCTCGCATTAACACGAATCGACATCGCGGATTGGGACTAATCGGGATCGGGAATTTTCGTCTTCGTCTTCCGTGACGAAACGTTAAACGCGAGGAATGTCGCTCGTGGAAGTCGGAGAGGGCTCGTGGGCTTCGGTTTAGCTTAGCTCGACTACGCGGTCGAATATAAAATTAACGGGTATTTAAAGACAGAGGGAGAGAGAGAACTTAAAACGGACGATAGCGAATAAAAAGCAAGGAAGAGAAGAAAGACGCGAGAAGGTCGAGACCCCCAGAAGTCAACGATCTCTGACGTCAGCGTCGTGCGTTGCGACCTTGGCGAACGAGCGGTAGCCCGCGGCCAAATCTATTCGTCTAGTATTCATTAGTGATGAACTTTGCGCAAGCCTCTTATCGGTCATCTGTGACGATTATGCGTGTCCTTGTGCGAGGAAAACGGTGCTGCGGCCAGCGCCACGCCGAGTTGACGAGCGAACGACCGGCGATATTTCTGCCTGAAGACGAGATCCTCTCTGACCGATTAAAGTACGGAAAGAACGGTGTAAACGGGGAGAAGAGAAGAAAACCTTTACACCAAGTGATAAGGAGAGAGAGAGACCGAGTAGAGAATGAGATGCGTGTAAATGTCCGTGACGATCGTTGAAATGATTGCGAGAAAATTTAATTTAAGAGGATCAGAAGCGAACCGAGGTCTTGGTGACTTTCGTCGTCGAAATTGAGGCACGAAACTTGCGACACGCGAACGTTAACATTCACGCATCTCGGGAGTTAAGAAACGTGAGCAAAAGAGATTTGTATGTCCATGTTAAGGCTCGGAGATTCAATCATCGCGGCGACCAAGCCGGCTCCAAGTGGAGTCTGACGGGTTCTACCTCTTATTGCTGGCTAGAAATTCTCAGTTGAATTTCAACCTTCTTCTCACTGCAACACGTCGAGCCCCACAGCACGTTACATACGGACAGTTCAGTTAAAAATATCAATATTGACGCTTTTATTTTATAGCAAGAGAATAGGCCGGACAAGTTTCTTGTCTACCGACGCGACATTCTGTCACGAAATCGGAAGACTGCGCGCGTGATCTTTCACTCGGCGTTCTCTCTTTAAATCAACCTAGAAAATATTCTAGAAACTACTCTTTCTAGAGCACGGATAGATGCAGATTTTATTATACGCCAGGAAGCCGGTTCCTGCGACAGGTAGAAGCCGGGCGAGTCACATGAGGACTTCTCGGAAGTTGCGTCTTAGTCTATTATCCATAGGAAAGGGACGATACAAAGGAAAGCGTGAGAAGTGTCCGCGACACTGTACCTGCGCTCTCGAGAGCCCAAGTGAAAGTTCGTTTCTCTTTTCGACAGGTGCTTTACAATTGTAGAAGGTATACACCTTTGTATTCGTCGTTTCCTTTAACCCGAAGTTGAATGGAAGCTGCAACGATAATTCCGGATGTACGATTGTTAGAAACAATTAATTAAAAAGTCCGTTCGCAAGAACCCTATAAAATAATGTGCGTAGAAACGAGAACGGCAGAAGCTATCACGCCGATGATGTTGACGAGGTGAATTAAAATGTTTAAATTGTTTTCGCAACAAATTTCAAGATATGAAATATTTAGACATTAACACCCTGTCGCGGCTCTTAGTCCTGTATTCCTTCAAGTTTGTGTTCATCACATTTGAGCCGTAGAAATTTTATTAAAACGTTTAAAATTGTTCTAAAATTATATCTCGGTGCGCGGAGACCTTTTATTCCGAGATTCTGTCCGAGACGACGCGGGAGAAGTCCCTGGCCATCGGGGGGACATCTTATCGCCGTTCGTGAATCGAGACGCGCGTCGCTCGCGGCACCAAGGACTTCTATTCGGGCCCCTGGTTAGGCGAGTTTCCCCGATAGTGGACGTATCGAGCGTCTTACTCGCGATCGCCGGACAGGCCGGGTTCGATGATCTTCACCGCGGCGTGACCTTCGCGCATCGGAAGCTTAAGGTCGACATTCGCATCGCCGAGAAGCAGGAAGGAGGCGGCTATCTCTCCCGCGAGAGTTCAACGCACGCTCGTACTGTAATCTCCTCCGCGCGGCCGGTTACTTACGGCTTACGACGATTCGCTTGCCCGGCAGGTAACGAAACGGCATGAGAGCCCAGCCGTGCGCGATGCCTCGTTACAGCGTCAAGGACTAGAGAGGCGGTTCCGAGGTGATTCGGGCTTCTTTAAGCAGATCGGACGCGCCGAGGTGCGCCTCGCGCCGCAATCTCTTGGACTTGACGGCTACGAAAAATTTCTCGTGTCGATTGCGGAAGAACCGAGGACATATCTCCTGGAGCCCAATCTGTACACTTGCCTAACATACCTTTACGTATCTTTACAAAATTGACGCTTCGGGTGAGAAGTTATCTCGTCAAGTTTTACTTGTTAAAGGCCTTCTAGACCGACACGCGTCAGTCTGAAATAATTAAGTCAGTGTTTTATTGACCGTATCTGGCAATTTTAATAGTACAGAAAATTTATTGCGAAAAATATTACCTCAGCCAGGATTTGTACCTAAACTTCCCTACACGCTAGGCGGGCGTCTCACCAATTCGACCACCGAGGCATATGATAGTATCAGTCGCAATAAAAGTACCTATAAAGATGTTGTCTACGCGTCTATTTCGACTCTTTATGCAAAGCTTCAAGATAGCTCGAGAATGTATACAGGACGAGAGATTATTTCTTAATCCTAGTCTTCACTTGATAATTAAAAAAAAAAAACGGTAACAAAAATGTGGCTGCCGCAGCTGCAAACTGCGCGTGGCAACTAAATTTCAGTTGTAAAACATGGACAGCTAATACTTAGTCGTGACAGCTAACGTTTTGCTACTGTGCTTATTGCGTTAGAAGTTGCCTTAGAAATTTATAGTTAGCGCAGCAAAATACTTTTAGCGAATCGTGATTAGCTACGGTAGCGAAAATGTTTTTTTTTTCAGCGGAACGCGGGGGATATTAATGCGCGCAGAAGCCGTGCGGAATCCTCGCGATTTGCTCGATCTGTAACGAAGCTAGGAACGCTTCGGAAGAAGTTCATTGTTACCGTCAATCCTCGTTTACCGGCAGAATTAATCGCGCTACAGACTTGGAGCGACCGTTTCCACGGGTTAATTTCGTTTCTCCGACGTAATCTCACGCGTTGGTAGCGTGCCAAGAGCTAGGCTTCTTCGACGAGCACGAATAACACCGTCTGCCGCGTACGCCCGCGCGTATCATCTTTTTCTCTACGACGAACTGATAGACGTGACGACGAAACCAATAATATAACTGTGACTCATATAAGAAGTTATCGATGCGACAGGAAAAGGAAGAGAGTGTCGGGCCCCGCTATCTACTGGCTCATACCGATGCCTGAAAGCACGGCTTCATTCAGCGTAAACGTTGCATGTGTGCGTGCGTGTGTGAAAGTGATTAATTCTTTCTACATAACGATGACAATCAATTATGTCCCCGAAGTCGCCGGTTAAATTAATTTCAGTGAACGATCTTTTTCTTTCCAAGAAATGAGCACTGCGCGCGCCTGTTCTTGTCTCTTTAAATAATTTATCTGCTTAAATTGAATCTGCGCGATCCGAGTGCCCTCGCAACGCTCCAGAGATACCGAATAATGCATCTCCTCTCAGTTCGGAGATTATCGAATTCTCCACGGTGAGAGAGCGCAGAGGGGCTTAGGGGTCCCAGACCCCCTGATAAATTAACGACGATTGCAGATGTTCCGGGAACATCGCGAAATTAAATTTGCACGGAGCGTTTCGCGATTCCGCTCCGGGCGAGCGGGCGGCAGCGCGCCTCGCGAAAGCGCCGGAGCCTCGAGCGGAAGCGGCGCGTATAAGCCGCGAGAGGAGAGAGGTCGAAGGGTTCATCGTCTCTCTCTCCCGGGTGTTCCGCGTAGCGAGTCGGCGCGGATCAGGTGGAGCGACGCGGAGGAACGCGGCGGCGGAGGAGGCGACCCGGTCGACGC